GTACATTTGTTTCCTTAGTAAATTCTAAATATAGTATGTTCTAAATATTGCGATTTTGATTTTACATACCTAAATATATTTGCTAACAAAATTGATATATGGAAAAGTAACAACATGATTAAATTAATGTTGCAATTCACAAGCGCACACTATGAAGGAATATTTATATTATTATTTTTTATAATTTTAGGACTAAATTTTTACGATTATTAGTAATAATTGATAATCGAAATATCTAAATTATATCGACTTTAAATTGATAGAATAAAATTCTCAATGATTTATCTGGAGACCTCGAACAAATCGACATGGTTTTATATATGGACCTCAAATTTCATTTTACTTTAAATGTTTTTTTGTTGATTAGAGCTTGCGATGGTTCAGGTCTTGCAACCACAGAGCATTTGGTTCGATACCCACATCGGCCTGATATCAAGCAATAGTGATATCCGTTGAAATATAGATCAAAATATGTTTCGAAGTTAAAATAGCCCTTCTCGACATGTATCGAATTAAAAATATATAAGTAGTATAAGAGAAAATCTAAGAAAGAGGATTATCACAACAGCTCATAGAACAGTTAAGTTCTAAAGGCTGTTAAAAAAATAAGGGAAAAATCAATTTTAAAAAAAATGTTTTAGATTTTTTTGCGTTTTATTATGTATAGGTAATGCATAAGTACAAATATGTTGTAACACGGAAAGTAAATGATTTTATATCACAGACATTTTTATCTAGAGTAAATATTCTACACGCGATTCTATTACTTCCGTATTATTAACACATAATTTGAACCACATAGTAAATGAATTAGAAATAGTAGGTAAATTTGAATAATAAGAAATCATATACTGTTCAAAAATAAAACATTGAATTAGATAGAGATGTTTAGTTTTTAATCCACCGAAAATTATGAAACGCATTTATTATCAGATGAAAATTATAATTTATATTACAATATTACAATTTTTCAAGTTAGATCACTTGCATTTTAGAGTTCTTTTTATAGGTTGTGCCTAGAATCTTCTATTTTTAAAAATTAAAAGGTTTAAGCAAATATCAAATTTTTATATTGATTGTAATTCTATTTTTTTTATAAATAAGTTTTATTTTCCTACTTTAGTACTAAGTCTCAAGTTGTATAGAAAATAAATATAAATGATTGTATATTGTATGAATACTTTTGTTGCATTAAGGAACTAACTTAATTTTTAATCAAAATCGTAAGGAAAAAAGTTTGTATTTTTCTGCTTATAACGATATAAATTATATCTTATATGATAAAATATGTTGCACTTTGAATCAATTTCAAATCAGAATTTGATAACCTAGGTTATTTGTACCTGTCTTTTAGTACAAGATCATTTCATTTTGTCTTCTTTTCCATTTTAGTTTTATGTGATGCAAAAAATTATGAATGATATATAGATTCTTCTGTAATACATAATATTCAATTTCTATGCGTTGAATCAATTGTGTATAGTAAGATCTTGAGATCTAAAGTAAATCCTTAAATTATTTAGATGTAATAGTTAAACAAACTAGGTATTTATATATAAAATATAGTGACATTTTTAAATCCGAATGATAAAATCTAAATCTGATTCTTTTTCATTAAAAAACTAATCAAAGTTATTTCCTCTTGATATCATATATGTTATATGTCTTAAACTCGTCTCTTTTTGTACATCAAGATTCTAATTTCAAGCAAATCAAAATTTGATAGCAAAGTTTTCCTCAAGGAATAATGTCAGATCACAGTATTTTTTATATCACAAGTTTTTTTAACCCAATTGAGATGATCTCTTAAACAAGTTGATTTCTATTAAATTCACTAGACATCCGAATTATCTTGAACTCACATCATTTTCGCAAGCCACGTGCTTGCCTCCGTTCGGGCACAATTCTTTCGCACAGTAATCCTTATCCTGGCACGTGACCACTATCAAATTTATCACCAGCACCAGCACCAGCAACAGGGCGAACGCCCAAAATCGAACCACACTGTCCATCACTGTACAAAGTCACTGAACGCGATTACAAGTTGCCTCCACTCTTTATATTATGGACTCCTTCCTGAACGCCGATTGCTACAGGCTACAGACGATTGAGAAACATTATATTGGAACACTTGTTACTCTAAAGTAATTAGTCAGGAAAACTTATTGGATGCATTTTTTAAACAAGTTTTCCGTCGTTTCTATTAATCATCAGGTTGCACTTTGGCATCTATGATTTAATCTTAATTCATTTTGATGAAATGATACATTGGATTTCCTTAAAAGAAAATATCTACGGATCAACTTATATGTATTAATAAAATCATTTGCCTCTATATGTTATCACGTATTTAGGAAATGTAATGGATAATGTGAATCTTATATAATAATATCCAATCTAAAGCTCTTTTGCAAAAATACTTAAGGTGTTCACATATGCATGTTTATATATATATATATATATATATATATACATATTTTCTAAGTTTAATATCAAGCATAAAATTCTTCCAAAGAAAAATTAAATATGTTTTAAGAAAATGTTCGAAACCTATATAACATTTTCTAAATTACCTAACATAAGTGCAACATTTTATTTTTTTTCGGAAATTTGACAAATCTGCTTGAAATTGAGTTTTTCGTAAATTTCCAGTTAAATTATTTTTCACAATATTATGTATTTAATATTTATTTAACAAAAATGAATATAAGTAATCAAAAATCATACAAATACAATTCAGAAATTCTGAATACTTGTGAAAACTATTCAAAATTAACTATAGATTAGCAACTTTTCATTTTTTTACATAAATTTGACAATTTAATAATTTTCTTGAGATTGAGATAATTTTTGTATTGCTTCTCATATTTTTTTACATATTCACCTATCAAAATAATAAAGTTGACTGGTTTCTGATTTTATTTATATTTTTTACTTTTGTGTTTTTTGTTCTTATTTGTGCACGAGATCTTTGCTTTATTTATTTATTTATCTATAAAATATATTTAAAACAAACAAATTTGAATGAAAACAGTTATAAATTTTTCCTGGACAAATAATTTAAATATTTTGAGCATTTCTAAGTAATTTATGTTAAATCTTCATAAGCAAAATGTTAAAAGCATTTTTGAGAAATGGTACATAAGATTTGTATATCCAATTCTGCATGTTAATTGGTCAGTTAAATATATGATTTGAAAAAATTGACTAATACCTGTGTTAAAAGTAACCAGATGCATTAAATTGAATTTTCAACTTGATCAGTAAAAAATTGGAACTGACAATGAAAATGGCTTTGACTATATCTATTGTAATAATAAAATAACAAAACTTTTTTAATCAATAAAGATTAATTTATTTAGTTTTTGATAACATATTTTTTACAATTGTATATAATATATAATTTGTATGTATGTATATATATATATATATATTCAATAGATAAGTCCTGGATTTTTTCAATATATTGATTGTTTCTTTTCCGAACAGTAAATCCAATAATAAAAAACAATTTGTTTTTTGAAGATGTTTAATACGACGTTTCGGAACTAGGTACGTTCCATCATCAGGTTTATTCTGTCAAATACAATGTTTTTTAAAATACTGATTAACATTAATTAACAATGGTCAATACAGATTAATTAGAAAAAAATTTTGTTATAAAGGAATGGATTATGTACCGGATAGATAGTAATAAGACTTAACTAAAAAAGGTTTTATATAAAATTGAGAAGCGAAAATTATTTACCTGTAATAATTTATATATCCATATCACTAATATTTTTTTGTTAAAAACACTCGATTTTTTTGGAAGATATTTGTAGATGTTACGACTACACAAGACTTAAACACACTGATATGGATTTCTGTCTGCCAGATGTAAAGGACAAAGCACGGAACTCTTGGCAAAAATGATTTTTTATGGCTCTTGTTTGGTAATTTACGAAAAAAGGAAAAATATTGCTTTAGTAAATGTTGAGAAATATTATGTATATATATATATATATATATACATACATACATGAACATGTATATGCACACCTACATACTCATACATACATATGCACATATCTATATATTAATGTATCCACAAATATATATATATATATATATATATATAATATGTATATATACAATAAATTCATCATGCGATTTTCCAGCACTTTTGGTTCTTGTTTTTGAAAATTACTTTTTCTTCGAAATATGTTTTCCACCTATTTATAATAATATGTCTAATCATAAAATACATGTAGGCAGATGGTTAATATCAGAAAAATTCAGATTCTGCAAATCATCATCTTGATATATTAAGCATGTGCACATGCAGACACAAAAAATATACTATTAGTATCATAGTTTTATAAATCCATGCAAGTAGATGTTAATATGCATATTTAATAACATACGTTTCGTATCATAATTACTATATAGCTTGGCATTGAAATATTGTTTCAATCTAAGTAATATTCAATGAAGCTTTTATACTGTCGAAGTAATTGATATTCTTGCCTGGCACTATACATTAGTTGTATGAAAGAGCTAATTATTGTTTGCGCGCGAAAACTATAATTTCTTTGAACTTGTTATTATTTGCAGAAGAAATATATTAATTATAAATCAACGTCTGTAAAGTACATTTTGAAATGTAATATGTTGATTAGTAACTTTTTTATGTGTAATGTTTGGTCTTAAGTGCAGTGGATATTTACGAGTGTTATAATTATTTAGACTTATGTTTAATTTAATTACTTAATATTACAGTAATGATTCAATTGAATTGTATAGTTATCAACGTTCATGGACAAAAATAAGATGAGAAAAAAAATTCACTAGAAAATTTCTAATATTCTCCCTACTAACCTGGACGTGTTCCAGTAAACTCAGATACTACGCCATAATAACCACATTTTTTATTCATACTTTATTATTAATCTAGCTCTATTTTATAAAGTTGTAATTACATTATTCATTGATTTAATAATTAATATATATTTTTTTAGAACCTGGTGGAAGTTCACCTCCAAGACTGGTGCAGCGATCAGTTACCGAAATGTCTGCAGAGTTAGGATCAGATGTTCACCTTAGTTGTGCTGCTCAAGCAAGTCCACCTCCAACTTTCACGTAAGCAAATTATAATTGAATAAAATATGTCCAAAAATGGTTGAAAATTCAAAAATTGATAGGCAAAAAAATATTATAAACCCATCAACCGTGGAATGAACCGTGATCTATTCATCTAAATAAATTTGATCTAAATCATTTAGGCATTCGAGTATTTTACAACCTATCTTGATTATCTAACAAATATAATGTTTATATTTGACACTCCGAAGCAAACATGTCAATTCTCTACATAATCAGTAATATTCAGATCACGTCGTATAACGTGCAGAATTTTATCAGAATTGTGTTTAGGGAGCAGGTTATAGAAAAAAACAAAATTGTGAACAGAAACGACAGTTGAATATCAAATGTGATAAAAAAGACGAAGTGACTAAGTGTCAATGGCATGCAGGCACTCAGAGACAATGTGATGAAAGAAAATTGATAGTGAGAAATAACAAAAATATTCCATTGGAGTAAAATACATATGTACGATTTCAAAATTGCCTGACTAGATCGATTTTTCAATCTATTCATGAAATAAACTTTTTGTTTTTATGTGAGAGTCAGTAAGAATATAAGAGTAAATGAAAACTGTAATATTTAAAATTAATGGTAATTTAAACTAATGGTATTTATGGTTTAAAATTAATGGTATTTTTAAGGGTCCATGACAAATTTTAAGGGTCCACATCACTTGAAAGGAATTTTAGATATCCACGATAGTAGATCACAGCACACTTTTTTGTTATCTATTTTAAAGACAATTAATGTATTGTAACATGTTATTAAATAAGTCTCTGATCTAGACATTTTTCTGCATGATAATCAAACACTGATAATTTCTGTCATTTCTTGGTTCTTTTTAAATGACCTGCGATATGTTGGCAGTACCTTCAACTTTCAACTTTTACCAGGTGGTTTAGAGGCACTCCGTCTGGCGGAATAGAGACAATTATAGCATCCCCGCGTGTCGTGCCTGCTCAAGGGTTATTACATATCAGAAGGGTTGAATTGTCTGATGCAGGGCGATGGTTATGCGAAGCGCAGAACGCATTTGGAACTCAACGTGTGGAAACTACTTTGGCTGTGACTGCTCCGTTGGGAGCACACGTACAACCCAGAGTACAAGTGAGATGACATAAAATAGTATAATAAAATATTCAAATCAAGTAAACTTCATATAGATCAATATTTTGAAAACTTACAAACTAATGCAAGTTATATAATAATCGGTCCTTTACAGGTTATCAATTCAGGTGGAACCGCGGTCTTCAATTGCACTGTAAGCGGTGCTCCAATACTATCTATAGAATGGTATCACGATGGACGAATTATTACACCAGACTCGAGAAAACGTGTTATAAATTCAATGCAGACTTTGCTGGTGGCGCGCGTCAGCCGTGAAGATCGAGGGATGTACCAATGTGCCCTTACAAATGAACGTGATAGTGCTACGGCGGCAGCTGAACTAAGATTAGGAGGTAAATGCATAATTTACATAATTGTTATTTTTATATTTCTATGATTCTGTTCAATATGAAATTCACTGTGCTATATATAATAGTACCTATAAAATATCCATTTGAATGATTAATTTGTTAAAAAAATTATACTTTTCTGATAGAATTATTAATTTAAACTCAGTCTCACAATTGAAACTTTTATTAACTAACTGATATATCCATTCCTTAAATATATTTTCAGATACTGTTCCTGAGTTACAACACACTTTTATCGAACAAGCGCTTCGGCCTGGACCAATGGTTTCATTAAGATGTTCAGCGACTGGAACACCCCCTCCGCAAGTATGAAACTTTGCCAAATTTCTGTAATAAATATCAAGTATTTCGTAAATTTATTACATTAATCCAATCAAAATGATTATACATATATATTATCAAATTATGAATTGAATTCATGATTTTACTATAACTTAATTTTTATTCAATTAGTTTTCGTGGCTTTTGGATGGTCGTCCATTAGGAGATGTTATGTCTGGACCACGATATGCTATAGGACAATTTGTTGATCTTTCTGGGGATGTTGTTAGCCATTTAAATATATCAGGAGTTCGTTCAGAAGACGGTGGGCATTACACATGTCGTGCTGCAAATACTTTAGGCTCTGTGGATCATTCGGCACGTGTAAATATTTATGGTACTAAATAATATATCAGTATTTTAAAATTTTACTCGCTATGAACACAGCAGTAGTTATCAGCATATATTTTTGTGTGTTAGGGCCGCCATACGTTCGATCCGTGGGTCCTTTTAGAGCCGTAGCCAGAGCGAATTTGACACTACATTGTCCATACTCAGGATACCCAATAACATCTATCAAATGGGAGAGGCACGGTCAAGATATGTTAATGGATTTGCGGCATAGACAAGTAAGACTTTTCTACTTGATGATTTTATCTTCATAAAATAATTTATTTTATTAATTTAGGATGCGACTCAAGGAGGTGCTCTGCTGATTGCGAATGTTGATCCTGCTTCTGACGCTGGTGCGTACACCTGCACGGTTCATAATCGTGCTGGTGAACAAGCCAAACGCGAAATTTTACTAGAGGTGGTCAACCCACCACTTATTGAACCATTTTCATTTCCACAAAGTGTTCAGCAAGGCGGAAGAACGCAAGTTACGTGCAGCGTTAGTTCTGGTAATAAATTTAAAATTGATAAACTATTACTAATCAATATTGATTTTTTCCCTATTTTTTTTTTTTGTCTACTACTTTCGTTTATGAAATTAAATCAATTTTGATAATTTTATGTCAGTTTACAAATAATGAATGATCAATAAACCTATATGCAATTGAAAATATCTTTTTAATTAAAATCAATTTATTTAGGCGATATGCCAGTGTATTTTTCATGGACCAAGGATGGACAGCCATTATCAAGTGATTTGAGGGTAAATAGGATAAATACTGTTTTGCAATAAATTCATGATTATCTATAATTAGATTATCTGTATTCTGATTTTTTTTATATTTCTTAGATAGAAGAAAGATCCGCCGATTTTTTTACGATGCTTATTTTTAAATCAATTACTTCATATCACAGTGGTGCCTATACATGTTCAGCATCTAACAGTGCTGCTAAAGTTAATTATACAGCAGAATTAATGGTGAAAGGTAATAATTTTAATATCTTATTAATTATATTAAATAACATTAACATTTCAAAATGCATTTGTTTTAGTTCCTCCTCATTGGATTGTAGAACCTGTGGATACGTCAGCGCATTTGGGACATACTATAGATGTACATTGTTCAGCAGGTGGTTTTCCTGATCCAATAGTTACGTGGTTACGACAAAAAGGTGAATACTTGTACTTTATTTTATTTGTTTTTTTACAACTAGTAATTTGATTAATTCCTTTTTAAGGTGGCGATGTTGCCGAATTTGAAGCAGTACCTATACTTGATGGCCGTCTAAGTATTCAAGAAAATGGTTCTTTGCGAATAATAAATAGCACTCCTCAAGATGAAGGCCAATTTTTATGCAGAGCAATCAATGGTATTGGTTCAGGACTTTCCAAAATGGTCAATGTCCAAGTTAATGGTAAGAATTCGAATTTTCTATTTTGATAGAGTCTATGTTAAGTTAATATACTTTATAGAACCTGCTAGATTTGAAGTATCATATAGGAATATGTCAGCAAGGAGAGGTGATCCGGTAAACTTATTATGTGAAGTGTTTGGAGATCAACCTATTCAAGTAACTTGGTCGAAGAACAGTAACCGCATTGAACTGGGAAGCTATCGGTAATAACTTATTTTTTATTGTTGTTAAACCAGATTTTATAGTTTTTGCCTCAATAATTTTATTGTAGATCGAGTATATCAGAGGTTCAAACAACTAACGGCGTAAGTTCGCAGCTTTCTTTAAATCAAGCCGACAGGCAAGATTCTGGTACATATCAATGTCAAGGAGAAAATAGTTTTGGTAGAAGCAATTTTTTTATACACTTAGCAGTTCAAGGTAACTAAGATTATAATATTAAAAAAAATTCTTATCAATTTATATTTTCCGGAATAGGTATTCTGTATCTTAAATAAATTTGAATATATTTTATTCATTAGAAAGACCTGATCCACCAGTCGCCCTGGAAGTAGTTGAAGTTGATGGAAAATCTATTAAATTATCATGGAGACGACCATTTGATGGAAATTCTCCTGTGTTAGGTTTCATGATACAATATCAGCCTCTTGCAAACATGGGTGTACGAGGATTAGATTGGAATAGTGAAAACGTGAAAAACATATCATTGTCTTCTATAAGTACAAAGTTGTAAGTAACTAAGCAAATATGTATATAATAAACAAGTATATAATTTTTGTTAAACTCGAATGAAATTTAGGCCTGGATCGGGACCTAGAGAGCAAGCAATCGTACCAAATTTGCATCCATCAACAACATATGCCTTAAGAATGCTTGCTGTTAATGATATTGCTAGCAGTCCATTTACGGAACCAGTGATGGCAAAAACTCAGGAAGAAGGTACAACATTATGTATATATTCAAGTACAAAAAATATACGTTTAGATATATTTTTTATTTTTTGGGCATCATTTATTTGAAGAAAATTTGACAAAAGTTGTAGTCAAACTAAATTTGTGTTATAGATTAATCTGACAGGTTTTATTGAATTATTTGGCTGCTTTGGAATTTAGCCCCGAGTGAAGCTCCGCCTGGTTTGCAAGTTGTAGCTGGTGGGCCAGAGGAACTTATCGTCACCTGGCAGGTAATAAAAACATTTCAAAATATAGAATTCATGATTTGTATTAAAACCTGCAATGTTATATGTGAAAATTGTAGATGTATCAAGAAAAACCTACTATCTCATTTCAAAGGCTTATAATATTTTAGGAAGTTTGCTGAGACTATAGATTTTATTACTGTTCAATGTTACATTTAAATTGCTAAAATTTTCAGTTTTTTTTATTAGTTTATTATATGAATATTTTTCTTAGGTACCCCCTCGGTCGGTATGGAATGGTGAACTTCTAGGATATGCAGTCCAAGTTTCAGAAGCTGGTAGCGGTAATAAAACTCGTGCTGCTACTGTACATGGATGGGCTTCAACAAAGTTAAACGTTAAAGGTCTGAAGAAATTTACTCGTTATGAAGTTACGGTTCGAGCAGTAAATGCAGTGGCGGCTGGACCGAGCACTGCGCCTGTTATTGCAAGCACACAGGAAGGAGGTACACTTCAATAATAATTTTATATTCAATATATTATTATTATATTTTATTATCAAATATATTCAACAAATTTAAGATTATGCTAATCGTTTATAATATTGTAATATCATTTTCCTCAGTTCCGGAAGCACCACCTGGATCAGTAACTTGCTCACCTTTATCTTCGCAAAGTCTGCACGTGCAGTGGGTGCCACCTCCCGAATCCCAAGCTGGTGGGGTGATCCAAGGTTACAAAGTTCTCTATCGGCCAATTTCGGCTCAATTAGCAGAAACTGGTAAATTTCATTACTTACGACAATTTTCAATTAATCTATAAACACTTGTTAAGGAATTCTCAACTAATTTCGATAGTTGAATCATCGCCGGGAGTCGGAGAAGTTAAGAGGACATCTGGGACCGAAACTTATTTGCATGCTTTGCAAAGATATACAAATTATTCTGTTCAAGTATTGGCCTATACTTCTACGGGGGATGGTGTAGCTAGTTCGGCGAAAGCTTGTCATACCGAGGAGGATGGTAAGTAAATTATAGATATGAATTAAATATAGGTTTTTGTAATAAATAGTTTAAACTTTTATGAGTAGCTAATATTAATTCTGCCTCCATTACTTCTTAAAAAACATGTTAAATTTTTCATATATAATTAATCTTATATTTTATAATGTAAACAGGTGCAAAAAAGTATGTTTTAATAACAGTTTCCAAGTAAGGAACTTTCTATATCCCAAAAACGTTGAATTAATGAAAAGTAAACAAAAATGATATATATATATATATATATATATAATTTATAGATTATATATATAATATTTTTCTTTTTAGTTCCTGGTCCCCCTTCTGCAATAAAAGCTCTGGCTTTAAGCGGAGATTCTGTGCTGGTTTCCTGGCTGGCGCCTTTGTATCCAAATGGTATCCTTGGCCTATACACGGTCTATTCACGAGCCGCAGGACGCGTTGGCACCCAAGCTGCTCATTCAGTCAGGGTTGATCCAGGTTTTGACGGCGTAGTCCAGGAAGAAATGAGCTATGAGGTTCGCGGATTGGCGGAGGACGGAAAATATGAATTTTGGGTATCAGCCACAACTGGGGTAGGAGAAGGAGAACCGACTAGTATTGTTGCACAATCAACAAACACAAGAGGTATAGTAAATAATAGATGATAATTTAAAAATTATTCTAATGAAGTGATTTTAATGTTACATTTAATTTTAATATTACTTTACTAATAACAAACAATTTGTCCCTATTCTCAGCTCCAGCCCGAATAGCTTCATTTTCAAGGACCATCAAACGTCCGGTAGGTTCAAGTGCCTTACTACGATGTGCAGCCGTTGGAAACCCAACACCAAGGGCTGTCTGGCTTCACAGAAGCAGACCCATCACTTTCAGTCCGTTTTATAAAATAACCAATGATGGACATTTGCAAATACACAGTTAGTATTTATTTTTAAATTGTGTATATAAAATTATTTTAAATTGTGTACCTCGGCTATATATTTTATTTACTAATTATTAATTACATCATCTGTTATGCAAATGATTTTAACGTGGACTTTCAAGGACTTATTGTAGCTTAAGTCTTACCTGTGCGAAATTTTTTGCTTAAACTGGTTTAATTAAAGTTATTTTATGAATATTTTTAATAAACAGGAAAAAAATATGATTAAATACATCATTACAAAGTTTTTGATGAAATTGGAGAATACCAAGTGGATGTAACCACTGTTTTTTTATGAACAGTTCCAACTCCATTTTGAGAATAATATTTTATTGTAGATGTTATTTGAATAATTATTTTCGATTTGGTAACTATTATATAATACCTAAAGAAATGTTGATTTTAGTAAATATTGGTACAGATGGTACGCCTAAATATTACCAGATTTTTTCCTTGGGCGTACTACTTTAACAACTTTGCTTTACATAGTTAGTAAAAGGTTTGTTATTATGTGTTATTTTCATTATAGGCGTAGATCAAGCTTTGGCAGGTAATTATACATGTTCTGCCAAAAATCTATTTGGAGAGGATGAAATCACGTACACAGTCGAAGCTTTACTTCAACCAGGACAACCCGTTCTGGAGTTGCAATACAGCACTGCCAATAGTATTAAGGTGACTACATAATTTTTATCACATTATTATGTTAAAATTAAAATTGGAATGGATGGATATATGATTTTAATTTTTATTTAAGATTCGATGGACTACGCCTGCTGATGGCGGAACTCCACTTTTAGGCTATACATTATCATATAGAAGAAGCATGGATCCATGGGTTTATAAAGATCTGAATCCTGAATATACGAGCCACGTTTTGGAAGATTTGAAATGTGGTTCTAGTTATCAGATTTATTTGGTAAGTTAAGGCATACGTACTTTCTTTATGATACTTTCTAAGCAAATATGTTAGTCAAGAAACAATTTTATGAAGAAAATATTTCAATTTTGCCAGGTTGCTCAAAATTCAGTAGGTAAAGGAATTCCTAGCGAAACTTTGAATACTAAAACAAAAGGAAATTGTAAGTGATAAATATTTAGAAAGTTGCATTAGTGTTGCAAGTTGAAATTCATTTTTGTCCCTTGTCAGTGTCTCAAATGGCTGATGAAAAACAATTGCTACATACAAATGCAACAGCGTTACTTCTGCGTCTGCAAGCATGGGATGATGGAGGTTGTCCTGTTGCTCATTTTACTGTCGAGTATCGTCCATTAGGAGCTTCAAGATGGCAATTAGTTGCTGCTGAAACGTCGGAACCTGAACTTCAAGTTAGTAGCCAATATATAATTTCAGTATCAGTTATATTCCTTTAATGCTATAAAGATTATCATTAAATTCAATTAAATGACAAATAAAATTAGACATTGTTAACTATGATATATTTTCATCTAGGTAGGAGGCTTGGACACTGCCGCTTGGTATCAACTTAGGATTACAGCAACGAACGATGCTGGTACTACAGCTGGTAGCTACAACTTTGCCACGACAGACTTAAGTGGAGGTAATAATAATTTTCATTCAAATTTAATTAATGATTATTAATTCCTTCTTTTGATTTCAGAACCGATTCTACCTCCTTTAGCATATCCTGCTGGATCTGATGTTTTAGAAGATGCGTCATCATATTCCGATCATATTGTAATATATACCACAATTTCTATTATACTATTAATATGCTTTGTCATCTTAGTGATTTTTCTGTTAAGAAGGAATGGGTAAGTCTTTTCTGAAATATTTAAACCATTTACATCGTTTCTTGACTAATACATCATGGTTTTTGAATCTAGTTATTATTTCAGCATATGTGACAATGAAGAGATTGTTCAAATGGCAGATATTAAAACCAATGTAGAACGAGAAAATTTGCAAAACCAGAAACATGTACACGAAAGTCAGCAGGTGTATGCTCCTAATCCTAGAAAGCAAAGCCACGGAAAACTGAATAGCAATGCAGGGGAAGAATCAGGTATTTATATATTAAATTAAATGTTTGATTTTAACAAATTAAATGATTGGTTTACTCTATTTTATAATATATTCCAGAAATGTACGATATCAGCCCATATGCTACATTTAGCGTATCAGGACCAGAAAGCCGATCAGTTACTGCAAGTACTTTAGATTACACTGTCCAGTTTAAAACATTTGGTATGATCGAAGTTGAAGATGGTCCAGATAGAGTAATAAATTCACAATGTGGAACACCTGGAAAATGTGGAAGGCATCAGATGTATCCAGATGGTAAGACAATATACAAAATAGTGAATAAATTCACTAAAATTAAATCATCATTGCTTGTTTTAAGAATTTTGTTTTGTTTTGTTTGTTATATAGATGATTCTACATTAAGCAAGTCCATGACGTTAGCCCTGGGTGCAACTACACCTCATAGAAGTAGAAATTCTCAAAGTCAATCTGGACAAACAAGGTCTCGTAAAGGACATGGATCAAATAGTGGAAAATATAAAGAATCAGAATCAGACACAAGTGGAAGCCCTAGCAGGGAACCGTATAGAGTGCCAGTGAAACCTCCACGAGGTAATATTATCAAGAGAAAAGTAGATAGAAAAAATCATAAATGCAATATCTAAATACAAATATTTGTTTATATAAAACAGTCAAATTTTTCTGCAAATTATTATATTTGATAGTACGCTTAATATATTTTTTGCTTTTAATAGCTTTATTTCTTATGGTTTTTATTTTATGTTTATAGTATTCCGACAAGGGTCAAGTACAGAATCAAATAATGAGACCTCTCCTGTTTTAGCGCGAAGGACTCCAAGGCATTCAAAATCTTCATCGACAATCACAGATAATCCAAGGTAATTATTAAATATATTCAGAATTATTAATTTTTATTTACCATAAATTTTATATTAATGACATGTTAATTTTTCTAGATTTTATGAACGCAAAAAACATCAAGACCTCTGCACAATTTATGTATAGAATTAATGGAATGCAAACCTGTAAATACTTTTTTATAATATATAATTAAGTTATACCTGTTAAGTTTAATAGTTAAATATTTATTGATAATTTGAATATATCTATAAGTCTATTCATGCTCTAAATATATTTTGTTATTACAGAATTTGTTCTAATGAATTTGCAAAAACATTGTTCGATAAACTAAGCTCATTAATGTTTTTTATATATTTAGATATTTACAAATGTTGTGCCTAAAGATATATAATCTATATGAGTTATATCCAATTGTATTACTTTAGTATAATAAATATTTCTATTCATTGCGTTCATAAATAATTGGTTTTTTGTTGATTAAAGATTTATCCAATTTCAGCCGTAAGAATACTACATGCATTGGTGGATTGTTTGAAAGTAGAATAGATGAATGTATAAATTCAATTATACATCCTTAAATATATAAATGTACATTTCATATCTGAATGTTTCTTCAAATTTAAAAGCGTATTCAAATATCCCGCCATGATCTCAATAAGTGGCGCATGCAGCGCCTCTATGCCAAATCGTTCCCAGTTTGTGAGGAACTAACGTCAAACGTTTGACAGTTCTTGCTTAAAAAGGAATCCAATAAGATTCCTAAGCTCCTACGGTAATTGCTTGCAGCGCCTCTATGCAAAATCGTTCCCAGTTCGTGAGGAACTAACGTCCAGTTGAATTCATATAAAAGTGTTTAAAGGAATCCAATTAGATTCCTAGATTCATAGTGGCGGTTGCATGCAGCGCCTCTATACAAAATTGTTCCCAGTTTGTCGGGAACTACGTAGTGACTACCGGGTTCATATGGTTCTGTGTTAGATGTCGCCACCGACCTAAACGTCAAACCTTTGACAGTTCTTCGACGACAAGTTAAAATTATTAAAATTAAGTCATCGTGTTATAATAATCAAGCTGTTGCACAATGCTTTAATATTTGCAAATTACTATACAGTATTATAATTTTAAGTGCATTTCCTGATATACTTGTAACAAACAATTTCCTGATATAACTTATAACAAAAACAAAGAACATAAACAATTTAACTCAGTTATGATATATTGATGAATTATGATATGTCATACCATTTCGTTCTACTTCTATTCTATTAACCGTTTTTCTAGAAATAGAAACAGAAAACAGGCATAATAGATCACAGAATAGAAGTTTAAAGCTTTGAGTAAGTTTTACAACTTTTTATATAATATTATTGTTGTCCCATGCTAAAGGTTATGGAATAATTATATATTTGTTGAGTACTATTTTATTGGATGTGAGATATATTTCATTCAAATAAGACTATGATTCCAAATCCAATTATATTTCCAATAACGTCACTCTAGTATATTAAACTTCTGTTTCAATCACATAAATACACCAATATTCTTTGTAAATTTGAATCGAGTAGAAAAATAATAAGATATTTATATAGTTTATTTAACTAGCACAAGTATGTGTAAAAATATTTTTCACTTGTTAAGGATGTATACCTGTAAGAAGATATCAAGAATCTATACCTATTGGTATTTCTAGTGAATGTATATGAATCAATTTATTTTTTCACAATAAGTAATTCTACATATATTCTTTATTAAATCAGCTTCACACTTAAAATCCTGTTCATAATGAAGAAATGATTCTTTGCCCCATCAAGTACTTCGAGCATCTAGAGCATTAGGGAGTGTAAATTAATTGTCAATTCATTGATAATTAATCTTGATGTTAATGCTTTGAATAATATGTTAGTTTCTACTATTAGAATACTTTTAGAATGAATTCAGCTTAAAAATAAAAAGGATAATTTATATACTGCACATAATATATGTGCTTCATAAATAAGTATTTATTTATTAATGATAATTTTACTGAAATTATATTTTATAGTGCCATCGACTTCTTGCTGTTGCAAGTAAACAAGCTTTCATTTATTCAAATAATAAACGTCAAATATTGTTTCCTGTGTACAAAAGTTCACAGACAAATTTCCAAGTTTTAATTAGTTATCAATTCAATGACAAGTGATATTAAGGAGCTTTGAACAATATTACTTTCTACTATTAGTGGAAGGCCTGTGCCGTGGTTTCAAGTGCGGAATTCTTAAACAATCCGATTATTTAAATCTTGTGCAATGTGAAACTCTTGAAGGTAAGTTGGTTTGTTGACACACATGTGACTTGTCTTGTGATATAAATTAAAAAATAGTTATTGATAAGGGTACTTTACCAAATACCTTTGGCGAAATTGTGATAAGGGTTGAAGTAAAATAGTCAAGCACTCAATTCAGAAGTGATTTTTACTTGGATATTAAGCTTTAGCAGTTATTTGATTTGCACATTAGTCATGTGCTTTGCTTGAGATAGTATTTAACATTTTATACTTTTTATACTTTCATTTTATACTCACAGCATATGTGACAATGAAGAGATTGTTCAAATGGCAGATATTAAAACCAATGTAGAACGAGAAAATTTGCAAAATCAAAAACATGTACACGAAAGTCAGCAGGTGTATGCTCCTAATCCTAGAAAGCAAAGCCACGGAAAACTGAATAGCAATGCAGGGGAAGAATCAGGTATTTGTAAATTAAATTAAATGGTTGATTTTAACAAATTAAATGATTGGTTTACTCTATTTTATAATATATTCCAGAAATGTACGATATCAGCCCATACGCTACATTTAGCGTATCAGGACCAGAAAGCAGATCAGTTACTGCAAGTACTTTAGATTACACTGTCCAGTTTAAAACATTTGGTATGATCGAAGTTGAAGATGGTCCAGATAGAGTAATGAATTCACAATGTGGAACACCTGGAAAATGTGGAAGGCATCAGATGTATCCAGATGGTAAGACAATATGTAAAATAATAAATAAAGTCACTAAAATTAAATCATCATTGCTTGTTTTAAGAGTTTTGTTTTGTTTTGTTTATTATATAGATGATTCTACATTAAGCAAGTCCATGATGTTAGCCCTGGGTGCAACTACACCTCATAGAAGTAGAAATTCTCAAAGTCAATCTGGACAAACGAGGTTTTGTAAAGGACATGGATCAAATAGTGGAAAATATAAAGAATCAGAATCAGACACAAGTGGAAGCCCTAGTAGGGAACCATATAGAGTGCCAGTGAAACCTCCACGAGGTAATATTATCAAGAGAAAAGTTCAGTAGATAGAAAAAATCATAAATGCAATATCTAAATACAAATATTTGTTTATATAAAATAGTTAAATTTTTTTGGCAAATCATTATATTTGATAGTATGCTTAATATATTTTTTGCTTTAAATAGTTTTATTTCTTATGGTTTTTATTTTATGTTTATAGTATTCAGACAAGGGTCAAATACAGAATCAAATAATGAGACCTCTCCTGTTTTAGCACGAAGGACTCCAAGGCATTCAAAATCTTCATCGACAATCACAGATAATCCAAGGTAATTATTAAATATATTCAGAATTATTAATTTTTATTTATCATAAATTTTATATTAATCTCATGTTAGTTTTTCTAGATTTTATGAACGCAAAAAACATCAAGACCTCTGCACAATTTATGTATAGAATTAATGGAATGCAAACCTGTAAATACTTTTTTATAATATGTAATTAAGTTATACCTGTTAAGTTTAATAATTAAATATTTATTGATAATTTTAATATATCTATAAGTCTATTCACGCTCTAAATATATTTTGTTATTACAGAATTTGTTCTAATGAATTTGCAAAAACATTGTTCGATAAACTAAGCTCATTAATGTTTTTTATATATTTAGATATTTACAAATGTTGTGCCTAAAGATATATAATCTATATGAGTTATATCCAATTGTATTACTTTAGTATAATAAATATTTCTATTCATTGCGTTCATAAATAATTGTTTTTTTTTTTGTTAATTAAAGATTTATCCAATTTCAGCAGTAAGAATACATGCATTTAAATCTATGTTGGTGGATTGTTTGGAAGTAGAATATGTGAATGTATAAATTCAATTATACATCCTTAAGTATATAAATGTACATTTCATATCTGAATGTTTCTTCAAATTTTAAAGCGTATTCAAATATCCCGCCATGAACTCAATAAGTGGCGCATGCAGCGCCTCTATGCCAAATCGTTCCCAGTTTGTGAGGAACTAACGTCAAACGTTTGACAGTTCTTGCTGAAAAAGGAATCCAATAAGATTCCTAAGCTCCTACGGTGATTGCTTGCAGCGCCTCTATGCAAAATTGTTCCCAGTTCGTGAGGAACTAACGTCAAGTTGAATCCATATAAAAGCGTATAAAGGAATCCAATTAGATTCCTAGATTCATAGTGGCGGTTGCATACAGCGCCTCTATGCAAAATCGTTCCCAGTTTGTCGGGAACTACGTAGTGACTACCGGGTTCATATGGTTCTGTGTTAGATGTCGCCACCGTCCTAAACGTCAAACCTTTGACAGTTCTTCGACGACAAGTTAAAATTATTTATTAAAATTAAGTCGTCATGTTATAATAATCAAGCTGTTGCACAACGCTTTAATATTTGCAAATGGCTATACAGTATTATAATTTTAGGTGCATTTTCTTGATATACTTGAGTAAATTTATGTTCTATTTGCAGGTTCTTTAACCTATAACAAAGATCATAAACAATTTAACTCAGTTATGATATATTGATGAAGTATGAAATGACATACCATTTCGTTCTATTTAACCGTCTTTCTAGAAATATAAACAGAAAAACAGGAATAATTTCCATTCACACATGTGTATTCACACACAATGGACAAATATTTTAAATTGTGTTTTGGTTAATGTTATAGTTTATTTTCTTTATTACCAACGAATTAATTAATATTATAATTTAAAATGGAATATCATGTAGTTATTATATTATATTTCTATTTTCTAGTAAAAATTAATACTATCTAGTGTTGCAAATGGCGATATAATATTATTTAAGATTTATTTTCTTGGGATAAAACTGTATTGATTTCGCAGGTGCTTATAACTTATATGAAAACAAGAAACATACCAAATTAAATCAAATATATGATTGATGAATTATGTAGGGGCACAGCATTCTGTTCTATTTAACTCTTCCTAGAAATACGCAAGTAGCGAAAAAACAGGAATAACGAATAAAAAATCACAGCTTCGAGTAAGTTTCACTACATTATATATAATGTTGGCCCATACTATTATGTAATTATAATATTTGTTGAGTGTTATTTTATTGGGCATGAGATTAATTTTATTCAAATAATAAGCGTCAAATATTGTTTCCTGTGTACAAAAGTGTACAGAAAAATTTCCAAGTTTTAATTAGTTGCCATTTCAATGACAAGTGATATTCAGGAGCTTTGAACAATATTACTTTCTACTATTAGTAGAAATAATTAACACTTTTATATATAATTTGTACCAATAACAATAAATAAGAGTTAGAAAGGAAACTAATAATAATTTTGATACTTATATAAAATTATAGCGGTATAGCCATATTATTATATTGTCTAGGGGTATAGCAAACCCTAAAGTCTGAAAGTCTCAGAACTTAACATAAATAAACAAATATTTTGTGTGAATAAGTTCAAAGATTTCTTTGCAATTTGCAAAGCATATTTTTCAATTTATTTTACATTTTTATGTAATATTGCATATTTTAATCCAATTAGTTCAAAATGTACTTTGATAAAAATGAAAGTTAAATGATGCAAAATCTATTTATTTTGCAGAATAAGAAACTTTTACCGTATGATTATATCTAGTTTTCATTTCTTAATTTGAAATGAAAAGATTTCGCGCTATTTGCAGCACCATCTATTATCTTACATGCGCATTATTTTGACATTGATCGATCCACCATTTTGAATTAGTGTCGAATTGACGTCAGATCATATGATCAAAATTCAGTAAAGTTTTTATTTCGCTGTCAGGTGCCTGTCGGGCTTAGGTGTGTACGAGACGATTACTGCCAGATAAATTGAATAAAAATGGGTTTCATGTTCAATATTGATGGTGGCTATCTGGAAGGCCTGTGCCGTGGTTTCAAGTGCGGAATTCTTAAACAATCCGATTATTTAAATCTTGTGCAATGTGAAACTCTTGAAGGTAAGTTCGTTTGTTGACACGCATGTGACTTGTCTTGTGATATAAATTAAAAAATAGTTATTGATAAGGGTACTTTACCAAATACCTTTGGCGAAATTGTGATAAAGGTTGAAGTAAAATAGTCGAGCACTCAATTCAGAAGTGATTTTTACTTGGATATTATGCTTTAGCAGTTATTTGATTTGCACATTAGTCATGTGCTTTGCTTGAGATAGTATTTAACATTTTATACTTTTTTTTCGATAACCACACCCTCAAAATTATGCTCTGATATATGTATTCTTCACTAGTTTCATAATTGAAATATTTTTGTAGTTTAAGCATTAAAATATTGTCTAATTATGTCTTTTCTGACATTGCTCTTATTGGATAAAGTTATTCAAACATCGATTGTAAACTAAACGTTCTTCTATAATAACCTTTTTCAGTAAATGTGTTACATGACTAAGGTCAATTATTATTGTAAACATTGATATAGCCAATTCAAAGAATTGATTGTACCGTTTGTATTTAAGATTGTTACATGAAATAGTAATAACGATGTTATTTGAATAGTAACAGCAATGAAATTAGTGAATGAATACTTACAGATTTCTCCACTGTATTGTGAGTGTATTAAGTATTCTAGTTATTGCTAGTTTCTAATAAATCTTATTTGCAGATTTGAAGCTGCACCTGGCAGGTACAGATTATGGCACCTTTTTATCAAATGAGCCTTCCCCCTTATCTGTGTCTACCATTGATGACAAATTACGTGAAAAATTGGTTATTGAATTCCAACACATGAGAAACCATGCTGTCGAACCTCTGTCCACTTTCTTGGATTTCATAACCTACAGTTATATGATTGACAATATCATTTTGTTGATCACTGGTGAGAAAATTTGGCAATAATTATTTTTCAATCCAATTAATATTTTATTTCTTCTCGTTTATAAATTATGTTTATTACATTTTTATTAGCAATATATTATATATTTCATTTAGGTACACTACATCAGAGACCAATTTCTGAATTGATTCCCAAATGCCACCCACTTGGAAGTTTCGAACAAATGGAGGCTATTCATGTAGCTGCCACCCCTGCAGGTAAATTAAATTAATTTCTTATCATAACATGTTATAACTACATCTCAATTTTATATTACTTTCACTATGTTGGAAGTATTTATAATCATATAATATTAGTTTTGAATTATGAATATGTAAAATTATATAAACATATGAATGAAGAACTCAAAAGTGATAATTATAAATTAGGTTACTATCCTGAAGAAGAAATAGAATTTAAACCATCGGTTTCAGGTAGCAAATGGTGTGTGATTGAATTATTTTACAGCTTTGCCAATTTATTTAACAATTTAAATTGACTAACAAATAATATTTATCATGCAATATTGAAGTTTTAATTTTTCTCATAAAATAATTTTATTGATATACTAATGAATTTTTTGAATAAAGATTGAAGTGCTACTAGTATTATTTTTGAATTTTCAAATATTAGAATTTTTTAAATGAAGTATGCAATCACATCATTTTCAGTGTGAAATTTTTATTCTCATAAAAAAAACATGTACTCAAAAAAACATCTTAACATTCTTCAATAACAATTTATAATATTTATTTTTTATTGTAGAATAACATTTTTGCCAAATATTTCAAACTAATATAATGTAGTGCTATAACTATATTTTTTCATTTAAGAGTTATACAATGCTGTACTTGTGGATACCCCACTTGCTCCATTCTTTGTTGATTGCATTTCGGAACAGGATCTTGATGAAATGAACATTGAAATTATTCGTAACACTTTGTACAAAGCCTATCTTGAGGCATTTTATGAGTTTTGCAAGGGACTTGGTGGATCCACAGCTGATACAATGTGTGAAATATTAGCTGTAAGTAATACTATAACATTATTTCCTTTACTTTAGTCTGTGACAAAACTAGTGAAAAAAGTTCTCAGTGCACTTAAAATATTATTATACCAACTATAAAATTTAAACGGATGAAGACTATTGTCATGTTTAACATAATCTTTAAGTTATTATTCTGTTCATACATGGAATCAAAATCATTTCCCAACATTTTTATAATTATTATAGTTTTTATAGAGGAAACACTGGTTAATTTTAAAATAATCTCTAAATAAACAATATGATTAAATGTCTATATCAACAAAAAAATTGAAACTATTCTCAGTATTCAAATATACCTCTCTGTTATTAAATATTAAATATTATTCATAAAGTTTGAAGCTGACAGACGTGCCATAATCATAACAATCAACTCGTTTGGAACTGAATTGAGCAAGGATGATCGTGCTAAATTGTACCCCCGTTGTGGTAAACTAAACCCAGATGGTTTAGCTGCTCTGGCTCGTGCTGATGATTATGAGCAAGTTAAAGCTGTTGCTGAATATTATGCTGAGTATTCTGCTTTATTCGAAGGCTCTGGCGATGGTACCGGCGACAAAACACTTGAAGATAAATTCTTTGAACATGAGGTATGCAAATATTTATATAATAAAATAGGGAAGTTATAGATTTTTAAAGTAACAAAGTAAATATATATAAATCATAAAATTATGCATGAAAAAAGAAATACTGATTTGATAAGAGTGAAAGCAATCGGCTGTTGAGGCTTAGATAAAACATTTAATAATCATTTAATAAATATTTTAAACGGAAGGAAAAGACCTTTTGTCACCGATTTAAAAAATTCAAAAACCACTCCATTTGTTTAGCGCGACGATCGGGCAAGCCGTTTTTTTGTGTTTATCAGAAAAGTGAAACGATTCACTCGATTGGTGATCGCGTTGATATAATACATTTTATTTAAATGTATTTTTTTTTTTTGTTGCAGGTTCATCTCAATGTGTTTGCTTTCTTGCAACAATTCCATTTCGGAGTATTTTACTCTTATTTGAAACTCAAGGAACAAGAGTGCCGTAACATTGTTTGGATAAGTGAGTGCGTTGCTCAAAAGCACAGGACCAAGATTGACAACTACATTCCAATATTTTAATTAATTTGTTGTTAATTTTGATAACGTTGATTTTATCCAGATGTTTGTTGTGTACAAAGTATTTATCTCGGGCCAAACCAATTGTAACAGTATTTTGAATTTCATTTTATGATGAAGCCAGACCGGATTTGGGCGCACATGAGTTTCTATATATATAAAATGAATTACCGACATAATATAGCCTAATTATCCTCAATTTAGAAATATCATTGATTGTTAACTATATTTAGAATATATTATCGTTTTGTTGTACTTTGTTCCTTTTTTGAAATTTAACAGCACAGCTGCATGGTACTATAAAATGTGTGTATATATTAATAAAAGAATTATAATATTCAACTCTATTCAGGAATAATAATCTATTTTCTAATTGTCTGTAGTAATGAAATAATTTTTAAACTTCATATATTCAAACTAATACATTCAATTTAAAACTGATGATAATTATTTACGTGCAAGCTAAAAGAGTGTTTTATAGTGCGGTATATCTAATAATTAAGTGTTAGTTACATATGAATAAGGTAAGATAATAAATCTATTGCTTTCCAATGTAAATATTGCAAGTTAATTGTGCAAAAATAACATAATAATAGTGATAAAACGCACCGTGTCAAAGTATTTAGTGGGAACAGCAAGTCTGTACGCATACTGTTGTAGAAAAAAATGAAACCAGTTAACATTAAGTGTAAATATGTGTTCATTCGAGGTTTAGAAAAAGTATTGTGATTGAAATTATTTTTAAATTTCGATTCATGCTTTTTCTTTCAAGTAATTATAGATTCATACACAAAAGCTGGCTATAGCTTGTTATTAATCACAATGAGTTATTCAATAAATAATTATGAACAAAATTTCCGTTTTTACTTTTTTTTAGGATAAAAGTATCAATTTCTTTATAGAACCACATAACTTAAAAAAGTAGAGTATGATTTAGTAAGTGGAGGTCAAAATATTGTATGTTGAGAGTAAAACATTCATTTATGTATAACATCCAGGGTCTTCATAGTGTTTTTGTAAAAGACTCGTCCTTGCAACCACCAGGTTTTGAATTTAAATTGCCCGTTAAACACTATCTGATAACATGGCTCACTAATATTTGATTTTACTTGAGAATATAGACCACAAGAATTTTCAAATGAAGATAGTCTATTGAGACATTGCTGCGATATATCACCTCATACTTTACAAGTTCGTAAAGTAACAATTCCAACACAAAAATAAAGGATGAGAAAAACTTGGTACATCTATAATAGGTAAGTCATTACTTATCATAAAATTCATAATACACCAGGGATGAAAATTTATTTTTTTGGACAGGTATAATGAAGAAGAATCCGAAGTAGCTTGAGATGATCAGAATGAATTTAGATCATTGTTGCGACAATACTTACATTATTACAAATTTTACGTGTATCAAATGCAATCTTTGGAGTTTGATCACAAAACGTAATGGATTGAGTTAGAGGTATGTTTATTGAGGAATAATTTATATATTTTAAATGGAATTCTTTGTAATGTTGGGTTTAGCTTTTTTATCTGCTTGATTAACTGATGTCTAATAGCCCACCCAGTGCAAAAAAGAGCTGTTACCTTAAAAGTTTAAAATAATTATTTTAAATCATGGATTTTTTGGAACTTACAATGGCTATATAGTCCACTATTATGGTCCACTCTAAACGAACCGTTAAAATATTATAGTCTTGCGAAAGGTAGTTATAATATAAAATTTCATTAAAGTTTAGAATAGTAGCCGTGCTTTAAGGGCATACAAGCGCGTGATTGTGCAATATTTAATATAATTCATAATATAAGTCTGTTTGAAAGATATTAAGTGGAAATCGTTTTGATTACTTTTTAGTGAAAGCGAAAACTTCCTTTTTGAAATAAACAATTAAAGATTGTATTTAAATAGCAAATAATTGAGAATAATCGGAAAGTTTATACAAATTTATGTATATAGAGGCAAAATTCCACTTGCATCTAGTTTATTCATTTTTTCATATTTATTCTATTTATAACTAAAGTTTATATAAATAATATTGATCAAATCAGTAATTTGTCTCTATTGCTTCTAATTAGAATACTTGAGGCACGCGATCCAATGTTTACTTATTACGCAACAAGGAAAATATTGTCTCATTTTTTCCATAAAAATATATCTAAAAATGCGTATAATAAATTTTCTACTGTGCTTCTTTGTTAGTTCTAAATGATACTATATCTTATAATAACTTTCATATCAATCTAAGTATTTTGTCAATATTGCCCCTTTTTAGCACACACGTGCGAGATCCTAATTTAATCAGACGATGTTGAGAATTATTTGAATATATATATACACATATATATATATATATATATATATATATATATATAATATAAATGTTTCTATAAGAGATGATCATTGAGAAAATCAAAGTACATCTGTTATATAGAACGCCTATAATTAAATGAAGAGGAAAACAGCATACTTATTATAAATCAAGAATTTAAACGACTATAATTTATTTATTCATAAACAACTGATTTCAGTGGAAAATCGTGTATCAATATCCATAAACGAAATGGTTAAATATAATTTATTCTTATATTCAATTATAATTAATTATTTATTTAAATAATTCGACGTTTGATATTTTAAGACGCGACGTGCATATAAAAACTTCGTAATAGATTAATGGATATATAAATATTATTTTATTATAATTATTAATAAAAGTACCATTTTTCGTTTTCCATTCTTATAAGTTTATATTGTCCAAATAAAATTTTATTTGTTACAAATCGCTTTGCCTTTATGAAATTTTATTACCGATAAAAATTTATGTGATATCTATACAAACGTAATTCGAGAACAATAAAATTTTGTTTTCTATATAAACAATACAAAATCCGGAAAATTTATAAGAATTTAAAATTACATAATTTTAATTCCTTTTATAAATTTATACAGTTTTGTAATAAATATATCATACGAACTGTCTACAAATTCAGAAAATGCATTTAATAATTACATAAAAGGCTTAATTAGATGAGCTAAAATTTGTTGTTAAGAGCTTTGGCCTTGCAACCACAGGATCCTAGATTCTTTGTCTACTTAGGACAGCTTGATATCTAACAGTAGTAGTAATAATCATTTATTATATCGTCTACTCTAGCATTTTTTCTAATATTTTTCTCATAATCTTTATTTCGAATTTTAATTGTGTTATAGCTAATTTTGATACTAATTATTCTTTGGAATGTGATCATCAGACTCTTTCAAATAAATTACAATTACGATTTTAGCAAAAATCAATATTTTATGCTATTAAAACATTTATTTACTAATCAAAGAGTATTCGTTGCTAATTCGCCACTGTGAGTTACACGTGTTTCATTTACAATAAACTATAAAACATCGAAAAACATTTCATAGCATTTTTCATGGGTTTTTGAAAATTTTATTGATAACATAATTTTCTTGATCACTCTAGATCACTTTATACATATGTATTTAAAATTTTATAAAATTTGTCAGCTAAGTTTTGAAATTCCATACGCACTTCCATGCATTTTTGTTTATGATTATAATATCAAAACATAATGTGAAAAATAATATGATTAAATATTTATTGATGAATGAAGTCTGATACAAATCACATAACCGAGATTAAATGCCTGCTACTAAATATTTAAAATGTACTCGTAATATGAATTAGGTAAATATATTTTAAGTTTCATAGTTTTGATTGTAATATTAAATTTAATAATTATTAACAACTTACTAATATATTAACAACTGACTTTTACCGTATAAATCCTGAGAAAAAGCGAAATTTTAGGTACTTTTTCACATTTCATTTCTTTGAAAATAAAACTCTTTAAATGTTTCCTTTTTAGAAAAACATTTTCAGCAGACGTTTATTATAATGACTTCTAAGTTTACCAGTTTATATTTATTATTAACTGGTAAACTTATAATATTTATTTAAAATGTAAGACGGCTTGACCAATCTTTATGAAATTTTACAATCACGTTTATTATGAGAATTGGACATGTCTATTTTTCATTAAAAATAACTGATAATGAATGTGGAAGTATGTAGTATATGTGAAAGAGAAATCTAACACAAATAAGATGGATGGTTTACTCACTACAAAGCATGCCACATATAAAAATGCTCATGGGGTGTAATTTATGGTCATTGCAAGTGGCAGCCTAATCTGAAAGTGATTTCATTTAAATTGAATAGACACAATAATAAAAACCGACAATAGGTAGCCAACCTTCATTATTTAGGGAGATGGAAAATAGATGTAGTCCGATTCTCATTTTCAGTCATACTGAGGACTGATTATAAAATTTCATAAAAATCGATCAAACAGTTTTGGAGTATCGTCACTAGCATTATGACTCGAGAATTCTATATATTTAAAGCGTTTTTTTTTTTGAGTTATAATTTAATCACAAAGATATATATATATATATATATATATATATATATATATTGAGTACATCTAGTATTTTGGGGTATATAATATGCAAAATATATATGGAATTATCGTTACAAAAATAATAATTTACAAGTGATATATTAGATAATTATAAATTATTTTGTGTGTATTTATAAATCTATATGTAGATATATGAAACGCGACTCACGCATATTCGCGATTGCTTGAATTGCAAATATTAGTTTTCAGTTTATCGTAGGACATGGTGCGATATGTTTGAACAGAACGTTTGCTAAATTAGTTCATTTGGTTTATTCCTTTGATGTGAGATGAATAAATTCCAGTAAATGTTTCTAATTTGAACAATGAACTCATATTTCTGAAATTTTCATTTTATAGATAAATAATTCATACCGATATTCATTCAAAGTGGGTTGTTTCTAAGTGGTGATGTTCTAAATCAGGGATCTAAAAGGTTTATTATTTACAATTTATTGAAAACTGATTAACTTTTATTATTTATTTTTTATTGTTTTTGTAGGATTAAACGAACCAAAAAGATTATATAGGATCCGCTAAATAACTTTTTTTCAGGGGTACGACTTAAGTAACCCTACTGTGTACTCTGCACTCTTTACATTTCCCTTTCAAATAAAAAAGTGAAAATATTTAGTGGTTTTTTAATAGAATTTTCAAAAAAAAGGAAATTGGCCAAATATTCCGTAGATTTTTTAAGGAATTTTTCAAAAAAATGCTAGTTGGCGGACCCTATATAAATTTATTACATCTATCAATCAATCAATAATAAAAAATAATTCATAAATCGAAAAAAAATTTTTTTATTTTATTGACTTATTTTTAAATTAAATTTTGCACAGCATAAATTAAGATTTTTGCTTCATAATTTCACGTATGTTGAGAAATTTATAAGATTAAATTATTTGAATTTTAAAATTGTTATTGATAAATTTGTCGATATATTTAAAGTTATTATAATTATTATGCATTCTACATTAAATATTCTAAACGTGTTCAAATTTTGTTATAAATTTTAATTGTATGAACAAATGCATCTATTTTTATTAAAGTTAAAATGATACAAAGTATAGTAATATATTCTTCAATTATTTAATTGACCGTTGGAGGTCTTCTTACAACATGATATATAAAGTACTTGAACAGGTTGTTTTACTAATTTAAATAAATTAGTAAACCTCGGTGATTGTCAAAATTGAAGCATATCCCAATTTTTATTTTATTTTTCCGTTTTTTTGAAAAATTATTCGTAATGGTCAAAAACTAATGGTGCATGGCATCGTGTATTAAGGCCAATTGCTGGAGCCTAAATTTATTTTTCTTAAAAAGCTGTCAAAAATTAATCAGTATGTCTGAATCATTTGAACCCGTTCATCAGTGCTCCCGAAATCGTGGTATTATTTGTATTCAAACATACATGCATACATACTACACACACACACACACCCATTTTTTCTAAAGTATGCCAAAATGTTCCAAGGACCAAAACGTAAATATGTACAAAAAGTAATCTTTTTTGAGATTACTACAGATTACACTACGAGAAGTTAATACAAAAATGTATATAAATCATTTAAATAAAGATCTAGTAGTGGTAAAACAGATATCAGGAATATTGTATATTTTTAAATAAAAACTTCATTAATGTTATTCTAATTTATATAAAGAACATAATGTTAGAAAATTGCTATTTTTGGCGAAGGTATTAACTTCTTGTTTAAAAAGGTAACAGGGTAATAAAGTTAGTAATTGTTTTGCATATATTTTTGGCATTAGTTCGGAATCTTCAGCAGTCCTGAATGCTCAGATTTATTTATCTACACATTCATTTGCACAAATGCTTCTGTGTCAATTACAAATCGAATCAAATAAGAATATAAAGGAGATAGCCAATATTTAATCAAACAATAATTGCAGATCGTTGGTGACAATTGTCTGGTGCATTGACAAAAATTTCTCAAATGCAAACAGTTAGAAACAATGAATCGTCTCGCATTCATTAGCCGAGATATTGTATAAACATATAAACTATTTCTAAACATGCACCTGCTTATCTGTTATATTTTATGAAGACGTGCAAGCATTTTTGAATTTGCGATAAATTAAACATGTTCAGGAAAACACGTGACTATAGGTGAGGTATTTACATTTTAGCAAAGTTATTTGTAATTAGACCAGAAGCAGTATATGTGGAGATGGAATCTGCAAAGAGGAAATCCATAAATTCCGAAGGAAAACAAGACCCTGTTGAAACGAAGAATGAGTCTGTATCCCAACAAAAAGGTATGCTATTATAAAAAGACAAATTTACTGACTTAGCGATTTGCTGACAAGCGATATATATATATATATATATATATATATATATATATATATATTTCTGTTGCTCTGAATCTTTCATTCTTCTGTAACATTGTTGCAAATGTAAACACAAAAGTTTGATAAGTTATCTCCAAATTAATTTTTGGATTAGTGATAAATGCTTTTAATTTGTTTATACTTAATATGTCCATAATTTCTGATATTTGATCATTTTTCTGTTTCCGCATGTAATTACATTATATGTTATTTTATTTCAGAATTGAATAAAATGGAAGCAAACGATAGAATGCTACGTTTAGCAGGAGATTTTGGAAAATGTCAATTAATGTTGATATTTTTATTTAGTTTAATAAATATATTAAGCGCATGGCACTATTACTCCCAAACTATAATCAGTATAACTCCGGAACACAGGTTAGATGATAACTGAAAAAACTTTTTGATTTTTCAACCTAAAAGATTTAGGTTTAATAATTTTATTTTATTTAATGAATCATTGGTTTTTTGTGCTGCTAAATATTCAATATATGTTCTATTATGATTTAGCTAAATTATAATATAGCTAATTTTGTATTTAGCTGTATTGAACTGGAAGCCGCCAACGTTACCGAACAAACCGTTCAAGAATACTTACCAACGTTTGAAAATCTCGATACTCTTGTTTCATTGGACCTAATAAACAAGTACGTATTTATTTAATTAGCCAGATATCGTTATTTTTATTACCTATTTGATAATTTTCGAGTTATACCGCAAAGTAATAGATACTCGTATCAATGAAATAGTCTGGTGTCATCTGCTGAACTGACCTACCGATTACATTTGAAATTCAAATTACCTAAAATTGCAATGCATGGGAAACTACCTTTGTAGTTTTTTGTATATATTAAGGTGATCAAACGGCCTGGATTTACTGGGACAGTCCCGGATTTTTACCTAGATTTCTCTAGAATATTATATTAAGTACTATCATTAAACTTATATGAAACTGGGGCGAAACAATTGCCGAATGTAAAAATAACCGAGATTGACAAAAAATTCATAGTTCACAAAAATATAAAATGTTTCCGAACATCTTTTATCCGATTAATTTTAAATTTCATTTAGTGTTCTTCAAAATGAAACATATACAGACGAAAATCAAACTATTGCTGAGGTGTTGAAAGATTTCGGTTTTGCTGGTATGGTGGCAGAGGTATGTTCACATATAACTAAACTATTTCCATTTAATAAATGTCCATAATATTTTGTTTACAGCTCAATTGGGTCTGTGACAATAGTTGGAAACCTGTGCTTGGTCAATCTCTATTTTTCTTTGGATCAGTTTTAGGCACGTTGGTATTTGGAATACTAGCTGATATTTTTGGGAGGTAATTAGAATTTATGGTATAGAAATATTCTTTCCAAGAGAGTAACTGGACGTAGAAATAGTCTTTCCAATTAAATAATTTATTATAACCTCTACTTACTTCTTCGTCCTACATCTCTCATTTTTGTCTGCTTTAAATTTAGTACACAGAAAATTTTAAATTTTTATTTTTAGTATTATTAGACAAAGAGTGACCGAAGAATTTAAATTATATTCAATTCTTTTTCTTTCAGATTACCCATGTTAGTTGCATCAAATATTTTAGCTGCTGGTGGAAATGTTGCTACTTCTTTTATATCGGGAGACGAAGTTTCTGCTTTTGCTGCTTGCCGATTTGTGTCAGGAATGGCAACAGATTCTAATTTTGTAATGATGTATATTATAGGTGAGGACTTAAATAATTATGGTAAACTTTCTTGAAATTTACAAAAAAACTATTTATCAATTCAATTTATTGCTTTCGTTTATTTAACGATTTTAAAATAATTTTTAATATTTAGTTATATATATATATATTATTATTGTTTAACTGATTGAATTTTTATTTTATTTACAGTGATGGAATATTTAAGCCCAGAACGTAGAACTTTAGGTCTAAATTTGACGATAGGCATTTTTTATTGCATAGGAACAATGTCAGCACCTTGGATAGCAGTGATTTGTTCAGACTGGCGAACGTTTTTAAGAGCCACTTCTGCACCACTGATATGTATAATCGTGTATTGGTTTTTGGTAAATATTATAGAAAATATAAAATATTGTAACTTGAATACCACATTTTTTTCAATAATTGATGCTATGCTTAATGCATAAAAATTAAATTTTGATAACAAATGCTATTAAAATTTTAGTATTACTAGGCAAAGTCATATAAAGATCTATTAATATTGTATATTTTCTGTTTTTCACATATAGGTACCGGAAAGCGCCCAATGGTTGCTTTCAATTCGAAAAGTTGACAAAGCTGTCCAATGCTTTAAAAGGATAGCAAAATATAATGGTAAAACTATTGATGAAAGTCATATAAATGCGTTCAAAAAAATCTATGAAGATAAAACAATTATACCAAGAAATAGTAAAGAAAATATTCACAGAATAAGCAAAAGTAGTGCTAATAATAAAGCTCAAAATAAAACCAAAGATAGTTTACATCAAAATAGTGATATACAGACTGATTTTCGCAATGACCGTAATCGTATCTCTTTTCATGTACCTGATATAATTAATAAAACAAATGATGTAAATGTCAAAGACGAGAGCTCCGATATTACTGAAGAATCTTTCGAAATTTCATTTGAAGAAATAGATCTTAACAATTTTCAAAACTCATATGAAGACAATTTTGGTTTTGTACACGATAGTTCTGATTCCAGTTTCAATAATACTATTTGTGACAATATTTGTAGTAGTGATATATCAAAAAATAAATCAATTGCTAATGCTCATATGGGAAAATCTGTTTGTTCGAAACACAAGGATATTGACGAAAGTAATAAACCTGATCTCATAAAACCAGAGAAAGTGAGAAAAGCTAACTTTTTTGGTCTTCTACGGACCCCTCATTTGAGAAAGATAACATTGATACTGTTATTTAAATCGTTAGTATAAATAGATTAAATATAGATGTAAAATAATATGTGCCGAATTTATGTTGAATAATTTTTCAGGATGGTATTGACATTGTGCTACGATGCTATGTCCAGAAATATAGAAAATTTGGGAATTCATCCTTTCATTATTTTTACCCTTAGTTCATCGGCAATACTACCAGCCTGCATCATACTTTTATTTATTCAGGTATTTTATTCAGTTAATTTATTAATTCTATAACATATTATATTTCAGTCCTATCAAATCTACTTTTTAAAAAATATCATACATTTTGCTATGACTTTGTGGTATGTTTACTATCGAATTTACAGACAGAGTATTATAATATTCAAATACTATCATATTATATTTTTTAAGCATTATAAACAATATAAAATATTCAAATTCCAAGAGACTGCTTCCTAATGATACCTGCTGATTGGTCAACATCAGCAGATTTTTATTAGATTTGTCTTACGTATCTTTGATAATAATAATATCGATTATGATTTGGAAGCAGGACATTTTTTTTAAAAAAAGAGCGAATATCTTCCATAGTCATTAAATGATAATTGTAATACATTTTTTGTACTAGGACAAATTGGGAAGAAAGGCTACAGCCTCTGGTGCCTTGCTCCTGAGCGGTATTTTTACTGCAGGCTGTGGAGCTTTATTGGTATCAGAAACTTTCAAAGGTAAAACATAATTATTTAATTGTTTTCAAAGATAACTAGTATTTGTATCAATTGTTTTGTTTAAAATTAAAAATAATCTAGGCTCTGCATCCGTTGCGTCTGCAATCACGTTGTCCATCCTCGGAAGACTGTGGGTAACAGTGGCCTATAATTCCGGCGCCCAATATGCAGCCGAACTAATTCCAACAGAAGTAAGGATATTATTTTTTATAAAAATACAATTTGCTATATATTAAATATTTAGAATTGAGAATGATTCATTTAATTAGAATGGTTTTTAAAAGGCTACTCTGTAGTAGACAATAAAATTTAAATACAACATATAAAGAAACTTTCACAAAGAAATGACTCACAATACTATTTTATTAGCTAGTTTATTAAGTAAGTTCATTTAATTTTTATAATTTTTGAAATTTCAAAGGTTCGTGGACAAGGAGTGGCTGTAGCACATGTTGCTGGATATGCTGCTACATTCTTCAGTGCTTATATTCTTTACACGGTATTTAAAAAACACTTTTATATTTTTTTGGAGATAATTTATAAAAACACATTTCAATAACTCTTTTGAATGAATCTTCAAGAACAGTTTACTTTGAATTTATTTTTAAAAATCCAATCAAGCAATCATGTGTGTGAACTTTACATGTCGAATTTACTAATGCTTACTTTAGGGGTTTACAACAACGGACGACCGAATTTAAAGTTCCTAAGGGTTCATTTTTAATATAAAGTTTTATTTTTTAGGGTCGTCTGTTTCCTGCATTCCCTTCATTGATATTAGGTACACTCAGCATTATTTGCGGATTATGTTGCTTATTTTTACCAGAAACTTTGGGAAGGCACTTACCATCTACATTAGAAGAAGGTATATATGAAATTATAATAACTTACTATTAATTATATTATTCTACCTTTTTTCTCATCATATAGGTGAAGAATTTGGAAAAGACGAACATCCCTTAGATTTCGTTCTCTGGAGTTTCAATAGGGCACGACGTGCAGAAACCACGAAGGAATCTTCATAATAATTTTTGTAAAAATTATTACAAAGAACAAGACTTAATTAATATTAGATAAAGTATCTGTGGTAACTATATCTTAGGCGGGTTTAATTAGGTAATGATTAAGTATCCTTTATGTAATATTGACAGAAATTTAAAAAATTGAATTTGTACTCGTTTGTACGAATAACGTTGTAAGATCAATCAATAATTCATTTATAAAAGTCTAAGTATGCTCTAAGTATTTGTAAATCGTGGACGAATTTTGTGTTGTATTGTATGACCAGTTATTCAAGTGGTTGATAAGTATGCGTAAAGATAAAGTTGTAAACACGAAGAACAGTACTGGCCAAGATTTATTTGTAGGGCACGAATAAAAAATGATACATTGATATAGATTAATGTAATAATAGTATAATCCAGTTTTGAAATCTGGAAATTGACACTTAACAAAAACTTGCCTTATATGCCATAATACTTACTTAGAAGTTAAGTGCCAAATCTAGATGTTACAAAATTTATATCAGAATTTAAACTTTGCGAATATATACCTCTGATATAAAATTACATCTTACAGTTAATTTGCAATTTTATATTTTAAATTATTTGTTTATAGTTTAAAATTTAATTTTTCAAATTTATTATCTAAAAATATATACCTCTGATATAAAAAAAATATATCATTTCATTTTATATATGTATATACATATGTTTTACATATATATATATATACATATATATACATATATATATATATATATATATATACATATACATATATAGTATATCAAAATAGTTTTTCTGAATATATAGTCTAAATTTTAATACTATTTTAATTATATAAAATATAAGATCTAGACTGAATAATACTTAAATATAGTATTTTATTTAGAATTATTTTTATTATTGTAATATATTACATATATATCTAATACTCCGGCACCTTGTTAAAATAGAAATATTCTTCAAAATCAAATGAAATTATAACACGATTTTAAGTTGTAATAAAACAAACATTGCATATGTAAAAGACTTTAGTTTTGTGTAAATAAAACTTCTACAAACTTTACTTATATTTTTTATATTCCATAATACTTATGTTCCTTAACATAAAACTTTTGTTCTTCCGAACATTTATGAAGTGGGCCGCGTATTTGGCAACACTGGAGAGGAACCCGTATAAATTATTCTGACGTTGCAAACTGGAAACGAACTATTCCATGTGTGACCGAAGGCCACGCGCACAGGCGAATCTGTCAGTTGTGAATTGACCTTTGCTGTGATCACATCGGGGATATCGGGAATAATTCCTTCTGTTAAATGTAAGAGTTTTTAGTGAAATGCATTAATAAACTGCATATATATATATATATATATATATATATATATATATATATATATATATAAATTTGTATATTATAATATATTTGCATCTGTTATATCCGTATTTGTTTAAGCTCGCCATTTTTAAACAAAGTGACATAACGAGATAAGATCAAATTTGCGTGTACATTGTTTACCTATAAAGTGATCCGTAAGAATTGTTATCGTGATTTATTTATATTCTTGCCATGGTACTTTTTAATGAGTAAAAATTTAAGTTCAACAAATGATAGAAAGTTTCCAAATGAAAATATCCTTTCCGGACATGCAATGACAGTTATAAAAGGCTACCATTTTCCAAAATGGTTGTTACACAATTTATAGAACAAGTAAACCAGATATTTGATTACTGTTCACAAGAAATTTGAAAAGATTTTTACCCTACGTAATATGAATTCCGTGTTGAAATTAATTTATGTTTTTATGTTATTATGGTTATTTTTAAATAGCCATGTTAGTCATTTGTATCTGACGTGAACAAGTTCTACATGAGACAAATATGTCTGACACTTGTCGAGGAAATGAGTTTTAATTTAAATGAAATAATTGATAAAGGGCCAGGTCAGTCATATAGGTGTAAAACAAAATTTTGTATTTTTTCGGGAATTTTGGTAAAAAAATGTTTCTTAGATACCTTAATACCTTGATTCCATTTTTAAATAAATTACTTAATAAAGTTACCCAATTATTATGATATTATCGTGGCAATTAACGTGTTATTCATTAAATGTTATTTCAACTGCCCTTGTTATCCCTAATGTTATGTCCAAGTTTGATACAGATATATTTATTATATGTTATATAATTAGATAATTATATAATATTTGACAATAGTATTTCTGGTGTTAAATTATTTAATATAAAGTTTTTATACAGACATTCATCTAATTGTTAAAATGCAATTACTATCTTAAAACAAAATTAATTTGCTTCCCAATTTGCCTCGTTCTTAACACATAAAACTACAAAACTTATTTATGTCATAGTAAACAAAAAATATATGAAAAAATTATAGTGTGAAGTACAAATGTACAATTAATCAAAATAGTTGCAAAAATAATGAGTAACAAAAGAAATATTGAAAAAATATGAAATAAAACACAAAAAACTTATTAAACAAATTATTTTAAAAAAACGCAAAATCTATAAACGATGAGTCGTATTTTTAAAATGTTAATACATATATTTTTTGAACTTAATGTTTTTCTTACAGCATTACTTATTATCTTGTTTACTTGTTTTTTTTATGGATTTATGCGTGAAATTGAGGACCAAAACTAATGAAAGACTTATTACACATTTTTCGAACATAACTTATTATGTAATTCTTTAATAATTGAATGGATGCCTGTATAAAATCTTATATGTTTATTCATATGCATATACACAGTATATATTTTTATTTTTTTTCAGAAATATACTACATTTCTATAACCTTAACTGAAAGCCATGTAATTATTTTACTTTTAGATTCCTGAGCTGTGATTGGGACTATTATAAATCTTATATATTTTAATAAATCTAATAAATAAAAATGGCCAGTCCGAGTTTATACATGAGATCCATGCAAAGGTTAGACAAATTCGTACCAAAATCGGCTTTACCGTTATGGAATTCACCAGCAGGTGTGTATTTTGCAATATCATTGTTATAAATTATGCATGTGTTTGGAAAATGTTTTCTTATCAAACGATTTAATAATTATTAGCCATTTAACTGATAGTCGACGTGTTTTTTATGGTGCATATTAATTCTAAGATAATAAATATTATTGTATTTAATATACTTATTTTGTCATCAAACTCATAGACATCTTTTATTACAGTATAGATATTTCTTTATTTACTTCTATAAAAAGCAATCAAGATATACACATGGATTAGAGACATGTATTTCAATTTTTTGTTACAATTAAACCAAATATTAACTTAGTTGTAAATGATACATTGATAGAATTTCTTTTAATATAATGTTTATGATGGTTGTTGGCAACATATTATGAATCTGTTTTCGTTTGAAATTAATATTGGTAATCAATTTTGTTTTTTATTATCGATATAGTCAAACGATAAATGCATCTAAATAGTTTATATTTCATAATTGCATATAAACAGCTTGCGGTTTCGAAATTTGCGTTTGCGTCAATTTAATTTAATTATATAAAATATAAATTACAAATTTGTCTACTTTATTTCTGATAAAGATCAAATTATGATAATTAATTTATTTAATTGAAAACTTAATCATAACTAAAATTTCTTAATTAGGTTAGAAATTGAAGCTTGATTTGCAAATAAAAATATGCTAGATTAATTTTTGTTATTAACTTCCCGTAGGGTAAGTTATTGTAATCGTCCAAAAATCGAAAGTGAAAATTTTTACATTTTTTCGCGTTTTGAAGGTTTTTGAACATTTTGGCATACCTCAGTAAAAATGGGTGTGTGTGTGTGTATGTATGTATGGATACAATTTTTCGTCTACGTTTTCGGGCGCACGGATCAGCCGATTTGAATGGTTCATAAAACATTCGATTTCTATTGATAGGGAGATGTGCTGATTAGTTTTTGGCAAAAGCAGGTCTAGCCGTTTTACGATTACTACTCGTAGTACTACGATTACTACTCATTCATTCATGAATTCTTCTCGTAAAACTCGTAATACAATTACTTTTAATTAATTTGTTGATATATCTCGTATTAGTGCTAGTATCGTTTACTACTGTTAATTCGTTTATTGATACTACGTTTTCTACGATTACTACTCGTAGTACTACGATTACTACTCGTAGTACTACGATTATTACTCATTCATTCATGAATTCTTCTCGTAAAACTCGTAATACAATGTTTGCTACTCTATTATTGTTTACTACTTTTAATTCAGTGGTAGTACTACGATTACTACTCGTAGTACTACGATTACTACTCGTAGTACTACGATTATTACTCATTCATTCATGAATTCTTCTCGTAAAACTCGTAATTCAATGTTTGCTACTCTATTATTGTTTACTACTTTTAATTCATTGGTAGTACTACGATTACTACTCGTAGTACTACGATTACTACTCGTAGTACTACGATTACTACTCGTAGTACTACGATTACTACTCGTAGTACTACGATTATTACTCATTCATTCATGAATTCTTTTCGTAAAACTCGTAATACAATTACTTTTAATTAATTTGTTGATATATCTCGTATTAGTGCTAGTATCGTTTACTACTGTTAATTCGTTTATTGATACTACGTTTTCTACGATTACTACTCGTAGTACTACGATTACTACTCGTAATACTACGATTACTACTCGTAGTACTACGATTATTACTCATTCATTCATGAATTCTTCTCGTAAAACTCGTAATACAATGTTTGCTACTTTATTATTGTTTACTACTTTTAATTCATTGGTAGTACTACGATTACTACTCGTAGTACTACGATTACTACTCGTAGTACTACGATTACTACTCGTAGTACTACGATTACTACTCGTAGTACTACGATTACTACTCGTAGTACTACGATTACTACTCGTAGTACTACGATTACTACTCGTAGTACTACGATTACTACTCGTAGTACTACGATTATTACTCATTCATTCATGAATTCTTCTCGTAAAACTCGTAATACAATGTTTGCTACTTTATTATTGTTTACTACTTTTAATTCATTGGTAGTACTACGATTACTACTCGTAGTACTACGATTACTACTCGTAGTACTACGATTACTACTCGTAGTACTACGATTACTACTCGTAGTATTACGATTACTACTCGTAGTACTACGATTACTACTCGTAGTACTACGATTACTACTCGTAGTACTACGATTATTACTCATTTATTCATGAATTCTTTTCGTAAAACTCGTAATACAATGTTTGCTACTCTATTAATGTTTACTACTTTTAATTCATTTGTTGATATATCTCGTATTAGTGCTAGTATCGTTTACTACTGTTAATTCGTTTATTGATACTACGTTTTCTACGATTACTTCTCGTAGTACTACGATTACTACTCGTAGTACTCCAGCAATTTTCCTTAAGGCACGATGCCATACACACCTCTAGTTTAATTTTAAATCATTATTAAAATTCTTCTCTTTTTTCAGGTCCAAAAACTGTCTTCTTTTGGGCACCTCTTTTTAAATGGGTGAGTATACGTATATATATATATTTTTTTTCAATTATATTATATATATATATATAGTTTTCTATTAGTAACATATTGGTTATTAAATATGACATTCACAATATTTTTTACAGGGTCTGGTTATAGCTGGCATAGGAGATTTATCCAGGCCAGCTGAGCAACTATCAGTTAGACAATCAGGATCATTGGCTGTAACTGGATTCGTATGGGCCAGATACTCCTTAGTCATAATTCCAAAAACCTGGAGTTTGTTTGCTGTTAATATGTTTGTTGGACTAACACAATTATATCAAGCTGGAAGGGCGGTTGCATATGAAATGAGTCAGGAGAAAAAGTTGACCATTGAAACAAATTCCAATCTAGAAGCATTATGATGTAAAGGTTTGTCGCATTACTTTGGTTATTTTTCTACAAATCTTAATTTGCCAGTTATACTTGAGATTATTGATTTACATAACTCAAATAAGTTTTAAATTATATTAGATACGTGGTACTTTATTTTATGATCGGCGCATGACGAAATTAATTTTACTAAAATTATATTTTAAACGCTTTTGGAATATTATTCGGTTGGCCTTGAATATCGCATTGGCCTATTATAAATTACTATTTATCGTAATTTAATAATTTATAAGGTTCAATATGATTTATATTTCTGTAATATTATTTAATCGTCTTTCCGATTCTGAAATTAATATGAGAACTGAATTCAATATGTGAACAAAAATGTGGAATATATATTTTCATTAAGATATGTGGAAGTAACTCATGATGTACCTGTCTATCGTAATTTGTAAAAATAAATCTAAATATATGATGTAAAATTATGGATGATTTTTATAATACTCGCACAATCATCATTACTCAGAATCAGTCATCCCATTTATCAGATACAAAGTCATATAACATTCACTCATTACTTACTAATTAAATCTAAGATTGATATTAAAAAATACTTACATCTCAAACAAAATTATCTATGCAACCTTTTGCTAGAAGTTTATTGAGGACAGTACGTAGCGTAAATGGTAGGCTCTCGGCCCTGCATCCTAACAGTTTTGGATTTAAATCTGCATTGCGTGCAGCCTGATATCAAGTAATAGTGATATTCATTTCACTTGAGATTGTAGATCAGTAATATGTTTACAAGAAAAAATAACACTTCCGAGCATTTCTGCAATTATGTATTTAAGAAATCGTCACGATTAGAAAAGGACAACCCAAATAAAGTTGACTAATTCTAGTTTTCCTTGTATTTCTAATTAGATTGTATTTTTCAATTAGATTGTATTTCTAATTAGATTATTTTTCCAATTAGATTGTATTTCTAATTAGATTTTATTTCTAATTAGATTGTATTTCTAATTAGATTGTATTTCTAATTAGATTGTATTTCTAATTAGATTGTCTTCTAATTGAACATATAGTTCTAATTGCTGTCCAAACATATAAAAAAATCGTTATATAATATAATAATTATTATATTATGTTTAAATAGCAAAAAAATACTGATTTTAGATTTTCTAAAATTATTTTAGCACTATTGTCACAATGCAATATGCAGTCTTACGTGAAAGGTGAAGCTGTATAATTGAATGATTGATATATATATATATATATATATATATATATATATATATTATATTATATCTGTATGCGCTCGCCATATTCTTCCAATAGATTCTCATTTATTTTAAAAGATAAGTTATAATCAAGTGTTTTATCATTTCAAAATATAATGCTAAATTCATTTTTCACACCTGATATCAGAATTCAGATAATTTATTTCACGAACAAATCATAGAATTTAATGAATTTATTTCAATATACTTGCAAACCTTGTATGTGATATTTGTGGCAAAATGCATTTTAATAAGATTTCACTGTTTGCTTTAGTGTGTTTTATTCAGTATGGAGAGATAAAATCAAGTAAGTACTAAAATGACATATTTTATTTAATATTAAGGTAAGTTATATTGATTTCTAATATAATTTATTGTGCAATATTGACTAATAGAAAATGCATAATATATTATAGACATATACATTTTCTTTTTCATTTTATTTTCATATAGAATTTTTTTACATTGTTTATCTAAAAACAATGCACACTGAATACGATTTATTTAAAAAAAATAATATTGTAATATTTGGAATATTTTGATTATTTTTATCTATTAAAATTTTTCCAGCTATAAATGATGACATGTTAGCCTTTTTTGAAAGACTAAAAATGTGGATGCCGTACTTGGATTGTTTGGAAAATGTAGATTTGCCAGTAATGGAACCTTTCTTTACTGAGAGAATGGACTTTGATCTTGTACATGAGATTGGAAAGTAATTATTTTGCAATATATGGGTATAAAAAGCTATTCTCCAAGTTTACTTCGTGAATAACAAGTTATATTAGTTATAATTTCGTTCTTGTCGCTAATTGAAAGATTCAGTATTAATTTTCTTCATAGTTTGCAGTAATAAAAAATAGAAAAATGATTACCTGATTACATGATTAATGATTTATTGATTGAAATGATTACGGTGATTACCAGTACTTTAACGCATTTGTATTTTCATTTATTTCTCTTAGGTTTTGTAGCCAATATTTATTGAGTAATATATAACAAATTGTATGGTGATAGAAGTTCAATAAGCAATCTATCATTCTGGCGCCAATCCATTTGTATTATTCTTAAAGTTTGTTTTTTTTAAGGGAAAGTTTACCTCACAAGAACTGTTAAGTATTTATTTCTGTTCAAAAAGGGAGATTTTTTAATATTAATGGGAGATTATTCCAAACTCTTTTTGATGACTAAATTACGCATTTTTTGTAGATTGTTTAAAAAAATTTCTGCAGTTAAACCTGTAGCATGTATCAGTAGCGCAAATTGTAGATTTTCAAGTAAATAATGCAAATCGATTTTCTCGCATAGTATTTTTTGTATTTTTCTGAAAATAAAATTCAAAATCAAGAATTTATTGCGTCTTTGTCAGTTAAGAAACTTCCGAAAAATCGTGTGTTAAAATGTCTCACTAAAATTAATAATTAACATAAAATGGCAAACCCAATTTGAGAATAGCTAATAAAAATAAACCCAACTTTAACTTCCATGAATATTTCAGAATGAAAGGCAATTTTCAAAATATGACAATACATAATTTATCAAAATACAATGTTGATTTATTCAATTTGAATATTTTATCATTATCTGTGAAAGCTAACATGTCATTACCAGAATTAGTGATGGAAGGTTTGTATGAACTTGATGGCAATATTGGTGATTTGATTCCAATCTATGGGGAAGGAGATTTAAAGTAAGATTTATATATGAAACATATGTTCTGAAAATATATTTTTATCTAATAAGTTTTATGTTTTAGTATGTCCTTACAAAACATAACTATCGGTATTGTCGGTAAATTTACGCCAGTTCCATTTAGAGTAAGTGATTTGAAGGTAGATTTTGATATCGGAGGATTTACGGCTTATTTCGACGGTTTAATGGGAGATCCAGAATTGGAAGAGACTTTTAATAAACTTATAAATGATATTGCTATGGAAGCTTTGCATGTTCTATGGCCTGAAATTGAAGTTGGAATAGTTGAAATGGTTAAAAAGGTGAATAATTGAACTGTGATAATAAGTTTCATTTTTTTGTATCTTATATTTATTTTCTCAGATGGTAGCTGATGCTGATTTGACAGTGGGAGACTTACTTCAATTTATGCAAAATATAAAAACTTTATTACCTGAAGAGGTACCCGAAGAATGCAAAGATCGACATTTGTTAAAATAAAAAATTACTTACAGTAATGCAATAATATTTATAATTCTGCTTGTTTTAAAATAAACAAAAATAAATCAACTGGTTCAAATAATTCTGATGAAAAAGAATTAGTTTTCTATTTATTACAAGTTTAGTAGATACGATCTCTAAAACTTGTTATATGACAAATATCTTCGGTACATTTTATACCGATTTGAAAATTTGCAAATAATTGCAAATAATTTGATATAATTCGAAGCAGTATGAAAAACAGCAAATAAAGAATAGATCAAAATGTATCCATGTAAAAATTGCTTACAAGTTGTTAATAACTTTGATTCTCAGAAGGTTTTCTGTAAATCATGTAATTTCTTTCATTTGAGGTCAAAACAACACATTATTATTAAAAAAAGCTTTTTATTACAACACTTACATGTAAAACCATACCAAAATAATAAGGTGCTCTTATTCGATAACAATGACTTTTTTGTTCATTTGACAATACTGATTCTATACTTTAGTCGGTATATCTAAGATGTGTTCTTTAATTAAAGATACTGCCAGGTCGTTCGGTGCTGATTCAAGCTCAAAAATCTCCAAAAGATTTTCAGTTCGTTTCAGAAACACTCCAGGTACATATAAAGTTACTTGAGGTCCTACTGAAGGCCAGTAGCGTCCCAGATTGTGTCCATTAATAAAAGCAACCCCCTACAAATGTTTATATTATAATATTATTCAGACAAGCGCGAATTGTTTTTGTGGTCCTATTTGCTAACTCACCTTGCCCCAACCAGTCATATCCAAGAAAGTATCGCGAATTGGTCCTTCATGATTTGCTGGTAAATCAAAATTAGTTTCGTATCCAACTGGTCCATCTAACAGTTTTCCACGAGTAGATCTTGTGCTAAAACTGCTTGGATTTGCAGAATATTCCTTGAGCCCATTTTCTAAGGGTATGCCTATGTTGATCCATCCTGTGAGTTCTTTATCTCCCCAGGTCACTGGCCAGTTTAATCCCTAAAAAGAAAAAAAAACTTTTAAATAGTTTATATAACGGTAACGATGTAGCTTTTTTTAATATTATTTCTAACAATTTGTACAACTGATTTCTACAACTAATGGTTTCGTGATAAGACATAGATTAACTTCAATGATGAAAATTTTTAAGAGGAAAATCAAGAACCATTTTTACTGGAATATACCATTCATAACAATTTTTCATTGTTAGCCAATTTATCATTCAATATTTAGGGTTTGAGTTTAACTAGTCAATTGGGAATTCTGTGGAAGTTTTCATGAAAGATGATCTTTATACTTGAACATTAATTTAAATATATATCGGCTTACCTTATATTCAGCTGTGATTGATCCATAGTTGATACGCCCTTGATTTTCAACCAGGAATTCTAATGAAGAACTTTTTGTCGCGTTTAATTCCAGGCTATATTTATTTGTATGTCTGTCCAATATTCCAATCAGTCTCTGTGTTTAAAATGCATTTCATGTATTTATTTTAAATGTACATTTCATGTATTTATTTTATAATTATGAAGGTAATCTTACTTGATCAAGATAAACGTAAGCTCTATCTTTTAATTGGGGAACGCTCAAATTTGCTGACTTAGTTTCTTGCAACTGTGTATGGTATAACACAAAACCTCCATTTTGCCACATTTGTTCAAAGGAAAGTGGTTTTTCACTAGCCAGTTCTCCGTCTCTCAAACGACTATTTTTTTCTAACATAGCAACTGCTGGGCCCATTGTTATGCGCCCATATTCACCTTTGGGTGCAGCTGTTGGTAAGGGCAATGATGGCAAAGAAAGGAACTGAAATGTAGGATGATAGATAGTTTTATAAGTTTATTGATGGTACAGGATTTTTTCGAATATTACCTCTCCTATTGCTTCACGGATGGCGTAATATTTTTCTGTTGGGTCACCAGCTTCAGAAATTGGGGCATCGTAGTCGTAGGAAGTAATTTGCGGGTTATATGAAACTCCGTCGTGATTAGCACCTAATTAGAAAATTAGGAAAATTATTAAATGAATAGAAAATCAGATAAATTATAGCAGAATATTATTGTGAGTTTTTATAAATAGAACTGCAAGATACTATCTTTTACCATTTGTGTATCCGAAATTGGTTCCTCCGTAGAACATGAAGAAATTAACATTGGCGCTGGAATTTGCCAGCATTCCTTTCAAAGTTTTCACAACATTTTCAGTGGATACATGCGCGTGCTTTTCACCCCAATGAGTTAACCAGCCTGGATAAAATTCAGAATTTACCAGTGGTCCATGTGGTTCAACTTTTCTTTGTGTTGCCCATACGTTGTCTAAATTAGCTCCTAGAAATAATTGAGAGTAACAAATATACAAATTATATTACTTTTTCATGATGTTGAAAATTATATTATGGTATTTTATTTAGTGTGGCTATAAATTTCACATTTTGAATGTTCTTACCGGAGCCAAAATCAATGGTGCAGTATGCGTCTTGGATTTTTCCGCAAGTGGCTAAATTAACAGAAGAGCCATCGGTCGTATAAAGCAATGCTTTATTATCAACATGCTTTTTAAATATATCTGTCAAAGCATTTTTGTATACAGTATCACATGCGTAACTGCCGTACTCATTTTCTACCTAGATAAAGACACATACTTAATTCAATTGATGCTCAAACTAAATTATTTACGTTTTATGAAATAAATTGCATATTTCCTTATTTTTTACCTGAACCATTATAATAGGTCCACCATTTCCATAAAAGTAAGGCTTCATTTTGGCCAGCAATACGTCTAACCATTTTTGTGATTCTTCCATGTATCCTGAAAATTCATTATTTAGTTATATGAATAAAGGTTGATGTATTAGGTTTCTCTAAAAAACATCTTACTTTCATCGGTGGTTCTTGGTTTAATCATTTTAGCAGGGTCTTCCTCAAAATATTTAGATAGGAGCCACCAAGGATGACCACCCTAGCATTTCGAACAAATCGTTCAATTATTATTTTCCATTTCAAAATTATTAAGATTTTGAACTTACAAAGTCTCGTTCTGCACAAATGTATGGCCCTGGTCTAAGGATGACGTACAAATCTTCTTCTACAGCTAGTCGAATAAATTCTTCTAAATTTGCATCTCCTTCCCATTTATAGATGTTTGGTAAAGGATTGTGATGTGACCATTCTACATATCTGCGAAATGATATAATCGACTTATCATTTTTAAAGTCTGAATTTTATATTGTAAAAGTAATAGACAAAAATATATAAAATATTTATTTTTATTTGGCTTTTCTACTTTATATATCTCATCGTAAATTTATATCTTTTAACATAAATATTAGGACCAATTTTTTTTTATATTTCCAATTTCTAAAATTTTAATTAAAAATAAGGGTCAATTATCTCTTACGTTGCAACTGCATTCAATCCAGCAGCCCTTAATTTCCTCAATCGGTCTCTCCAGTATTGATGGGGAACCCGGAAATAGTGCAAGGATCCGGAAACAAATCGAAAAGGTTTTCCATCCATGGAAAACGAATCATTTTGGTAATCTACTGTGAACGTCCGCCCTTCGTATGGAATACCTTGCGCCATCTCCAACGTATTCTAAAAAATATAATTTGACGCATAAGTAACCTATTATAACCTACTCATAACCTATTGTAAAAGCAAAAACAAAATCTACTGAATATTATTGTTTTTCTGATAGTTGGATCAAATTTATTGAATATTTTTTAAGTTTTGTACTTACAAAATATTTTTCTGTGTTAATAATACTATTCCAACTGTCGTAAATGCAAAACGCGAACTGAGCTTATCTCTATCAAAACATGTTTGCATTTTTATTAAATGTTTCCGGCTTTTAGCAACTCTTTTGCATTTGTAACTGTATTAGTAGACATTTCAACTTTAGTAACAGTAAATACTAATCTATTTCTATATTTATAACTCAGTTTGCATTTTTTTGTAAGAAATAGGTTGAAATGCTTTCACACATCTGTTTTTGCAAAGGATCAATCAATACTGAAAGTCTTGTATATTTTTTGGCACTTAGATTGACAAATGATCACTTTATTTAGAAATAGGTTTCTACATGTTAATAGCCCAATATGTTCTATTAATAATAGTAAATTCATACTGATTATGGAGACCTTACAAATATTTTTTTTATTTCTGCTATTAATAAATTTTACAATCTTCAATTAAAAAGCATGAAAATGCGTATCCATTTCTATTTCAAAGTTATTATCTATTTCTCATCTAACTAATTACACTACTAGTAGAAAAAATTAGTTGTAAATACATCCCATATTAAAATTTTTAGAAAATGTACCAAATTATAATTTTATTTTGTGAAATTATTTTAGTGAAGTATACGATTAATTAATACTGCATAATGGCATTCATAAACAATGTATTGTTTAACTACAAGCTATGTTATTTCTGCTATGAAATAACTTCTTGTATTTAATAATATATTAAAACACTTTTTCTCATATACCATAACTAATAATGGCTTCAAATTTTAAAGATTAATTGATACCGTCCTCTAATGTTTCTTCTAAGACTGTTTTATATATTGTTTATTACTTTTCATGAATTTGGTCAATAATTCACTTTTGAGTAGTTTGCGATATAATATTCAGGTAATTATTTTTTTATAAATTTTGTTTTGTAATATTAAATCAATTTTTACAACTATAATTTGAAATTTATATAATAAACTCTACTTTTTTCGATATTTGTGATATACATTTAAATGAAAATTGGCTACTGAATTTAAAAACTATTGAACAACTATTATTCGTTGAATAGTATTAATCATGGCAAAAAGTTTATATAATATACAATTATATTAAATGATACTCATCTCATATGATTCTGCTTTGAAAACTCATTTTTAAAAGCTATTGTTTTATTGACGTGCGATGAATTTGTAACGTAATTTTAAGCACTTTGTTGTTTTTGTACGACGTATATGCAAATAAATATGTGTTCAATTTTTCTGGGATAATTTTCCATTTGCCATATGTATTAACATAATTATCAACCAGGCTTATAAAATTAAGAGTAAATTTCCAGGGAAATTGTTTCGGTTAGATTAAATTATTGTTTTGAAATATTCATATATATATATATATATATATATATATATGATTATGTTAAATTATTAATTTTACCTTAGAATAATCTTGTTTCACCTCATTGTCCCAAAATCCAGACGCCAAAGATGCTGCCACCAAGGCACATCCTATAATTAACTTCAGCATATTTTTGCGTTTCTTTATCCTACTGGAAATATATCTTGAATTATATCTCAAAGTCATAATATTTTAACAAATAATAAAATGTACTTTAAGACCTACACATTTCAATAATAAATGCTTAGGTGCATTATTATAATATTTGCGATTATGATATTATTACTAACACCATAGCATAAAACATTACTATTTGTTTTTGATTGCTTTTAGTTTTATCAAAGTAGTAAATTTGCAAAACTTTGATTGGGGCATTATCAACATCGTTATAAATTTTTTTATATCAAGTTATTTATAAATGACGAGTATTAAAATAATTCATGCGCACATATAATGATGCAATTAATTTATATATATATATATATATATATATATATATAATTGAAATAAATTTTTCATCAATCAATACCGTCACATTTAAAAAAATATTTTTTTTATCTTCATCGATAACAACTTGTTTATAAGCGCAATGCTAAAATCATATTGTAGAGTGCATAACAATTATATTTACATAAATACTACTATAATACATAAATACACAATATTTTACTATTCCATATGAATAAGATAAGCAGATCAATGTCACAATGAAAAATACTTATAATTTCAAATCTTAATACTTCTCAATTTATTGGAGAATTTTGTGCAATATTTATTCATTGACATAAACACTTTCCTAATTTAATTGAAACAAAGTGAAAAACATTTTCCTAATTTATCATACAAATTCAAACTTTATATGAGTATCGTTTCTTCTAATAAACATTTTGCCAAAAAAATTCTCTTTGAGTTTAGGGAAAAGTCAGTAACTAGAGTGTTTGTTATTTTAAAAGGGCATGTGAAATTGACTCAATTCGTTAAATTATTTTTTTCAACACCCGTAGAATAGGTAATCGCAAAAAAATTGAAATTGAAATTTATTTATCTTCACCTTTCAAAGGTTTCTGAACATTTTGGCATACCTCAGAAAAAAATGGATATATACTGTGCGTGTGTGCGGATACAAATTTTCGTGGATTCAACGATTCGTGAACAAAGATCAACCGATTTGAATAATTCACAAAACTTTCGATTCGTATTGTTGGGGAGACGTACTGATTAGTTTTTGGCAAAGGCCAAAAAGGGTAATTCAGTTTTTGACATAACGGAGCGTCTGATTTGAATAATTCAAAAAGCATTTTACTTGTATGGAGAAAACAAAGAACTGTTTAGATTTTTAGAAAGGCAGGTTTATTGGTTTCAACATTTTTGGCACGGCAAGTTCCAGCAATTTTTTTTAAGGCACGATGCTAGTCACAAAATTTGAAAAAGGTTATATTAATTGGCCCCTTATACATTAAAATATTTTGTTTCAATTTGGTATCTATTTATGAGTATCGATTAGAACATTTGTGTTTTGTAAGGTGTTCTAATTAAGCTATAATTGCAAACTATATTATGAAAAGTAACCCAATGGTTGTCTTCTCTTCGGTAATACCCTGAAGGGATGTTTCCATTTAAATCGCATTTAGATTTATACTATCAATTTTTTTTTTTTTGCCATTGAGTCAACGACATTGTATAATTTTAAATTCACAACTGATTTTCAAATTCATAACTAATTAATGATTGAGTTTGGATTTAATTAATTCTATATTTCCATCACTACTTTTGATTAAAAAGCTGGGCATTCAATTCTATATTCTAGATCACTGTTATACACTCTTCCGCGTTTTTTTTGTTTATTGATAAAATTTTATATAATAAATATTTTTGGTTATGATTATTGAACCATTTTTTTATAATTGCAAATTCTGAGTATTTTTATTTATAAATTTTACAAATTAAGGATATTAAAATATTATTATTACTATTATTATTATTATTATTATTATTATGAACCTACACTATTCTATTCACAACATTGGCGGTTGACTAGTTCTAGCACGACTGTCTTCTTCAGACAGATACTATTGGCGAGTTCGGTTTGATTTTATAAAATTTATCAGAAAACGATCGCCGGCCAATCTTGAATCCAGAGGTCAAATATATCTACGAATATATTCGATATCGATACATTATTTATTAATTATCTAATACGAACCATCTGTTGTTTGAGTTATGATTCTGTTTGAGATACTGTGAATTAATTGCTTTGTAATGATTTGTTTGGAATGAACTTGCGTCATCTGCAATAATATAACAATCAATCTGATTTATGATTATAATAGGGTTAGTATAATTCAACAAAAAAGTTAACATAAGAGTTAAAAATTAATAGTAAATTATATTACGGTTTTTTATTTGTGTCGTCTTGGTGAGTTTTTCGGCATTGTAGTCACGATTTTCCAGTTCAAATAATGCATTTCGTAATGAATGTCCTGATGTCAAGCAGTAGTTATATTCACCTTTCAAAGCGAAGATCAAAATGTGTTTGAAAGTAAAATTAACTAAATATGTATAGGTTTTCCGTTATATTCTTACAACTTATTTAAATATTGTTGTTTATAGATATTATTTCTTGAAAACATATAGTTGAAAAATCATTCCATATAAATTCTTATCATATACTAATGGAATTTTTTTAATATGTTGTCTAAATAGGTTACATGATTTATAATCTTCAATCAGTTACGTGATTTGTTCAGGAATGTAATCTTACGATCGCTTGTATCAAATGAAAAATAATATTATTATTGTTTTAACTCCTGCATGTTTATAACACGTGAAAAACTGCTATTGATTCAGGTGAAGATCATGATCGAGTTGTCATATTGCATTTTTTTAATTTATCGATTTGATCATATGTTAAGATATGACAGTTATTTTAAAAACTAGGCCATACTACATTTATCAAAAATAATATTCCACTCAATGTAATTTAGTTTGGAGATATTTCTCATAAATTAAAAAAGGTTTTATCTAATTGTGAGTACTGATATAGTAGTTCATTTCCAATCATTGTGTAGAGTCCACGGATTGAAAATAAGAAGTCTAATAATATATTTGTAAAAATTTATTTTCATAATCAATCAATAAAATTTTGTGTTCAGTACAACTAGTTTATAAAAATTGGTTCACTAATAAAAGTCACAGCCAAATCTTCTGGTGTTAATTCAAGTTCAAAAATTTCTAAGTGATTTCCAATCTGTTTGAGGTAAACTCCAGGTACATATAAAGTCACTTGGGGTCCCTTAGATGGCCAGTAGCGTCCCAAATTGTGGCCGTTTATAAATGCAACACCCTGATAAAAATTAATATTTTATTAATTACTTTACTATTAGTAAAGTGCAGTATTAGTAAAATTTAATGCTGATAATTAATATTCATAAATTTTCTGAATAAAATATCAGAATCATTAGTTTAAAATTATCAAATTGATAAAGCTTGTGACCAACAATAATGAACAAATATTTTGCATAATTTTCGTTCACCATAAGTTCAAAATATATTATTCTCAATTTCAGTTTTACTTACTTCTAATCATTTCTATTAGTGAAAATGCATCAAGTATTAATTTTAAATATTTTTGATATATATTTTTTTGAAATTTTATGCTCACCTTTCCCCATCCTGACATATTCAGGAAAGTGTCATATATTGGCCCATCATCATCTTTAGTTATATCGAAATTACTTTCGTATCCAACAGGACCATTCAATAATTTTCCTCGAGTTGCATAAGAATTATAGTCTGGTGATCTATTTTTAATTTCTTTCAAACCATTTTCCAATGGTATTCCTAGATGAAGCCATCCTTTTAGTTCAGTTTTACCCCATGTCACTGGCCAGTTTAGGCCCTTAAAAATTTAATAAGAAATTTTACGTATTTTTAATTTTAAAAAGTTTATAATTCGATTTCATACCACAATTTAAAAAAAATGCATATTTAGTAAAGGAATTTAAAAATGTATTTAAAAGCTCTCTAAGTTGCTCTTAGAAGAATAATCATACTTTTCAATATATTGAATATCGTTTATAAGCCTTATGGACCTGAATGCTAATTTATTCATATCTAGTATAAAATATTCTATTTAATAGCCTCCCAAATAAATTATATTAGAATACAGATTTTCATGTCTCTAACCAACATCTAATCTAATTTGATGTTTTTGAACCGTTTATATAAAATAATAAAAAAATTAATAACTGAATGACTTTCTACTGAATGAAGTACTCAGATCCATCAACTTCTTTTCATGCCATCGAATATAATTGTTATTTTTATTATCAAATTTTTATCATAAAGTGATTAAAATTTCTAATTTTTCAAATGAATTTGATCATGCTCATTACCTTATATTCTGCAGACTCAGAATTCGTTCGTCCCTGATTTTCTACTATAAATTCTAAGAAGGAACCTGACGTAGCATTAAGTTCAATGGTAGTTTTATTCAAATTTCGTTCTAAAACTCCAACAAATTCCTGCAATTATCATACCAATATAATTTTTACTTGATTATAATAACATAGTATACATGACTGTACTAACCTTATTTAAATAAACATGAGCTCTATCTCTTAATTCTGGTACATTCAAAGATGCTGATTTATTCTCACCCAGAACAGTAAAATATAACATGAATCCTGAGTTTTGCCAATTTTCCTCAAATGTTGGTGGTTTTTCTGTGCCAATAGGTCCTCGATTCAATGAATTTTTTTTACCAAGTACAGGTACAACTGGAGTCAAAATTTGACGCCCGTATTCACTTTTAGGTACTTCTAGCGGTTCGGGTAATTGCGGCAGCGTTAAAAACTATAGATAATATAATAAATAATAAATACAACTTTTATAAGAAGTTTGAGATTGTTATAAAGAACCTATTTAATGCATGTCTCGCTACATTTTCAAATTGACATTTAAAAAAATTAGAAAAAAATATTCAAACTTATTTAATATGTAATTTAAAATGTAGTGCTAACTATATTTATTTGTAAGTTTTATGCACAACTTAATTTATCTCTTGCGGATTATTATATATAGTTCAACGATAAACTACGTAAAATTTAATATCTATTTAATTTTTTCAATTTTTTTTACCTCGGCCAATGTTTCGCGAATGGCAAAAAATTTTGATGTTGGATCTCCAACTTCAGAAATCGGTGCATCGTAGTCGTAAGATGTGACTTGTGGATTATAATGCTCTCCTGAATCAGTAAAGTGATGGCCTCCTAAAAATACCAGAATTATGTTCAAATAATAGAAAATCATGCATAAGAGCGGCTAAATGATAAATATAGTATTTAATATTATAATTACCACTGGTAAATCCAAAATTGGTTCCTCCATGAAACATGAAGAAATTAATATTCGTATTTTTTTCACCCAGTATTTTACGTAATGTATATACGATTAATTCTGTGCTAACATTTGGAAATTTTCCGCCCCAAATCGTACGATCTCCTGTGTAGTACTCGGAATTGACCAATGGTCCATGAGGTTCAACTTTACGTTGTGCCCCCCAAGGGAGATTCGTTGTTATCCCTGTAAAATTATTATAGTATAAATAATAATTAATTAATAATTTGCATTTGGTAAATAAAAATTGATGAAATGAAATCTATAGTATACTTGAACACGAAACTGTAAGTATATAGCATTCACTAAAGAATTCATACAATTTTTTAGCAAAATATATTTTAGCATGAAGACAAACATTAAGCAACTACTCTTCATAACAAAAAAATTCAAGGTTCAAATCTGCATTTCGATATCGGGCTGTAGCGATAACTGATATCAGGTAGTACTAATATCTATTTTTACTTGAAATCGTAGTTGAAAATATGATTCCGAATAAAAATAGCACTTTCCGGCAATTCTAGATAAGATTAATAAAACTAAATATTGATACATATAGGATTGTATTTGGGTTGTTCAAAAATATCATCATTGGTAGTCAGGAAGTATTTTTATATCATCTTCTAGAACTCGTAGAAATTATGATTGTTTTTCAAACAAAAAAATTATTTACCATGTCCAAAGGAAACCGTGCTATAAACTCCTTGTATTTTTCCACAAGCAGGTTGACCTCCATTCCAATAATTTGTGGTAAAAAGCACAGCCTTGTCTTCAACATGTGGTTCAAATATTTGCAATAAAGCATTTTTATAATCTTCATCGCAAGGGTATACTCCATTCTGATTTTCTACCTATAAGTTTTAACGTACAAGCAATGACTATCTTGTACTTTAATAACATTCAGTAAGCGCTAAATAATATTTCAATATTACCTGGACCATTATAACAGGACCACCATTTCCATATAGATAAGGTTTTATTTTTGTTAATAATACATTCAACCATTTTTTTGATTCACCGATATATCCTAAAAATAATTAATGTTATGAAACTTCTACATGCCTATTTTCAAAATTCAGTATCAATGCAATATATTCAATTTACTTTCATCAGCACTTCTCAATTGGATGTTTTTTTCTGGGTCTTCATTGAAATATTTTGATAGGAGCCACCATGGATGTCCTCCCTGGTAACAAAAGACAAAATTATCAATGTCATATATGCCAATTAATTCTGATTACTTTTGCAGATATGGAAAATCGATTTGAGATACCCAAGAAATGATACAATTAGGTTCTCTTACATTTTTGTGCTTAAGTAATTATATCTTACAAAATCTCTATCTTGTCCAATATAAGGTCCTGGTTTTAAAACTACATAAAGATCTTCCTCGACCGCTTGTCGAATAAATTCTTCTAAATTAGCATCGTCTTCCCACTTATAAACATCTGGTTGTGGATTGTGATGTGCCCATTCTACGTAACTAAAATAATTAATATTTTGTAACTTTTAGAGTCATTGGAAAGACGTATAAATGGAACAATTAGGGACAAACTAATCTGCTATTAAACTTCTCACTATTATGTACTAAAACAATGAAAGGTCTGGTGCTTCTTGGAAATCAAATTAGTTGCACAAAACCCATGTATTGATCAAATACACAGAGTTGCTTAGTTTTTCCAAATTTTCCAAAAAATAGAAAGACGTATGAATGAAACTACGTACGAAATAGTTTGTTATACGTCTTAAAATTAATTAATCCACACTTGTTCTTAATATTAGTTTATTAAATATAAAAAATTAATATCAATGAGTTGTTTCTTACGTGGTTACAGTATTTAAACCAGCTGCTCTTAGATTCCGCAAACGGTTTCTCCAATATTGATGTGGAACACGGAAATAATCCATAGAACCGGCTACAAGTCTAAAAGGTTTTCCATCCATAGAAAATGAATCGTTTTCATAATCTATCGCAAATATGCGTCCATTTTTAGAAACATCTATGAATTCCTGTAATAAATAAATTTCCTACTATAATATATATATATATATATATATATATATATATATATATATATATATATTTAAACATCGGTGGTCTTTATAAATCTTTGGATATAAGGGTACTTCTTCAGGTTCCTCACAGAAACGAGTTATTTATTATACTTTTAAGTTATTTGAAAGTAAATAATTTATTTCTTAGTATTATTGAATTTAAATTTCTTTCAATTAAACACTTAATAAAATTAAAATTATTTTATTAGTAAGACAGAGTACATAAAATGTCTAAAACAATTTCTTCATTATATATAATGTATTACATGCTACTTGCAATAATTTTTTGTATATTATATTCATTGTGATTTGTATATATTTTCAGTATACTTACTATTTATTACATTTTTATATAAACTAGTTTATACAAATTTGAAAAATATCATGTGATATAAAATGTCATTATCGTACATGAAATGCTTTTTTAAATTTCAACGATCTTTTACCTTATAACTTTCATCTTCAGCCAATCCTGGAACTAGGAAAAGTGCAAATAAAATACTATGAAGTAGCATTCTATTCCTAAATACTATTTATTATACTATGTAATTTTTTTTTTCAAATAAATTAAGTTGATTAATTCTTTAATATATATCTAAGTTTGTTTGAGAGTGATCTTGAAATTCGTTGTTAAATATTTTTTCACTTGTTATTTATAATGAAATTTTTCCATTATCTCTGTAATCATCGATAAAATTAGAATTTTATCATTTCTTAATTATTTTCCGAATATCCGAAGTGTTGGTTTTTTCTAACTAATCACATAAATCATATTTGACACAAATTTGTAATACTCTTATTTTGAAAACATTGATAAATTATAAATGTCTTATCTTGTCAAAATGATGACAAATTTATCTTCTTAATTAACAAATATTTTTGGCCAGATATTTTTATTAAATTTAGAAAAACTCGCGCTATTTAACTGCTCTTCGAAAGACATATTTTTGAAGTCACAATTGAATGGAATTGAATTGTATATAAAATTTAAATTTAATAGAAAACCTTGTGAAATTCTTAGATATTTTGGAATTTTTCATCATTATCATCAACTTCCCAACTGGAGCCTATCGAACAGTTAAAGTTTTTTTTAAATCGGCTCAGGATTTTTAGCTAAAACGTGGACTAAACTTTGGCTAAAGCGTGGATCACTAAAAACGCATAAAATTTTCCAATTCTTGTCTCAAACGATTCAAAATTACTTATCGAGATAACATAAACTGAGGAAATCGAATTTTCTGGTGAAAATAAACATCTGCTTTATAATTTAATTATTTCAAATAATATTAATGTACAAATGTATAATAATTCATTTTATTAAACTGAATTAGTAATTAGTACAAACAAAAAGCACAGTACAGAAATTTTAGCAAATATATTACTATTACTTGATAAATTATGTTTATTAGTGAACCTAATCGTGAATTCTGGGTTAGCGTATTCTAGTTCTAAAATATCTATCCAATTATTTCCAGGTCTTAGATATATTTTTGGAACATACAAAGTGATCTGAGGACCCACTGAAGGCCAATAACGTCCCAAATTGCGTCCATTTATCCAAACGACGCCCTGGTTATGTAAAATATAGTATTTTTCAAAAATTTAATACCACATTTAAATTATTTTGAATTATGGTGTTATTTTTTTTTAAAAAAATTGTATTTTATATTATGTTTTTTTTACCTTTCCCCAATTAGACATATCTAAAAATGTATCTCTTGGTATGTCATTAGGATCTAGGGGCAATTCAAATTCAGCTCCATATATTATGGGGCCGTTTATGAGTTTGCCACTTTTAGCAATTTCGCCAACTCCCAAATCATAATTACTTTTGCTGGGAGATTGATTTAAAGAAATTCCACTAATGTTCCAAAGAGAAAGAGCTTTGCCTCCCCAGAAAACGTGACTGTTTAAACCCTAAACAATAATAAAAAAATAGTTTAGATTAGTTACAATTTTTTAATGAAAAATTTTTACTAATCAATTACTTTGTACTCTGCTGATATTTTTCCCTGACTAATTCTTCCTTGATGTTCCACAACGATTTTCAATTGGGCACCTCTTGGAGCATTTATTTGTAATGAGAATCTACTTATTCGTCGGTCTAATATTCCAATAAAGTTCTGAAAATATAAATGTAACGATTTTGTTATGAAGAGAGTTTAAATATTTTGAGATCTAGATTTTGTGCCTCGCAAATTAAAATTGCTTTATATGTTTGTATATAACTTATTTTATACACCTACCTCATTTATATAAACTAAAGCTCTGTCCCTTAAATGAGGGGCTGTAAATATACCTTCTTTCTTCTCATCTAGGAGTTTATCGTATATCACAAATCCACTTTTTTGTCCTAGATGTTCGAAAGGAAATGCTTGTGTGTGTTGATATATAAATTTCCTTAAATCATTTCTTTCGTCGAATAACGAAAATCCTGGTTTCACCTTAATTATCCCATAGTCACCTTTTGGAGAAGGGATTATCAGTTCAGTAACAGTGGATGATTGAAACTGGAAATAAGTTTTTTTTATTTCATCATATAATTTACTGTAGACAATATGTAGAAGTTATCAGTATTAGTCGTAAATAAAATATATACTTTTAGCTAAGTTAGTTTTTCATGTGGCCAAAACCTATTGCAAACTTGCAAATTAAATATGGATGTAAACGCGAATTAATAAATTACCTCACTAATTACTTGTCTAATTGCGTTATATTTTGGAGTTGGATCTCCAGCTTCATCCAATAGAGCACCATAATCATTCGATGTTGTATATGGTAAATAAGTTTCATTTTCAATATTTGCTCCTATATGAAAATAAGTTTCATGAACAAGCATTAAACTTATCCAATTTTATAAAAGTTATATTGTTTTACCATTAGTAAATTCAAAATTGGTACCTCCTGCAAACATATACAAACTGACACTGGCGTTTACTATCAAAATTTTTCTCAAAATATTGGCAACCTTTTTTGGTGGTATATTTACGTTCTTTTCTCCCCAATACATTGGTGACCCTATTTGGAATCCAGAATTGACCAGGGGGCCTTTAGGATTAACCCTGCGCTGTGCTTTCCAAGCTTCTGTTATATTATCATCTTAAATGAAACTTAAAAATATTGTTTCACCCAAATAATGTGCCAAATTATCAACATATTTATTGATTATATAATATTATCAGATTTTTGTCTCGCTATTTATTGACCATTGATCGATTTATGTTGCACGTACCTGGTCCAAAATTGACAGTGGAATATGCTTCCCCAAATTTTCCACATATTGGCCTGTCTTCGTAGTAACTATCAGTAGTGAATAATACTGCCTTATTCTCTACGAGTTTGTCAAATAAAGCAAACATGTAATTTTTATACTTATTGTCACAATCGTAAACTCCATATTCATTCTCAATCTAAAAAATATACGAATACTCACAATAACTAGACACATTTTAATGGTTTATATAGACATCACATCTTTCTTATTTATTTATTATCATTATGTATTCGAATTTTTTTTGTAATTAGTGTGATTAAGCTAAATTCTTTGAAACTAATAATCTGGTAAAATCTGGTGTATGATTTTTCTGCTTGTCAGGACATTATGTAGAGAATATTATCATTATTATTGTATTAACATCAAATTTAAATATTTGGCACAGCCAGTGTCTTGGAAATTATTCAATAATAGATTTTGTACACTATTTCCTAAAATTTCAAGCCAAAGTTTTTACCTAAATTGCTTAATTTTAATTCTTGTTGATTAAGCAGATGATTTACATATTGGAAACTTTCCAATGGGAAGTTCATGCAACTTATTTTCAGACAAAATGCCACTTACACTTAGTTAGCCAGAATTATATTTTAAATTTTAAGATTTTTATGAGTTTTTTTTAGTATTTTATTTAAACATATACTCACTTGCACCATGATGACTGGACCGTCGTTACCATATAAATATGGCCGTATTTTACTGAACAATACTCGTATCCAAATATTTACTTCTTGTAGGTAGTCTTTGTAAATCGTGAAAATAAAAATTAGTGTAAAATATAGATATATCAAACATTATAATCGCTTACATTGATCTGTTGTTCTGGGTTTAATTTCTACTTTTTCCAGATCACTGGAGTATTTCGATAATAGCCAATATGGATGACCTCCCTAATAAAAATTAATAACAAATACATAATGCACAGGTACACGAATTATGTATACGTGAAACTGAATATCAGATCTTTTTAAATGATATTAGAAATTTCATGTTTTACGAAAATAAATATTTATATTTTTCCCTTGTTCATTTTGAGAATCAACATACTAGCTCCAGTGAAATATGGGATGTTACACATACTTAGAAAAATGACTAGAATTTCATTTATTATATGTTGTTAAAAATATAATTTAATATTAATTAGAAACTTACAAAATCGCGTCCTGCACCAATGTACGGTCCTGGTCTTAAAATTACGTAAAGCCCAATTTTTTTCGCAATATCAAGAAAGCCTTGCAAGTCTGCATCTTCGGTCCATATATATTTTCCGTCTTCAGGATTATGGAAGGACCATTCAATATATCTGAGAATAATGAAATAAAATTTACGAAAAATCTATCTTGTGATAATAACCCTTAATTTTTACTTCAAAATATTTTATTTAGTTTCTAGGCACCAAGCCTATGTACTTACCTGGTCGTATTTTATTAACATACTTTTGTTATAGTGATTCAATATATTGCAATCAGTTTTCTAATTCAAGTAGTTTATTTAAAAATAACATTAATAAAAATTAAGTAACAAAAAGATAAAATTAATTGAGCAATTATTTGATTAGAAGTAATAATAATTTTAAAACAAATAAACCATTGAACATATATAGGAGTAAATAAATGAGCAAGTAATTACATTTTTAGACATAAATATTAGGAAATTAGATTTTTAGGCATCAATATTTAATTGAAATTGCCAATTGGCAACATTTCATATTAATCGCCAAATTGGCAACATTTAATATTAACTCTTTCCACTCGGATGCCGCCGCTCCGGCGGTGAAAAATACATATAAATCTCGCAATTCGCGAGTGGAATTGGACAGTTGGTTTTTTAATATTGATTTTTGTTCACTAATACGATTATAGAATATTTGGTTCCTAATTTCTACGTTAAAATAGATAATAAAAACTGGGAAGTTCCAGTAATTTTTTTTATGCTAATACACTGCTAATTATTATTACTTATGCTAGAATACTATATAATTAATAATATATTATTTTCTATTTAAACTTACGTATCTAATGCATTAAATCCAGCTGCCTTCAATTTATATAAACGATCTTCCCAAAAAGGAGTAGGAATACGAAAATAATCTAATGATCCTGCAATATATCTAAATGGCTTGTCATCCATTATAAATGTGTTTTGGTTATAATCTATGTAAAACCGTCGATTCTAGAATTATTAAAATTATTATTTTACATTTGAAACTTTTAAATTTTCATTACAAGTTATAAATTCACTCACATTCACCGCATTTCTAGAAATATTTTCATTTGCCCAAACTGATGATGAAAGCAACGCGAATAATATAATCGCTAACATGATTAATGATTTTTTTAATTTATTAGTTTTAAAAAATATCATTTACCCGCTAATTAATAATAAACATATTTTGCACATAATTATTTTCCACTAGTAATATATCACTTAATAAAATATCACATAAATTTTAAAGTTTCATATTTTTTTATATTTAATATAAGATTAGTAATTTTTAAACTTTTTATTCCACATCTTTTTAATTAACACTGTGATATTATTAATTTTAATTTTGCTATAATTCATATGTTGGAAAATTTATCTATCAATGCAATTCTGAAATCAATTGCATAGTTATAGTTAAGTACAGGGTGACCCAACAAAGTTGAGCTGATTCAAATCGTTATGAGAACATATTTCAAAATGTGAATTTTTTAATTTTGAAACAAAATCGTTTGTAACAAAAATGTGAAAATATTTATTAGTGGTCTTCTTTTTTGAACTCACTTTTTCATAACTGAAAAATATCGAAAAAGGGTTGACGAAGGTCTATTCACATGGGTCTCTATCATTATATTTATTATATGTATTTATAAATAATTTTCTGGTGTACAGAAAATGTATTTTATGCCAAGACTGTTGTTTGGACTACTTGATAATTCTTCTTTGGAATTTTTTATTGGAAATGTTTAAATTTAGGTGCATCATATTCAAAAGCTGAATCGTAATCGTTTTATATATATATATATATATATATATATATATATATATATATTTTTGCTGCTTACCTGTAATGCATATTGCACCTTTAGTCATTTTAGATTATCTATGTTTTTTTGCATCGTTGCACTTATCTCTCACATTTATAAAATGGTTTTTTAATTTTTGTTATCAATATTTGTATAACGATTCAACAATATAGCGCAATTTTATCATATTCTTGTTATACGAAAATATGTACATAGAGCCAATTAAAAATAATGTTTGTGGACGTTCATTAAAAATTGTTTTAAGGCGTTATCACAATATTATATAAGACACTTTGTAAAAATTTAGTTTATGCAAATCAATGTTATTGTAGATGTAGAATAAAATATTAACTAATTAATGATACCGATTTACACATTTTTGTGAAAATATTTTAAAGGAATTTGAAAAGCCGTTGGAAATATAATTTTAATATGTAAATGACACAAATTAAATATGAATAAACTACATAGATCTAATTTTTACGTAAATCGTTTCGATGGTAATAATGAGCTTTGAATTTAAAAAAAAATTTCGTTGATATTTTAAGGTGTCAGTATTTTTATAGAACTTATTACTAGTCTTACATTATGTTTATTTTTTTTTTCAATTTGTAATTTATTAAAAATATGCAATTAGGTATTTCTTGTTTTTGTATTCAGAAACATGCTTTCTATGAGCTCTTCTGATGTTGTTTAAAACTACCCAGTGGTTGACTACTTTTCTTTCTGATAAGATTATAATCAGTATTTTTTAATAGGGATGCGATATATTTTTGCAGCTGTGCCCCAAAAGGCTATTTTTACTTTAAATAATATTTTAGATCTATAATTTTGAGTAAAAACTGATATCACTATTGCTTGACATGAAGATGATCAAAAAGTTGCGAAACTTAGAAAAGATACTACATAAGTTAAAATGAGTCGATTTTAAATTTTTCAATATTTTATTATAATAAATTACATTATTACATTAAAATATAATATTACATTTAAATTAATTTCAAACTAATTAACAATACACATATAATAGAAGAAACACATGCTTTTGAAAAACTAGCAATGTTAGTACTAAACTTATGAGCATCAGCGAATGTTATAGTAAGATCTGGATTAGCATATTCTAGTTCCAAAATATCTATGCGATTTTTCTCAGGTTTTAGGAAATATTTAGGTACATATAATGTAATTTGTGGACCCACAGAAGGCCAATAACGTCCCACGTTTATTCCATTTATCCATGCAACACCCTAAAATATTAAATGAATAAATAATATTAAATGCGAAATAATAATCCATTGATTAGTATTAATAAAAAATCCAAATTCTAGCAGTAGAATATCTAATGTTTGTTTTAATTCAGATTGATTTCTTAATACATTTTTACTTCTCTATATCTTATGATTATTTTTTACCTTTCCCCAATTTGTCATATCAAGAAATGTATCTCTAACAATTCCATCAACGCCTTTGGGTAACTCAAATTCGGTTCCATACATAATTGGCCCATTGGTTAAATTTCGGGTTGCTACTCTGTCTCCTATGCCCAATTCATGATCTTCAATACTGCGAAATTCCGTTGCTGGAACTTGGTGATGATACCAACTTGTAAAAGTTTTACCTCCCCATTCAACACCTTCATTCAAACCCTAGTAAAAAAGAAATTATTAAGTAGTAATTTGTACCCAAAATAAGATATTTATTTTATCTTACTTTATATTCTGCTGCTATAGGTCCGTAATTGATTCGTCCTAGATTTTCGACGATTATTTTCAATTCAGCTCCTTTCTTGGCACTCATTTGCAGCGAAAATTGTTTCAAGCGCCTGTCTAAAGTCCCTTTATAAACCTGAGAAATTTTATATCAAAATTTGTCTGTCAGTAGTATACGATAACATTATGCTATCAACAATAACACACAATTATAATTGAAATATATTTATAAATATAGCAAAAGAAACAATCGTAAATTGATTTTTTTGGTTTATCTTTACATTTAAATAAGTAAATATAAAAACTTAGTTCGTTGTTGTTCTTTATAATTTTTAGTTAAAGAACAATTTCTTACTTACTTCATCCACATATATCAGTGCCCTGTCCTTAAGATTTGGAGCTGAAAATTGACCAGTCATATCTTCATTCAGAAAAGTAAAATAAATGATGAAACCAGATGCTTGGTACAAATGCTCAAATGTCAACGGTTCAACGTCATGCAGGGGATGCTCAAACATTAAATGATGTTTTTTATCGAATAATGAAAATCCTGGTTTCAATTTGAATGTACCATATTTTCCTTTTGGCGCAATTGTTACTGGTTTCACATCTGGTATATCCACAAACTGAAAGGAAATACAAAAATTTTAGCTTTTGATTTACCAAATAGTACATATATTTTGAACAACAAATTACCTCACTAATAACTTCCTTGATTGCCATATATTTGGGCGTCGGATCACCAGCTTCGTTCAAAGGAGCATCATAATCATATGATGTTATCTGTGGTAAATATGTGTCATTTTCAAAGTTTGCTCCTAAACCAATAAAAGCAAAAATTTAGATAGTCAGATAATTCAGATTTATATAAAATCAAATCAATTTCCTACCATTAGAGTATTCAAAGTTAGTACCGCCTGCAAACATATACATACTGACACTGGCATTTTGTGCCAAAATCTTTCTCAAAGTTTTTGCAACATCTGATGGTGAGACTTTTGCTGGTTTTTCGCCCCAGTGCGTTAGCCATCCTGTGTAGTATTCAGAATTGACCAATGGTCCTTTGGGGCTGACCTTTCTCATCACTTTCCAGGCTTCTTCTACATCATCACCTGTAGAAATACATAACGTATGAGAACTTAGAGATGATATATTTTGTGTGTTAAACTATTTGTCTTTAAAGTATTAATTAAAACTTTTACTAATTAATTCTTATACCAGGTCCAAAGTCCACAGTAGCATAAGCTTGTCCCATACGACCACATATAGGCATATCATCCCAATATCCATCAGTAGTAAAAAGAACAGCATTATCTTCTACTACATCTTTAAATAAACCATACATAAAGTTTTGATAATTTGGATCACAACCAAAACTTCCGTATTCATTTTCGACCTTAAATAATTGATAATAATAAGTGAAAGCCAAAATATCCGATTTGTGAATTTTGTGTTATATGTTCCATTAAAAATTAACATATTCCTCACCTGCACCATTATAATTGGGCCACCGTTACCATATAAATAAGGTCGTATTTTTTTAAATAATTCTTGTATCCAATCTCGTGCTGCTTCCATATAACCTGATGTGCAAATAGAAGTTTTGTAGATATCGTATCCCAAACTTTTAAGAATAAAATCAATTTTTATACTCACGAAAATCAGTTGTCCTCGGTTTAATATCTTTTTCTGGGTGTGATAAGATCCAATAAGGTTGGCCTCCCTATTGAATTAATGAGAATGAATAAATATATGGCTTACTGATTTTTGGGTATTTCGTATTTAATTTAATAAATCATAATTCTGATGTCAGTTAATTTAGTTAATTTAACACTATGCGAATTATCTACACTATATTATTAATATAATGATATATAATAATGTAAGAATAATAATGAAATACGTTTTAACAACTTTTACTGTGATACTACTTGGTAAAAAATTATAGAATTAATTAAACCGTTTAGTAACCATTATAAATTCAATATTATTTCGGTTTAAATTTTACTATATATTCAAGAATAGAATACAATATTGAATAAATAATTTGGATTATTAGCTTTATACGTACAAAATCACGTTCAGCGCAAATGTATGGCCCTGGTCTCAAAATTACATACAATCCTACTTCTTCTGCAGTTTTAATAAATTTCTCCAAATCGGCGTTGCTGCCCCACCAATATTTTCCTTCATCAAAATTGTGAAGTGACCACTCAACATATCTAATATTGAAAAATCCTATTATTATTTCATTATAACATTAAAAAAAAGATAAATAAATCTTACGTATCAACGGCATTTAAACCTGCTGCTTTTAGCTTTTCCAAACGGTCTTTCCATTGTTGCGGATGTACCCGAAAATAATGTAATGAACCTGCTATGTATCGAAATGGTTTGTCATCCATCATGAATGTATTTTTATCATAATCTATGTAAAATCGACGATTCTAAAAATATTAACTATTTTAATAAATTAATATTATAAATAGTTGTGCAAATTTTTAAGGAAGTAACTGTTACCTTAACTTGATGGTGTTTCGACAAAGTTTCATTGCCAAGCGTCGAAGCAAAAAATAGCGCGCATAATAATATTGACAACATTTTCTCAATGATATCTGAAAATGAATATATATACGTTAACATAATATTTAATATAATGTTATTGCCAGGAAAAATTATTCATTTAGGATAGGTTCTTGTATTAACATTTGATTTCCAGTTCCAGTGACAATCAATAAAAGCTATATTTTAGATATAAAATGTACTAAAGTTTAAAATATTTATTTTATATAATAATATTTATTATCATAAAAATATATAAATTTAGTTATATTCGATATTGAAGTATAACGTAAATTACTTATTTGCAAAAAGAAATAAGCCATTCAAATTTGACCAATTTTAAAAATTTCAAATTCATAATTCAACGAATATTCCTAAAACTAAAAAACATATGGCAAATGAGTCACATGAGAAAAATAATAACGAAAAATGGTCACAATTTGAGCTCGGTTGTACTTTCAAACTACAATAGATTTTTTTCCTACAATATTGTAACTATATTATATATTTATATTACTATTATATATAACAGAAAATATTGATGTTCTAATTATTTCGGTGACTTTCAATCGTTAATTTAAATTGAAGATATGAACATTGGAAGAGATCATTTGATATATTTTATAAAATATATCCTATAGATAAAAATTATGCACTTTATATTGTATGAGTGTTAAATATAAAAAAGATGCTTTGTATAGCTAAATAAAAATGAATGTTAGAACATTCAAAAGTTAATTAGTCTTGAAGCCAAAAGAGTATTTCCACAATTGATTTGAAAATTATGTAGCTTCCGTATAAACTATAGACATATATAATTACTTTTCAAATATTAATGGCAATAAAACTAGTATTTTATTCCTATATGCACTACACCGATTAAAATCACTTTGCAGGTGCGCTTTAATGCGTATATTGTTAGCAGCTTTTACTGTAGACCGCCTTTGATGAATTATCTTTTATAGATAGTGATTTTTTTTTGCTTTATCAAAGTATTTATGATGATTTAATAGTAGATAACTGCGCTTTAGAGGAATTTATGAAGTAATAATACATACAAATGAACAATAATTTGGAATACCCAATTCGCCTGTAAGTCATTTCCTAGAATTATCATTTGTTCAAATATTTTTTTTAACTTGGCATTAAACGGTTCCGGGAAGTACTCATGTAGATAAATTTAATGTAACTCTATTCTCTTTAACACAAAATATTGAAGGTAATATACTCAAGTTAATAAATGAAATTTCATTTATTAAAATATTTTAATGTTTTAATGTTTCTATGAACTATTATTTATTGTTTGTAGATTTCAATAGATTAACGCGATTTTTATTCCACGATACGATTCTATAAAATATAACTGATACATCTAAGTGTTACGAAGAACACGAAAAATTATAACTATATTTCATAAAAATTGCTAACAAAATTTCATATTTCATGTTTATTTATAAATTTACAATAAATAAACCAATATTCTAATTCCAAAAAGTGACTCACCTACTTGTGACCAAGTACTCGAGTACTTACTATGACAGTGCATAAATATATAGAAAATTCAATTATAGAAGTACTTGACATCAAAGACTTTTTCAAAATTGGCATAAGAATATTTCTATTTATCGATAGTTATAGATAGATAATGTAAGTTTGGGTATGTATAGCAAGCACGTCTCAAGATTCAAATCTGCAGGACTTTATTTAAATTACACTATTTGTTGATATATGCAAAGTAAATTTTCAAATTTATTTTTATTTAATTCCAATAAATAAATTTTTATTTTGTAATTTTTAGGCAATTAGCAAGAATCCATAAAATAAACAATTTAAATATTGTGTAATTAATTTTATTACAAATTTTCAATAATACAATGCTTCCAGAATCACAACCTACTAACAAAAAATTGAACTATTACTTAAGAAAACAAATGTTGACCAATAATACAAAAATAGTATACAAGAAATTGTGAAAATACATCAATATTAATAGCGTTAACAAAATTTATCAGTAATATCCAATGCATTTATCCTTGTTTTCTATTTAGCACTAAAATATATTAGTATTAAATAAATCAGTCAAACATAAATTTATGTAAATACATAATCTGATTCTACTTGTACATCCCAGGGCGTTTGCATATATTCTTGAGGTAAAGGCAAACAATGACTTGATTGATAGTCTTTCATATGCTTCTTTACCTGAGGATAAATTCGATACATGAATATCGTATTTTAGTTTTATATATTTATTTCTTTCTGCAATAATAGTATTACCAAAAATAACGCCATATCGCTCTTCTGTTTTTCGGTAAAACCGTCGCCAATGAGCATTGGATAAGATTTAGAATTCTCACTTATGTAACTGGCCAATAATGAGGCACAAATGTCCTCATCAATCTGAGCCCGATGAAGCATTTTTGATTGTCCAGCAAAATATAAAGAAAGATATTCGTTAACCGTTTCTAGTTGATTTATTCCAAAAATAACAGGAAAACGATATTTGAGTAATTTCACTAGCAAATGATTTCCGCGGTTCGAAGCTAATACGCCTTCCCTGAAAAAAAATCAATATATAAGAAAATTTAAATTGGAATTAAAAACATTACTAGGAGCTCTCAGAAAATATGTAATGAAAATAGATGTAAGAGTTTCAAAATAGGCCTTCCAAATTTTTGGTTTTCGGCTAAATAATTGCACAATAACATTTATTCCCTTTAACAATTCTAATTTTTATATGACAAAAGTATTAATGTAAATGCTTTTAAAGTTATGGTGTTCATGTTTTAGACAGTATGAGCACTATCGTTCATTTAACTTAACTTACTCGGTACATATAATTTCATCCTCAGTGCGTCTGATCATTAACACTGGTCCAGGATACTGGTACATTTGTTCAGCTATGTTTAAATTTATATAATCTCGAATTGCAAGCTTAACTATTCCCTCCCATGCAGCAGGAATTCGAGGCAATGCTAATGGCAAAATATCATCAAATGTTGCATCTAAAACCTAACAAAAAAAAATTAGATAAACGTAAATAAATTGATAAATCAATAGCAGTTCAAAAACGAAGCTTATTAAAATATTATCCACAGCCAAGCTTGGAACTCTATTAAATATCAACTAACCACTCCTTTAACATCAGGATAATTCATGGCAGCCCAGCTGCTGGAATAGCCACCAATACTCCAACCAAATAATATTATATTTTCTGGTGTAAAATTTAAACTATTAATAGCAAACTGCATAACTACATCCATAGCGTTCTGATCCTGGACAGGATATGGTCTACCCTAAAGGACATAATAACATTTTCATTATTAATAAATAATAGAGTTAATAATAAAGTTGTGAATGTTTAGTTTATATTTAAATGCTCTTTATCAGAATCGTTTAGTTGTTAATGTCAGTTGTTAATTGTCAATTTTGGCGTCAAAATTATTTGATAATTAGGATTTTCGATAACAAGTATACTCTTTAAAATGAATTTAATGTATCAGTAAATAAAATATGATGTAAAGTTGATTTATATTGTCCTTTTAGTTAATACATGCTTTTTATAATAGTTTGATCGAGATCAATAGAAATTAGCAGGACCCTTAAATATACCAATAAAATTCAATTTCGATAACAAGTATACTCTTTAAAATGAATTTAATGTATCAGTAAATAAAATAAAGTAAAGTTGATTTATATTGTCCTTTTAGTTAATACATGCTTTTTTATAATAGTTTGATTTTATTTATCAATAAAGCATATGAAATTAGCAGGACCCTTAAATATGCCAATAAAATTCAAAATTTTAATAAAAAAAGACAATTTCAAAATTGTTTAGTCGTTAATCATCAGTTATTTTAAATTTAAGAGGATGGAGTTTAATGAATTTATATAAGTATATATAAATAATGTGCAACATTAATTTAATTAACCAAAAACAAAGAAATCTAAAACCTTGTCAACTATTTAAATATAATTACATAATTTTGTCTTTTATTTTTAGTGAAGTTTGAAAAAATGTTGTATATTCTTGTTTTTCCGGATTTTCTTGCACCCTATTGATCAAACAAAATATGAAAAATTATAGCAACGAATAAAGCATCGACGAAAAGAGGTTTGTCATTTCATTTATGATTTTGCAACGCATGATGATGAAAATAGGAAACCATATTTAATAAATATTATATTTAATGACAGTTTAATAGATAACAATATAATCTAAATATGAAATCTTTAAAATATAGCCATAACACTCCTAAATTTTCATATTCAACAATTATAATTGATGACAAACTAAATAACTAAAGGGAATAGATCAGTTCAGAAATATTAACAAATTTTCAGGATCTACTTCAACAATGTCGTCAACAAACCGCAAATGCGTTGTAAAAGTTAGCAAACATGAAAGAAAAGATCGGGATTCCGCAAAATATTGGCAAGATGTCTTTCAAAAACTAGAAGCTAAAGCCCAAATTCCTTTAGTAGAACGAAATGAAGAAGTGGTCAAATGCATTCCTTACAAGCTTTACGAACGAATAGCTCCCTTACTAGGATTAGATACAAAAGCTGGATTTTCAGAGGTAGATTCATCCATCAAGTTATTTAGAAAGTATATATAAATTGTATTACGAAAATTATTTTAGTACCAAAAATTACATGAATCGAGAATCGAAGCAGCCGTGGAGCAAATAAAAACACAAGAAGAAACTCAAGATGAAGAGAATTTGGATGAAGATTATGAGGATATGTTTTTCCTTGACAAAGATAAAGATAACGATGAAACCGTAGGTATAAAAATAGATGACGACGATGATGAACCCGTATGCGATCTGGACATACTAGTAAAACCTCCGATTCATAGAGATGCTTTAAAACCTAAACCAGAGGTGGTTAGCCCATATTATTCGTTCACTAGGAAAAAAGGCAAGAGGGCGGTTAATTGGAATTCCAAGTAAGAAATGATAAATAATTTAAAAATTAAAAACACCATCGACATTTCACTTGCTCCTAGTTTATTATATAACTGTTGAATCATCCTTTTAAGATATATGCCAAAAAATAAGTTGGAGGAATGGGAAAAAACTTTACATCAGCGAGCCACAGAAAAAACAGAGTCCATAGTACGCGATTTTTGTGAATGGTTACGAGGTTTAGGTGGTCAAGAATCAGTATTGACTGAAACAGCCCTTAATGAATTATTCGAGATCGGACGAGTGGATGATGCGGCGCAGGCGTTAATGGTTCGAGTCAGAGAACTGTATACAGTCACACCAGAAGTAGCAGCAGCAGCAGGGTTACCGGAAAGAGCTACCAGGCCAACGTTACATCGACAGGTAAGAAAGCAAAACAAGCTTTCTTATTGCGACCAGCGCTACTGTATTAAATTTTTAATAATATTTTCTGCGCGGTATAATTTTAAGTACATAATTATCTAGGTAATGCGAGATGCAATTGAAAGTATGAAACCACCCAGACATTTTGCTTTCGGTACTACATTGCCAAGAGATATGATGAGACATCGCGTAGTTGCTGATACGTCGCAATGGATGACGTGCAAGCATGTTCCAAAAGGTAATTCTATTTTGCATCCAAACAGTAAGTTCTATCTAAAACGTAGTTTCATACAAGCTTATATTATAATATGATATATGCAAACAAATATTGCTTTTGAGCTACGTTAATCATTTTTTGTATTGTTATTATAATGATGTTACTATTTCGATTAGGTTTGGCAAGTATGCGTTTGGTATGGGAAGGTATTACCGCAATTCGCTCAACTCGAGCTTATTGCACTTGGCTTCGTGATCATCCAGAAATAGAGCCTCCAGAATACTTAAAACGTGTTGGAATGATGGATTCTGATTATGGAGTTTCTAGAGGTAAGTATACATTTTAAAATCTATGCATTGAAACACAGACGAATTCTTTTCAAAGCTAAATAAATAGTCTCAACAAAAGAAGAATAGTTGAAGTTCAAATTAGCAGTTCTTAAATTTTAATAAAGAAATATAGGAACATTTGCAACTTTACCATAGTGAATAATGATAAAAATAGTTTAAAAAGCAACTGGTTTAATTAAAAAAAAATAGGTCAACCACGTGTGTCGATGATACCTGAATGGGAAGAACCTGAAGTCCCGGAGGAAGTAAAAAAACCTACTGAAATGGAGTCTAAAGAAGAAAATAAAGAAGAAGAAGTGGAAAACATTGAAAATGCAGAAGATGAAGCAGATAGATTAACTGGTGTTGGAATATAAAATTATACAGTATAAATGCAAGTATATATTTAAATAAATTATGAGCTCAGTTTAACTCAATAAGTTTGTTAGAAAAGTATTGTCTTTACAGTTGAAATTAAATCTTCAAAATATAAAATATTAGTCACAGTTTTGAAAAAATCAATTTGTTTAATTTTGATTTGAGAAGTTAGAATCTAATATCTCTTTTACCTATTATTAAAATCATGTTAATGCTTCACATTTTAGTAAAAATTCTTGCAAAATATCACATAGAAAACTTTCCACTTACTGTGCTCCCAGCAAATCCTGGATGATTCCAACCCAGCACTGAATAACCAGCCTCTATTGGGGTGCACATAATTCCTATCTCATAAAAGCCAGCATTTCCTTCTGAACATATAACAAGAATATCACCTTTACTTGTTTTACCTCTGTTATTAATAAACATTGTATCTACATCGTTATTATCTATTGTTCTTAACTTATTTCTTATGCCTTTGTTGTCTTTGACTAATTTTGCCCGACCTTGTAATAAACCAGGTTCTGAAAAATATTGCATAATATATAAATATTTTCAAGTGCCTGATGATCTCTTATGATCTTGATCTGATCTCTTGAGAATAACATACCCATTAATAAGTTAAGAATTCCTACAGCACCAGGATATATCATGCGTATTCCAAAAGTGTGCACAGCAATATATGCAGCGATTTGACAAGGTAGAGAATATGCCCACTGAGAAGCACTTCTATTTCTTGAAGTTTCCAAGTATTTACGAACTTTAGTTTTGTCCCTATAAAATCATCAGTGGTTATCTTTCATCATCATTTCATATCTATACATTGAAAGGAAACTCACGCTGAAGCATCATTCCAATTGAAGTCTACTGGCCATTTTTTAAAATCGAAGTCATAGCATCTAATTTGTTGTTTTGATTCCCTATTATAGTTGTTTATAGCTTTCATATATGTTTGCATAAATGATCTGTAATCAGCATTATTAGCTCTGCCAACACTTCTCATGCATAAAGATACTGCTAAGATTAATCCTAATCCAAAAGCAAATTTGGTGATACTTATAAAGCTTTCAGCAGCCAAGTAACTTTTTTTGTATAGAAATCCTATTAGTATGGGGGATGTATATAAACTAATATTCCACATAATATTTAACTAAAAGGGGAAATGGTAGATTTAATTAATACAGAATTGTATATGAGAAACCTCCTTGGTGAATTATATTAACTTACAGAATATATTACTTGATCCCCCCATTTTTCCAAACTTGATGGTTTATAAATTCTCTGTAATTATTAAAACACATTTCAATGTTTTTAAAGTTCTACAAATTAACAACGCATAAGAAATTTGATGATACCTCTACAGAACCGTCATATATTTTATATAGTTTTGGGCTAAACATATAATTCCAAATAGTTTTTAAGTAGGACATGATGATAATTTTAAAAACAGCAAAAAACAATATTTTAACCTATATAAAACCTATGTCATAATTAGGAATAATTTAATTAAACATTCTTTGTGATTAATAATTCAGCATTTGACATGCGTTTGACAGCTGTCAAAACGTGAAGTTTAACGTCCATATCACTGTTAACATTGACATGATAACAAAGTATTTTTAACATGATATGCAACACTAAAAAGTTGAAAATTTATCTAAAAAATATTAAAACATCAAAATTAATTTTTTTCTTTTAATTTATTTACTAAGCTTTTAATTTTATTACTATTTCAGATATATTTAAAATAGTATGTTTTTTACATTTTATTTATTAGCACAATGCAAATATAACATTTACAAAAACTTCATTTGAATCCATATCTATGACATCAATTTGACGTCAAATTCAGTTTTCCCATTAGTAACTTTGATTAATAATTTATTGGAATGGGTTCAAAGTATTATCAGTTTTTTTTCTTAATAGTTTTATATTATAAAGTGTCAAAATATTTAAGAAGGTGTGCATATTAATACTTTAATAAATACAATCACAGATATATAAAATACTATCTCTGAAAACCATCTGTTCAGAGTAATGTCACATTCCACCGAATATTGTTATTGTTACTTTCATAAACAAAGCAATGTTATTCGAATAAAGTGCCAATAAAAGATCATTCCGAAGTCAATTTGAAAGGTCGCATGGAGTTATAATTAATTTAATTGCTTTAAATTAAAAGAGGCAATGACCACAGCAAACCAGGAGACAGTGTATGAAGGATGGCTCACCAAATCTCCGCCTACAAAACGTATTTGGAGGGCGGTAAGTTTCGTGGAAGGAAATGATTCACAGATATTTTATTACGCTGCGATATCTAAGTATAACAATGTGTTATCTTTTGTTTACAATAATCATCTAAACAAAATTGTAATAATCAGTTAAATGTATTTGAGAAAGTTTTTGCATATTTGCTTAAATTCAATTACATATAAACTGATAAATATTCTTGCAATCTTAATAGAAAAGTTTCTATATATTTATTATTTGGATTTTGAATAGTAGAGTGTGATCAAATTGTTTTGTATTGTTCTTCAGTTAAAAACTGGTATTCAAACATTAAAAAATATGAATTTTATATATTATTACAGTGATAAACTCCATATTTGTGACAATGGTTATTTGTTTACTAGTCTAATTAATTATACTTTATATTGCAATCAATTTAATTGACATTTGAAATACATATAGAACATAGATTATTATTGATTTGAAAATATTTTATAACTACTGATATATATCTTGTTTTAATATTTGAAATGATATGTTACTTATGAAATTTTCAGAGGTGGAGACGCCGTTGGTTTGCCCTGAAGCAGTCAGGTGAACTTCCAGGACAGTATTTTTTAGAATACTTTACAGATAGAAATTGTCGTAAATTAAAGGGAACTATTGATTTAGACCAATGTGAACAGGTTAGTATATAAAAGATACAGAATATTTGTTTCTATTTGGAATTGTTTTATTGTACATCGTACATGTACAATTGTTTTATTGTACATCAATTTTTTGCCAGGTCGATGCTGGATTAAGATTTGAAAGAAGAAAGCAAAAGTACCAATTTATGTTTGATGTAAAGACACCAAGCCGAACTTATTATTTGGCTGCAGATAATGAGGTTGACATGAACCGTTGGGTAGATTGCATTTGTCGAGTGTGTGGATTGAAGGCTGATGAAGACATTCCTATAGTTCCAAACTGTAATAGCTTGATATATATTTTTTTTGTTAGAAAATTAATTTATTGTATTATATTGTTTAGATTACAACTGTGGACCAAATGCTTTTTCAAATGCTCCAAGTATTGAACATAATGAAGAAGAACCAGATGAGAAATCACCAACAGAAAGTGATGTGTCAGGTCCCTATATTCCTATCTCAGAATGTTTCTCTGGAAAGCCATTGCCATTCCATATTTCGAATGAGGTAAATTTGCATATATGTACTTCAATAAATGTCTTATTATATATTATATACTTACTAATTTCTTATTAATAATTGTTATTCAGGAAATGAGTTATCTTCCAACATATACAAATGAACTTAGTCCAATGAGTCCTACATCCATGCCTCCAAGCTACACTGAAACTATGGATTCCACATTGAACACATGCAATCCTAGGTTTTACGATTCACCACGTAAAGCTAGACCATGCAGTAATTTAAATTTTACATTATATAGCAATGGTAGCATGAGTGGTGAGCAACATGTTGCAAGTATGACATTGCCAAAAAATCATGGTAGAAGTTCTGGAAATATTTCATTTAATAGTAAAAATGGTAAAATTAAGACTAGACCACCTGATTTAGTACTAGAACTCAGAAATTATAGCTCTCGAAAGGATAAAGCAAGTCCTACAGATTCTGAGAGTGTTTTCACTGAAGATGAATGGTCTCACCCTATATTTCCTCCAGAAGCAGGTATGTTTAGTAATAAATTGCTTAAATATATACATATTAAAGTAATTGCTTAACTGATTCTAATAAATAATTACTTTTAGGACCGAGGCCATCCGATAGTTCTATTGAAAATGAATTAGTTGCAATAAGTGCTAATCAAAGATTTAGCAAAGTTCCATTGCAAAGTTTAAAACCTGTTAATACTTGTAAGTTTTTTAACAACAATCTAACAATATTTTTTTGTAAGCTATTTAAATATTTTTTATTTGATCTTGTAGCAAGTGGAATTTCTGTAAGTTCATCTAATTTGAATGTTGAATCAATAACACCACCTCCAAGGCCTCCTAAACCAATTCAATTTCAAAAAGAAAGCGAACATGGTTATCTTAACTTAGATAATATAAATAAGTATGTTTGTTTATTTTACTTTACTAGTATGATTTTCATTTTTACCTGATATTTCTATATATATATATATATGTGTGTGTGTAATATTATCAAATTTTTTATAGATCAATTGAAAATATATACATGAATAAAAGTTCAGTTTCACCTCTTATTGGACCTCGAACTGCAAGTACAGTGAGTTGATTTTAAATAATTGTCCCAAATGCAACTAGTACAAAATGAAAAAATGATTTTTAATTCCTATTTTATTTTTAGATTGTAATGGATGAATTTTATGACATACCACGCTCACATCAGGATCCTAAAGCTATAATTAATGGTCGCCATTGCTACACAAATGCAGCACCTTCGCAAGTGCAAGATGGAAATAAATCATTAATTTTTACATATGATTTTGACAACTCTAGGCAAGATATTTCAAAACCTGAAGAGGTAATTAAATAAAATTGATAATTGTTGAGCATTACTTAATTTTGCATTTTTCATAGATGAAAGAAGCATTGTCTGTTGAAAATCAAGGGACGAGTATCCAAAAGAATCTAAGTGAAAACTTTTCAAAAGTTACAGATGATGCTTATAATGTTAGTTTATATTTTATTTATTTCACACTATATTTTTGAAATATTTTCAATTCCTGAATAAATTTTAGAATTCATCAGCTCCAGCTGTAGATCGTGGCACAAAACCTCGTCAAAACACAAGTTCACCACCGAGTGTTAATAGGAAATTGAAGCCAACTTTACCAAAGGTATAATTTAATTTTATTGTTCTGAGAAAATATAAGATGATTTTTTATTTTTATTTTCTTAGATTCATATCTGTTTTATTTTATAATCCTACTTTATTACTTTTAGGCAAATGTGAAAGCTAGCACTTCCTCGGGGTTTTTAACTAAACCTGAGCAATACAGTGGAGCCACATTACGAAATCACCGAGCTGCTCCAAGTCCCACACCGCCAAAAACTGATGCTTCTGATGATGAGAATACAATTTTCACTGAAGAACAGGTATACATTATATAATATTCATATTTAATTGATGTATTTTTCTGCATTGTTTTCTGTATTAATCTCCTTATCATTTTTCTCAAGATCTATTTCTACAGTGTGGGCAATAAGTTTATTCCTGCCATGCCCATTGACAATGAAAATATTCAGTATTTAGATCTTGACTTAGATACTGATGGAACCAGCAATACTTTACCTCCAAAGTCGCCTGGATCCAGCACCGTCTATAAACAAGTTGATTTTGTTAAAACAGAGGCTTTTAAAATTACAAAACAGTCTGCCGAAAAAAGCAGAACTGAGAAACAAAACAAAGAACTGAAAAAGGATACATGATAAACTAATCATATGCTGAAATTTTATAAAGTGGTATTGAATATCAATATGATCAATAATTTTAAAATATTCTATCTAATATCTTTTCTATATGTGCCGAAAAAAGCAGAACTCAGAAGCAAAATAAAAAAGAATACATGATAATTGACCCCTACTTACATATCAAAATGTTAAATAATTTTCAAATGTTCTATAATATTTTTTCCAAATATTTTTAATTATGCTGAGAAAAGCGGAACTCAGAAGCACAACACAGAACTGAAAAATAATACATGTTAAATTATTCATGTTATTAAATATCAAAATGATATTATGACAAAAGATGACATATTTTTAAATATATTAAAGCCTTATAGAACATCGTCTATGCATGATTAGTACAATTGTATTATAGATACTTTAAGTTAGGATATGCCAAAAATTTTAACTATATTTTTATAAAATGTTATATACTCTATACCTATCAACCTATAAATTTATTCTAACATGTGCCTGTTAATGATAATTATTATATTCTATAAACACTACCGTACAGTAGATTAAATCTACATTTTTAATAGTAATTGTAATTTATAGTTTGATTTTTGTTTTACGTCAGTATTTTACAATAGTATTGGTTAACTGAATTTTCTTCTTACTGTTATTTACTAATTATGATCTCATATTTCAATTAAAGCTGTGGCTTTCATGAGGTTCAACAAATTTATTAATATATTGTATTCAAGTTTTTTATTTTTGAAAATTAATTTAGTTTCAATCAAAGTATTTTATTCATGACATATTATAGTATTCTACTTTAAGTATTAAATTATTAAATATATTTTATATTATATTATAAATATATATTAAAATCATTGTGCCTTCTTGGTACTTGGTATATTTTATCTTGAGCGTTAATTAAATCGAATGTTTGCGCTTACATTCTGTAGCCTACTAAATATTACATACATACGCATCTTCAATCTATGAAAAATTGGTTACTTATGTATCATATTTTTTCTGAACACATTTAGCTGATGTGTACACACAAATATGATTAATAAAACTTAAATCAACAAACAAAAGAAAATTATGTTATTTAAAAAAATTTTTGTAAATTTGTTTGACCTTATTATAACTAATGGCTGGATTAGGTTTATTATATGAGGATGGAGCATGGATATGGGATCATTCAATAGAAGGTTTACGTTATGATAAAAAAGTACAAAAAACTGAAAAAGGTGAAGAAAAGGATGTCAAGAAGGAAGTTGATAAGTACATACTAGCGTTCAATGATAACGTAGATAGTATAGAAATGGCAAAATTTAGACATAAGTACCAAAGGCATTGTAAACCAGGAAGACCAGAAGTCATAACTATTCAAGATATAAAAGATGTTGCAATTTTTACAGCAAATCAGGCAAAAATGACATATGAATTTTTAAACTTTTTTCATATTCCAACAGTTGATCGGTTCTTAAGAGCTCTCATCGTATATTTTGATTATTACATAAAAGTTTTTGATCTGCTGACTTATAGACGAGGAAGAATGAACAGAAAATTAAGAAATCCTTCCAGTGTTGTGATAGAAAAACTTATCGCTGATGAGTTAGGAGATTATCGGGCGATGATAGGACGAGAATATTGTAATATGATTTTGGGAGCTGCAGATTGCTATCCTTACCATCATTTGTCAAACAAAAATCGCACATCTATGACCAAAAAGGATGCTCGACTTACTGATTTACTACTGAGTATGGCAATGAGAGTTGTATGGTTGACTATGAATCGGCAAAATTATAATTTGATAGAAGTTGAAATTCATAGATTATTTCGGACAGAGTTTTATAATGTAATTGTACACCGTCAAATAGATCATCAACAACCTTTGCCTCAAATCGAGGAGTATATTCTTCACGGTCCTCCTCCTCCACAGAAAAAGTTACTCAGAAGAACTCCAGCATGCGAGGAAATTTTAAAACAACACGATTTTCGATTAATAGGAGCCGGAGTTGTTAAAACTGATAATTTATCTGAAAAACTTGTTCAAATGCAAGCAGCTTATTTACTGCCTGAGCACGAACTTATTTCGCATGGATTTTCCTTTGGTATTCTTGGTCGCCCCCGGTCTGATTTTGATCCCATGTTGATGGAATTATCAAAGGAAGAAAAGGAAGGATCGTTGACAAAACTTCTAAAAGTAATTGACACGCAAGAATCTGAATTGTCCATAGTTGAAGACTCGATCGAAGAAGAAATAAGCATGGAGTCTTTAACCATTGAAAGTTCTTTGAGCTATTTAAGCGGATACGGAAAGAGCATTGTTGTAGAATTGGACCCTGATATCGAAGAAGAACACAAAGAAAAATATATTGAAGAAGAGCAATCTAAAACAACTTCTGAATCTGTTTCTGAAGAATATGTTCCTGAAATGCCACCGATGCCTGTGGATACTTCTATTTGCAAATTGGATGCACCGTCTCATTTATTCTATATGCCTACTGAAGATGATATGTTTTATAGAATTCCCAGTGAATTTCCAAGTGCTGATCACATTGAGGATGAAGATCGCTCTGCAAAACAACAATTGTTGATTTGGTTGAAACGAAAGCGAGCATTTGAGAAAGAAAAATTGAAAATAAATCAAATATAGCTATTTTATTAGAAACATTCAAAGATTATATACGTTCAATTTACAATATTTTTTTAAGTATATGTTAAAAATGTAGGGATTAAAGAAGTTAATTTATGTAATATAGCATTAAAAAGAATAAGGTTTTTAATGAATTTATAGATATGTACATAAATACTTATAGAGCTTATTAATTATTACTAGCTATAGAAGTTGATAGATTTTTTTTTTAAATATCTAACGTTTAACGAATCGTGCTAACGATTTTGCAAAATTAACAAGGTAACTTTTTTTTAAAAAAAACCGCCCCAATGCGTAGCGCAGTTCACGTTAACTCTTAATTGTTTTTTGGCGGGCTGTCAAGTCAGCTGTACGAGCCAACGATTTAAATATCACAATGTTTTATTTTTTAATAATTTAATTATTTGTTGATGTTTTTAAGTATGTTTTATAATCATTTAAATCGTAATTTAGAATAATAAAGTTTTTAATATTATCATGTCTTATAGTTGATATTTTATTTTATCTTGTGTGAGGCTCACTAAAAACATGGATAAATCATATCAAAAGTACAAATATAAAGTTAAATTGTGGGAGACTAAATTTAAGAAGAAGAATGGAAGAATACCTTCAAAGGTGATAAAAATATTGATAAAGGTTTACTAGATGATTTACTAATATATCTTATTTACATTCATTATTTATTCTAGCACGATATTCATGAGGCTGAATTAGAAATTCGTGAAGCTTACAAGATGTATTTTAAACTTAAATCAGCAATATTGGAAGAAACACTTATGGACATAAGTTTTGATGATTTGGATACCACAGAACCGATGAACGAATGTTCCCAAAGTTCCCAAACAGTAAAAGATGCTGACAGTTCACACGAAGAAATAAATAAATTACAAAATACAGATGAAAAATCTCCCTTAAAATTTAACTTAGAGAAAGAAAACACTTGTTGGAATGTTGACAAAAAAGAAGATGACAGAAAAGTTGAAGAAATTTGGGGTTCACACTTGAGTAACAAGTTAAAACCGGAAGTAAAACCAAGCATTCCTATAAAAAGTGAAAATGCTACAGTTAAACTATCTCAAAAATTATTTAAAAATTCTAGTTTTTCAAAACGTAATCCCAGAAAGTCTTTATCTAGTCAATCATTAAATCGTTCTGAATCTAATTTAAGTATGTCTTTCTCTCAACCCGATTCACAATCATCACAAAATTCTGCAGTTGAAAGTTTGCCAGATATGGATAAATTGCTTTCATCTCAAGCTGAGTCGCAAGAATTTAAAACTAATGCTGCTTACAGTTCACAACCACTTCCAAAAACATTGAGGAGCATTGATAAAGGATGGCTGGATCGTTGCACTTTATCAACAAGTTTATCCCAACCTGATTCAGGGTTTAGTAGTTTGGAAAGCACCTATGAATTTTCAAAACCTAATGATGTTGAGGAGCATAAAACATTTGGTTTAAGAAACATAGATTCAAAACAATTAAAGAATGTAATAAATACTCCTGTAGAGTCTTTTGGGCAAGATAATGCAGTAATAGATGATATTGTTTATAATAGTGAGTCGGAGGATGAAGCTAGTGCTTTTGAAATTCTGAAAAAACGAAAAATTGATTCTTCTCAGACGTCTCCAAAGTTTAAAAACACGGTATGTATTATATAATTTTATCTTTAACAAAATTTGTGTAACATATAATTTAAAAGGATTTTTGTTCTAATTATAAAGCGCTACTTATAAAACATTACAAACATGGCAGTTTCTCCTTATTTATGAATGAAATGAATTTATGATGTTTAATAAAATCTTCTAAAATTTATCTAAAAAAAAAATAAAAATAATAAAAAATATGATAAATATTTTTTTTACAGACTTCTGTAAAAGTTCAAAATAGTTACATTCCTAAGAAAATTCAAGATGAACCTCAAAATACAGTTATTTCCAATAATACTAGCTTTGAAAATGTTGGGTGTTTTGAAGAAATTTCTCCAAATTCCCAAAAGAAAAAGAAATTGATTTATGATCACAGTATACTTGAAGTACCTGTTCCTAAGAAACGAATTGCAAGAAATGAAACTAAAAAAAATTATTCAGAACAACATGATGAAGATATGGAGGATCCATTTAGCTTTAATTCTGATGATGATCCTGAATTTGTTGTTGAAAAAGAAGAACCACAACCAAAAAATATTCCTGGGGAAAAGAAAAAAACTCGCAAAACTGCTACTAAAACCACAACTGAAGGAAGAACTAGAGCTGCTAAAACAAAAAAAAATAGTAACTTCCATAAATCTATACAAACTCGTAAAAAAGCTTCAAAAAATAAAGAAGAAACTAAAGAGTCCGAACCAGATATAAATAGTTTAAATGAAACTGAATATGCCTTAGAATTTTCAATAGACCCCAACAACGCAACTAATGTTTCAAGATTTGGTGTTCATGTTGATGGTGAAGTCAAGGGAGATTTGGTAAAGGAATATGCATCGGTCATATCGAGCAATGCCAGTGATATTGTAGAAAAAAGTCTGAAATCTGTACAAAAATTTGATGAAACAAAATTACAAAAAGCTTCTAGAGAGAAAATGAATGAGAACTTCATTAGGATTGATCTAAAAAAGAAAGTTTATGTGAGAGGTACTAAATATTAATTTAGTAATCAAATTGTTGATATTTTGAAATGTAGTACTACTATCTGTTTGCAGGCAAAAAACCAATGAATTATAGTAGATACAAAAAAGCTAGGTGGAAGGAACGAAAGGCTGCTGCATTGGCTGGTCCAGACATGGATATGGGTGGTTGCGATGGCGGCTTGCTGAAATGTTTTAGATGTGGCCATGTAGGTCATTTCGCCCAGCAATGTAAAGCAAAAATTGGTAAGTTGAAATTCCCATGTTCTCAGTATATATTTTTTTAAATAATATTTGCTTTACAATTATGCTTTTAGATACAAATTATTTGTAAGTGTGCGACTATTTTATAATTATAATTTGCATCAAGCCAAAATGCCACTTACACATAGCTTTAATATATTTTTTTAAGTGTTACACTATTTATATCTATGATTTTTTCTAATGTAGTTTGATTTCTGTATAAAACTTTGTATAAAAATTCATTACAATTACAATAAAAGTACATAAAGTATACAAGACAATAAAATACATAATTTTAAAGTATTGTTGTTAACAGTAAACATCATAAAATATATTTGATTTATCATAATTTGAAGGTGAACAATTACTACCTTTGGAACAAGACGTTGAGATTTGCCCATACCCAAGCTTAGAAGAGGCTTCAGCAATGGCAACTGAATCACTTTTACTGGCTCATGCTAATAGACCAAATTCGATTCCACAGGCATCAAAAATGGCAATAGAAGAACAGCCATCAGAATCAGCCGTGGATATAGAATTTGAAAGTGATTTTGATGCTTCCATGCTGGACCAGTCATTTAATGAAGAAAAAGAATCTGATGAACAAATTGAAAACAATGCCGAAGAAGTTCAATATATTAATAATCAAGATGATAGTAACAATGGTCATAATACAGTTGATAGTGAGATAAATGTTGTAACAAGTAAAAATGAGCAGGAAAACACAGATTCTCAACTGGCTCCTAAAGTGTTTAAAAGACATGTCATTCCTGAAGCTTTATTAAGTCAATTATTGCCTGCAACTAAAGATGAAAAAGAAGAAATTATGCCATTGTATAATTTGAATTCTGATGGAACTCTTATGAGTAAGTTATTTATACATAATTTTGAAAATAATTTTTAAACACATATAAAATACTACACATTTCTATACTACATCATTATATAATATTGATGTTGATATTTCAAAACATGTTATAGATATGAATGAATAATGAGTTATTTATTTATTCATTTAAATACAATGGGCAGTATAAAGATATAGTAACAATAAATACCAATATTCTATAATTAGGTAAATAAGCAAAATTATTCAATGCAAGATTTAGTAAATTTAATTTTCTATTATAATAATAATGAAAATTAATAAATTTCGTAATTGCGTAATTTCTTAATGGCATAATTCATTCTACTAATAATATAACATTTCACCTCTTTTTGAATAAAATATATTTTTATTCCAATAAAAATAAATTAATAAATAATTCTATGAACAAATAATGAATATACATTTTCACATTTTCTAGAAACTCCAAAAGAAGTTTATTCTATTCTAAACATGTTTGGCCATAAAGAATTCCGACCTGGTCAAGAAAAAGCAGTCATGCGTATCTTATCAGGACTCTCTACTCTTGTAACATTAAGCACTGGTAGTGGAAAATCACTTTGTTACCAGCTGCCTGCTTATCTGTATGCGCAGATGAAACCTTGTATCACTTTGGTTATTTCACCTTTAGTATCATTGATGGAAGACCAGGTAATAAATTGAAGCCCGTTTTTTTTTTATTGTTTATAACAAATGTCTGTCATACATATTTCAGGTAACCGGTGTCCCTGATTTTCTTCATGCAACTTGTTTACACACAAATCAAACTCCACAACAAAGGGAGAATATTATGCAGGTTAGATCTAGATTTAAAGAATTGTTTCATTAAATTACACTATGCATTGAAAATTATTTATGTTTAGGCAATTCAATCCGGGATGGTCAATATTCTTCTAGTTTCTCCAGAGGCAATTGTTTCTGGTGAGAAGAAAACTGGGTTTGGTGCGCTACTTCGAAGTTTGCCTCCAATAGCCTTTGCTTGTATAGATGAGGCCCATTGTGTTAGTCAGTGGAGTCACAACTTCAGGCCCAGTTACTTAATGATATGCCAGGTAACTTATCATTAATGTCTTAAATTCAAAATGTACAATTGTTGTAAGAAGTAATAATGTTCTTATTACAAAACTTATTTCACAGGTTTTACGGGAAAAATTAGGTGTGAAAACTGTGTTAGGTTTAACAGCTACAGCCACAAGACAAACACGTGAAAGCATAGTCCAACATTTACAAATTCCTGATGGTTTGAATGGTATTATTAGTGACATACCTCTTCCCAATAACTTGAATTTATCTGTATCTAAAGATTATAATCGTGATAGGGCCTTGATAGAATTACTAAAAAGTGAAAGGTATGTATACTTTGTGATCCCATCATTTTGAAATTGTTTTTATAAAAATCTTTGTATTTTTTATTTCAGATTTGCAAGTCTTCAATCCATTATTGTTTATTGCACACGGAGGCAAGAATGTGAACGATTGGCCAGTTTTATAAGAACTTGCTTGCAGGTTTGTTATATAAAATTATTAGTAAATTTTATGTAGACATTAATGACTATATTTTTATTACTTTATTAGGACTTGAAACCTCCAGAAGAAAAACAACAACGCAAACGTAAAAGATCAAGCGTTACTTGGAATGCTGAGCCATACCATGCTGGTATGAGTGCTTCACGTCGAAGAACTGTTCAGAATGCATTTATGAGAGGCGATCTGAGAATAGTTATAGCTACTGTAGCTTTTGGTAAGATTATTTTTTTATCTTATTAAAATGTAATATGCAAAATCACTAATAGTTGTGTTTTAAAAGTATTTTCTTTTAATCCTAGTCAAGTTCTTTTATAAATAGTCTGAAAAAATTAATTCCTAAGAACTCTTGCAGCTTCAATAAAAATTACTTCAGGTTTTACTAGGTCTTCAAATAAAATATGCTTATTGTATAGTATTATTAACTTCTTGAAGGAGAAATCTGTTTTCGCATAAAATCCGATTTGCTAATATAACTATAGTATTCTTACTTACTATTTACAACTAGTTATTTATTATTAATCTGGGTATTTATATAAGAACTTTTAATCATATACGCTTGTATTTACAGGAATGGGTATAAATAAATCCGATATACGCGCTATTATACATTACAACATGCCTCGAACATTTGAAAATTATGTCCAGGAAGTTGGAAGAGCAGGCCGTGATGGACTTCAAGCTCATTGTCACTTATTTTTGGATTCAAAGGTAATCAATGAATTTTTAAGTTATTTTAATTAATAACCTGTTGAATAGAGCAATTTCTTCTCATGAATATTTTTATAATGTTTTTTTTCTATTTATGTCTTTTAGGGAGAAGATCAAAATGAATTAAAACGTCATATATATGCTGATTCTATTGATAGGCATGTTATAAGAAAATTATTGCAAAGGGTATTTGTTCCATGTAAATGTGCAGAAAACACCAAATCATCTCAGGTTTTATTTGTATCTTATTTTATTCTTATATATCATCTTCAATAAATTGTGTATTATAAAATTATATTTTTATAGAGTATCGAAACGAAGAAAGCGAATGAAATAATTTCTAATTCATCTTTTGAAAACCCTGTTAATACAAGAAATCGAATATGTCCAGGTTAAGAAATGAAATTGTTTTTTATGCATTTATTTATAGTGATCAAACTGCTATAAAAATTAATTTGTTCTTATCAATTTTTAGGCCATGAAGTAGCATTTAGTGTATCTGAAACTGTACAAGCTTTGGATATTCCAGAGGAAAATATATCAACACTACTATGCTATTTAGAACTACACCAAAATAATTATGTTCACGTACTAAGTTCTGCTTATACCACATGCCGAATTACTTCATACGGCGGACCAAAGCAATTGAGGTAAGGATAAAATTATTACTGAATTATTTACATCTATTGTTATAAAGACTGTTTTTACTGTTCTTACAAATGCTGTTTTTTATAAAACATATTATTAATTGTGTATTTTATTTAATGATAGGTTAGCTGCTCAAAATTGTCCACCACTTGCAATGGCGATTGCATTAGATTTGAAAAGAGGAATCAATCATGATGAAACAAGTATTTTGGAATTTAAAGTCATCGATATTGCCTCTGCAATAGGTTGGGATAGTGGAGTTGTAAAGTACAATTTAAAAAAGTTGGAGTGGTCTACAGGTATGTAGAAACTTATTTTCATTGTAGCTTGTTTTGTGGTAAAAAGTTTTGCCAAGGTAAGATGCTACTTACAACTTTGTTTTATTTATTGCTAGTTTGGGGGAGATCTGCTCTGATTATTATTATTATTTTTTTTTTTGTAACTTTTCATTTAATTTTGTAGAAAACGGTGCATCGAAAAGAACTAGCCTAAATGTTGAATTTTCTGATTTGGGTTTTCGAGTACGTTCGGCGGGCGATTTAACAGATGAAGAATTAGATGAAACTCTTGATATGTTATATGAAAGAACATCTAAGCAAGAACATAAAGCTCTATTACAGGTAAATAGCTTTAATTTATCATCACTCTAAACTTTAAAACTTCTATAACTACATTATTTGCAGCTCCAATCTGTATTCGAAGCCATGACTTCGGTATCTTTTCAAGATTGCAGTAATTGCTCTAGTTCAGCATTGATAAAAGAACGCTCGGATCAGTTAAAGTTAATTATTCGCGAATATTTTCAGAAAGATAAAGATGATTCTGTGATGCCAATGCAAAGTGTAAGTTTTTGTCAAAGAATATTATTAAAAAAAAGTGAGTTTTATAACAAAATTGGCATTCATGAATTTCAGATTAAGTCAAATACAGAAGGTCAAATTATTTCCGATGTACGAGCTATGATCTCTAATTATCCTGAAAATAATTTTACTGGGCGGGCCCTAGCTAGAATTTTTTATGGAATTCAGAGTCCTAATTATCCTGCTGTGATATGGGGCAGATGTCGTTATTGGAGACGGCATTTGCATGAAGACTTCTATCAGCTTATTGCTATTGCAAATAGAGAAATAATTCGAATGAGGTAATTAATTATTGACCTATTATTATAAGTCATATTTATTGGTTGATTGTTAAATGAAAATTATAAAATGTAAGGAATTTAAAATCTGACTCAAACAGTTGGTTTTAAATGTTATTTTTTGTAAATTGTTAAATACAGTGTCGTTATTGATTTAGGAAAAAGGTTTTTAAATTTGAGCAGTAACTAGTTATTATACGCGAAATTGATTGGACTTCAATAAAATATTTTATTTAAATTGATACGAATAGAATTAAATATAATATGAGCATCAACTTAATATAAATAATTGATAAAGTTACTACATCTTATTTATTACACTATTCTTTTTCTATTAAAAACATCTATTTAATCATTAAAACCTTCTTTTATACATACATCTTATATACTATTCTTTTACTATTGAAAAGACTTAATTGACCATTGAAAACTTCTTATTGATGATCATTATTCCCACCGAAGTTGATCATTTTCTGATCAAATATTTTCATATGTTTATTTAAAAATTTATTATTGGCATCAGCCATAATGTTGTCATCATCGTGTTCTTGTGATTCATATAGATTTGAGTTACCATTAATAATATTCTGGGTCGGTAAAGAATGATTCTGATTATTAGATAGTGGCTTGAGTTCATGTTTAGTCACATTCCTATAACAAAAATCTGAATCAATATGAATTTCAATCAGAAGTAATTATCATATTTTTTAATCATATATTTAGGGTTACGTTGAAGTTTTGTTTGAGGGATTTGCAGAAGTTGTTGTTTCGGTTTTTGAGGTACTTTGAGTCTCCATGACCTCGTCTAGCTTTTGTTTGTTTAGTGCATCATCTTCTGCTACCTGAATTTTGGGTAGCAAATCCAAAATGTGTATTTGGTCATCATCGTTTGCTCTGCAAATTTAAAATAATGTATTATTAGAAATTATTACTTTAACTTTTAAAAAATATGAAAAATATTACATTGTTTTTAATTTGCATACAAAATAATTAAAGGCTTTGCATTTACTCACGTGCTATATTTTCCTTGATTCTGTTCCTTTGATGAATTAAATTTATCATGATAACTGGATTCAAATTCTCTCTCCAATGGATTGTGTATATTTTCTTGTAAGGTCGGTAATTGCAAATTTAAATCATTTGCAGGAATTTCAGCTAAATTTTTGTATGAGGGCTTAATAACCGGCTTCTATGTGAAATAATGTTAAATATATTTTAAAATATTTATATACTAGAAAATATCTTCAATATATACAAATGGCACTTGCATATGAGTGAGATCCATAATTATTATTGATTGATTTTAGGGCTTTGTTTGCAATGATTTTGCTCGAAGCCTTCTTTGTTGGTGGCTTCCGTGTGTTAGCTCTTCTGCTTAGAGCATTGTTGTTTCCTTTTTTATTAGAATGATTAGTTGTTATTCTATAATTGTATTGGTTTTTAGGTTTAATGTTTAATTTCTTTTTTAAATCCACGCGCTAAAATATAACATCGTTAATTTTCAAATATCAAAATAAATTATATAAATCAAATATTAAAATAGATTGCGTCACCTCTGCACGCAAAGTTGCAGAATTTGTTTCTTCAACTAAATTATCACTTCCATAGCTTTGTTTTGTTTCAAGATCGTTGTTTTCATTCTTATTATTTCTGAAAACGTTTTCGATGTTACTTACTGCTTGCTTCTTCAATAGTTCCTCATTTCTCTTTTCTTGCTCAATTAATACACGAAGAGCTAATTTTATATCATCTGGATTGTTGTTGGCAAATGTGTTGGTTTTGATATTTTCCGATGTTTTCAGTTTAATTTCATGATTTTGTGAGTTTTGTGCAGTTACTTTGTCCAACAAAGATAATAGAAATTGCTCACTCTGATCATATCTATAGTTAATGTTGGTTTGAATAAACGGAATCATAATTTGTTTTTTTTTATATACTTTTTGTTTACCTTCTATTTGCTAATGACTTTTTTAACTGATAAGCTGAAACCACTGCTTCTATCGCTTCTAAAGCATTCTTTTTCACATTAAACCAGTAAGAGAGCACCATGAAAGAATTTGAAATCTTTATAAATTCTACTTCTGATAAAGTTGGATTACCTTTCAGGGCTGGAAACGTAACTAAAAATAATAGCTCATTAGCTTTTCGAAATAGAACTTCTAGTCATTCTGAATCTGAATTTGCAATAGTTTCTCACTTTATAAATCTCTCTGGGATATCTGTATACTTAAAAATCGTAAATCATATCATCATAAATTAATTTGAGTGATTTATAAAAATACTGAATTGCTGTAGGTAAGAGCTTATAATGTTAGGAACTGCTGCGGATTATATTAATTGATAATTATGTTGATTTCTTATTGATTGAAATAATTATTTGCATATGTTAGGAAATTCTTGCAACTTGCCTTAAAACAAACTGCCACTTAAATCTCGTTATTTATTCAAATGATTATAAAGTTCAAATAAAAATAAATAATAAGTATATTCTTACCTGAATCAATTTCGCTTGCACGCATCATAAATCTGACAAAACTTTGAATTTTTTCTTTTAAATAAGTTTTTGCGATTTGTTTCTGTAAATCTTTATTCCCATTATCAGAATGTGTTTTATCTGACAAAACTGTCCTCAGTTCCATCAATGCTAATTTACAATCTAGTTGCTGGTCTGGACTTAATTGGAAACCAGACCATGTAACGATTTCCAAAATTCCTGCAAATATAGAATCTATTTCCCGATGGGCACGATTTGTAGACTGTTCTAGATGAACTATCGAAGGGTTGATGTTGGAAGACAGCACAGATCCTAAGAAATCAATTAAATACCGAAGAAAACATATGTTTTAATATTTAAATCAAATTCAAATCAATATATAAATTCAACTTACCCAACAGCAGAATATTCATTATATTAAAACAAGAAATAAAATTAAACATCTTGAATGTACAAAATTTTTTTTCAATAGTGAAGATCAGGCACTTGCCGGGTGAAAGTGTTCTTGATGAATGATTGACTTAAGGCATTGCTTTTCAAATTGTACCATGCAATATCAATATCAAAGATTGATCAGAAATATTATATAAATAATTTATCATGCAAATTATATTTTAATTAAATCTGTTTATATTATTACTTGATTGAAGTAAATGATTAATGGTATGCAAATGTATATATTGAATGAAAGGGAGGTAAACGTGGAAAATATTATTAAATAAGTAGGAATAACATTTAATATATAATGCTGGCTTGAAAATATTGTTTGCATTCTTTACTCAACTGAGTCATACATTAACTGTTTGATTACACACAAGATGAAAGTAAAACATGTGTGATTGTTGATATTGACAAAAAATATTGAGTTGTTTTGTTATAATAGTGACTTACTTAATTATAACATACACGGTTGCAATTAAATCTGTTTGTATAATTTTTAACATTCATGCTAATGGTATGTGAATATATCCATTATACAAATTGAAAGTAAACATAGGAATTCAGGTCGGTTTGATAAAATCTAGTTGAAAATAACAATTAATATAACATTTATTCAAAAATTATTGTTTGCATTTGCTTCATAAGTGAGTCATACATTACTATTCGATTATTTTGAAAGTTAAATTGCATATTTCATTAAGATATCAATACATCAATAATGAGGTAATAAAAATAAAACAAAACTAATGATAAATATTTAGTTTTTATTGTTTAACAATTTTATCAAATATTTTCATATTTTTATTGACTATATATGCATGTGCGTTTGAAATATAATTATGTGCATAAAACCATATAAATCTAATATCACCGCCATATGATAATAATTTTCCCCACCATTACCATAAAAATTCTTTGGAATACTACAAATTGAACTAAGCAATTACATAATATGATTTATCTATGCCTTATAATATTTTTACTTAAATTGTGCCGAATAAAGAATGTATTTTTTTCTCTGATCATGTAATGGTATACTTAATTTGCAAAAATCTTCTAGTTGAAACATAGTATAATATATTTACATAATTTACATCATTACAATTCAAGCATATTTAATCTTAAGTCGATACATATTTACAAGTTGATTTGAAATGCCTATATTTTCTTTTGTCTTGTATTTTACTTATTTTATCCATTTGTTTTTGGCTGGTGCAATATGCACAATATTCAGAAGTCACAATATGCAAAGGACTTCGATAATATAATCCTGGATCAGAAAGCTGTTTATTTTTCTTATGACACCACATATGAATAATAATTTCGAAAATTGCTATCAGAACAGTTGGGAGCTTAGGAAAAACAAGTAACACAGGCAAAAGTAATAACAATCGATGGCTCATAGTATTTTGGCCAAGTATTATATTTTCATTGAGTGAATAATACTTTTCTCTATCACATATCGGAAAAGCCTCTTGTATTTCATTATACTTGGCTTTTTGCTTATGTTTACTATCTACTTTGAGATATTCTTTTGGTATGTGAAATTTTCGAGTTGGTGCAACATGTTTATTTTGTTCTGTGAGAACTAAAGTTTTTTCACCAGTTTCTGTATCAATTTCTGGAAACTTTCGACAAATTTCTCCCGTTTCCTCATCTTTAAGAATTGCCATTTTTACATAAATTTTAGGAAAGTAAAGTCAACTGAAAGACTTTGAAAGAAATTCATTGAATTAGTCAACAGGTGAGTGTACGATTTTCGCATGTAACTTTATATATCAATAAATCAGAAATGACATCTATATAGTTATTATCTGGCTGAGTATATTATTGGAGAGACATATAGCAGCGGACGTCCCAAACTCAATCAAATTAGACTCATTTTGCATTTTCTATTTTTCTGACATAAACATTCTTAACCTTCATTAATGTATTTGTACAAAATTATCACGCAGCGGTACCAACTAACGCAATTAATTTATACAAAGCCACACACAGATTTAAGTATAAAATCTTATGCATAAAAAGTATTATTATTAGATACATAAATATAAATGTTCTTAAAAATATATATACTTTATGTTTATTTTATTATTTGACATTTGACGTTTTATCGCAAGCTATAGAACATGACACACAGAGGAAAAGGCGGCAAAGGCTCTCTGTCGAGTTGAGGCAACACTAGAAAAATATTCCCATCTTCAGTATAGTTCGCCCATAGTTCGCCTTTGTCGTTCATCAAACTCATGTTTGAAATAACGATAATCAAGTGCCGTTGCCATTTATATGTGTAGATTGTCATTTTAGGGCAAACAGTGGAATAAATACTTGCAAAAATGGGTGACGTTTCAAATAAAAAAGGCAAGAATCAGAATATTCAAGTATTCGTTCGACTAAGGTAATGTAAACTCTGAAATTAAATCAATTCATTTACGATATATGTTAATTACATTTTTGTCATTCAGACCCATAAATGCCCGAGAAAAAGAAATAAAATCGCATATCGCTGTTGAAATATCTGGAAACCGTGAAGTGTTAGTAAAACAACAGCATTTCGAAAGCAAGCATTCCAAAAAGTTTACATTTGACAGAGCTTTTGGACCAAACTCAACTCAAGTATGCCTGTCACTAATATGCGAAAAAAGCTTGCTAATGTCCTAATATTTTTTTTTTTGCAATAGGTGGAAGTATACAAGAGTGTTGTCAGTCCTTTAATCGAAGAAGTTCTCTCTGGTTATAGCTGCACTGTGTTTGCTTATGGACAGACCGGAACTGGGAAAACTTTTACCATGGCCGGCGGAAATCCTAAATTCAATGACTGTGAGGGAAACTCATGGAAAAATGTAAGTTTGAACCTTAAAAATAAGTAACGATTATATTTTTCATATCAAAATCATATTATTTTAATCTGTTTTCACATAAAATATAGTTATATCATTTCTTCCCTTACCAGGATCCTCTTGCTGGTATCATACCCAGGTCAATCAATCAGTTATTTGATGAGTTGAGATTAGCCCAAATGGAATTTACAATTCGAGTGTCATACTTGGAATTGTACAATGAAGAGCTATTTGATTTGCTTGCTCCGACTATAGATGAAAACTCTTCAAGCAAAATTAGAATATTTGAAGACCCAACAAAAAAGGGATCAGTGATTGTGCAAGGTCTGGAAGAAGTGCCTGTTAAGAATAAGAGTGATGTATACAAAATTATATCTGATGGTCAAGAGAAAAGAAAAACTGCTGCAACTTTAATGAATGCTCAATCGAGGTAAATAATATGAAAATGTTATATATTTTGCTTCGCAATTCTATGAAATTAATTACATTTGTTGATACCAATTTGATTTATTTATTTGAAGAGAAAAATGGTTCAAATACATTTCCTTATTTATATTTTTATATTATTGCTATTTTATCTCAAATATGTAGATATCTCATGTATTTATTTTATGCTCTATGATACTTATTTAATATATTACTTTTGTATGTGTTATTACATTGTTTTATATAAGCTTATTCTATATTCTTTATTACAGTCGTTCTCATACTGTGTTTTCTATACTAATTCACATCAAAGAAGTAAATGCTACCGGTGAAGCAATGTTAAAAACAGGCAAATTAAATTTAGTAGATTTAGCTGGAAGTGAAAATATATCAAAAGCAGGGAATGATAGAAAAGAACGAGCAAGAGAAACTGTGAATATCAATCAAAGTTTGTTGACACTTGGCAGAGTTATAACTGCATTAGTTGAAAAAACTCCACATATTCCTTATAGGTGACTATTCATTTCTAATGAAATTTATATATGAATATTAGGTTTAACAGTAAATAATATCTCAGATAATGAGATTTTAATAGGTAAAATACTTTTCCTTCCACTTTATTTTATACTTAATCTGTATATATTTTTAGAGAGTCCAAGTTGACTAGATTGCTGCAAGATTCATTAGGAGGGCGAACTAAAACTTCTATAATTGCAACTATTTCTCCTGGTCATAAGGATTTAGAAGAAACCTTGAGTACTCTTGAGTATGCACATCGTGCTAAATATATTATGAATAAGCCAGAAATAAATCAGAAATTAACCCAAAAACTAGCCATCAAAGGATACACTGATGAAATTGATAAATTGAGAAGAGAACTCTACTCTCAGCGTGAAAAATGTGGTATGTATAAGTTTGTATTCAAATGAAAAATTAAAATAAATAATGCTTTATAACAATTTTATGTGTTTTATATTGAAAAGGAGTTTATTTGTCAACTGAAAATTATGATGAAATGATGGGTAAGATTGACCACCAAAATAAAGAGATTTCTGAAAATTTGCAAAAATTACGTGCTTATGAGGAAGAACGATCTAAAACCATCAAAATATTTGATGATTTGAAAAATAAATATTTGAGAGCCAAGAAGCAATTAGAGTGTACCAAAAATAATTTGATTGTTGTAGAAAAAAAATTTAAGAGAACTGAAAAGGTAATTGAGAAAATATATCTATTTATTTATAAATTTATATATTAGTGCCTTAATTTTCTTGTATTCTTCATCATTAGCACTTGTGATTATTTAATTATTATTTCAAAATGTTTCAAATATGATTATATCTGAAAATTTATATTACTGAAGCTTCGGTGTAATATTGGTATTTTAAATATAAATTATAAATATATTATTTCAAATGATTCTAGTTTATTTTTTATTTTTTAGAACTTGAAAAAGGCTGAAATTGTCAATAAAGAAAAATCACATATAATTGAAGTACAAGCAAAAATTGAAGAGGTATTGAGTAGTCAAGCAAAACAATTGATTGATGTAGCTGAAGTTACTATAAATGATACAGAAAAACTTCAAAATGTTCTCGATACACGCCGTCAGATTGACTACATAATTAAAACATCTGCCGAATTGTTCAATGATAGAATGAAACAGTCTTTGCAATCCAAGGAAGACTTTCTTACAGAAAATTTTGTACAGTGCATTAATACAAATGTTGAGGTCAAAGAAAATTTAGGTATTTTAATGCAAGTAATTTGTTGAGTTAAATTAATCTTTATACTACTAATTAGTTTTTTATTTAGGTAATCTACATGTAAGCGCTATACAAATTCTAAAAGATCTTCTGAAATCGATGCAAAAGACATCTGATCGGGCTACAAAAGTATTGAATGAATTGAATAAACTTGATCAGTTATCTTTATCAAGTGTCAATACTTTACTTCGTACAAGACACCAGTATAATTCTGATTTAATTCAACAGCAAATGTCATATATTGCAAATGCATATACTAAAATGTACAGACTTTTATCTGAAGAAATGTTTGAGGAGTATGAAGAGCGAGAACAATTTGATAATATTGTATTTGATGGTCTCTCGGATAGGGTAAGTAAAGTATTTCATTTTAATTTAACTAAAAAAATAACAATCTAAAATTATATTCACTTTTTTAAGATGAATGAAAACATAGAAATTACAAATCAATATGTTGAATCAAACTGCCATCAAAGCAATTCACTTAAAGCTTTGTTTGAAGAAGTTTTTACATACTTTGAAGAGCATGTTGAAAAGAAGGATACACTCACAGATTTAAAAGACCGTGCCCAAAATTTATTTACTGTAATGCAGAATAATTGTCTAGGTTTTTCTGCCAAATGCACGTCAAATGCAAACTTCTGCTTGGATTCCATAAGTTCATCAAAAAAAAAATCTAATCATTTAAATGAAAAGCAAAAAAAGATAATGTGTGATATAAATGAAGGTGTCTCAGAATTAATTACTAAAACAGAGTATACAATATCTTTACAAGATAATCATAATAATGAATTTTATAATAGTGTGACACAACTATTTGAAGATCTTTCTAAGAAACATAAAAGTCAATATGAAAAATACCAAAATATGGTAGAACGTGATTTATGTGATAATAAATATCTATTAAATACAAAATTTGACTTAATCACCAAGCATGTAGATAAAATAATAGTTCAAAATAGAAGTTTGGATCAAGTTTTAGAACAATTGTCTGAAACTGTTAGTGACTGTTTAAATAAAGTATCCCAAGAAATTGATAAGTACTGCTCAGAAGAATTGGAGGTTTATAGACCAACAGGTGAAACGCCCATTCGAAAATCTTACCAGTTTCCCAAAGTATTGGCTTCTACATCTCCGCATGACAGAATTTTACAACGCTTTAGAACAGAACAAGGATACAATGGACACTCTGAGGTAATTAAAATAAAAAATTTGCCTTCAAAAAATTGATTTTTTAAGTTTACAAAGAAAAAAATTTCCAATAGTAATTTATTTAAATATATTCTATACTACCTTTTTTGTTAGTTTCTTTTGTTAACATTCTCAATGATATTTTGTAGAGCTTAGATAATTCCATAATTGAATTAGATGAATCATTTGATGAGCTTAGTGCTCTGGATCAGAATGATTTAGAGAAACATGACGAAACAGCAGGATTGCTTTCAAGGTCTAAATGGGCCTCTGAAGCATGCATTCTACAAACTAGTTCAACAGAAGTTGCAGAAACACCAAAACAGTTTAAATTATCTAAATCAGTTTCTGCCATTGAAATTAGAGAAAATAATGTAAGACTTATACATTAATATTTGTAAGTCATAATATGTTCTGGTTTGTACTAAATCATATTTTATTGTTCAAAGGTACCATTATATCTTGGCAAGGAAAACTTGCCAGAAGAACGCCCAAAAAGTGCATCAAAATATGATCGTAATGTTTCCTCAATTCCAATTCATAGGCGATATGATGAAAGAGTTCTAAAAATGAATAACAACTAAACTAGTTATACATTTATTTTAGGATATGGTTTTAGATTTTCAAGCATTAATTTTAAGTTGTTGCTTTTGATTTTTATTTTTTTTTTTTATAGATCAGGTGTTTGAAAATCTCAAAAGTTTTCATAACATGAAATTTTGTGAGTATGAAGTTACTTCTTTTAATCAATATAATATTTTAGATACATCTATGGTAGGTTAATTTTTTTTCATCAGTGGTATAATATAATTGTGGATATTACTTGTCTTAGAAATATATTATTTTATTACTAATTAAGTTTTTTTTAGCACATTGGTAATATTTAAATATATTTAGTATTTTTACACAAGTAACATTTTTGATGTGGCAATTTTTATGTTCCAGATATGATAAGGTAACAATTTATATCTACACATTTTTATTAAAATAATTTTTTACAATATCGAGTACAATACAAATAAATAATACTAATTAAATTAAGTACATTATATGCTAAGGAACTATTTTACCTTAAAACTACACTAGATTTATACCAATAATGTGCTGTAATTTGTAGATTTGCAAATTGGAGATTTCATAATAATTTTCATTATCAAAAATAACTCTTTCTTAATTCCTATTTTACTTTACATATGCAGCATCGTAACATCTAAACATTGTAAATTATGCCTAAAACTTGATTGAAAAAAATATTCAGCCAACATTTTAATATATGTTGATCATTCCATACATATTTGTATCACTTGCCAATAAACATACTTAGACTAAGACTTATCAAATGAATAGGAAAATGATTTTATGAAAGCTTAAATTATAATTAATATTAAAATAAATAGATTTGGTTGATACATATTTTCTAATGTATTTCAAAACGATTTTAGATTGTGTCATATTATTTTTTTCGAATGATTTTGTTTTATGTAGATCAATATATTACTAAATATTGTTCACACTTATGATTTGATTGATCCATCCTATAAAGGATGATACTTTCACATAAACACCTGGTACGTCTTGGCGTCCGCAACCGAATCCCCATGATACCAGACCAGCTAATTCGTAGAAGCCATCGTCTTGACAAACCAGTGGCCCTCCGCCGTCACCCTGATCAATGTTTAAAGCGTATTTGAATTTTATTCATTCATATTTTAGAATATTGAGATAATTGTTGAGATAATTTAAAATACCTGGCATGCATCATTGCCTTCTTCGCCACCTGCGCAGAAAGAACTTGCTGGCAAAATGAAAATTTTTTCAGTAACTGCATTTACTTTACGTATGCATTCAGCATCGCTCACAATTGGAATTTCCGCTTCTCGAACTCGCAAAGGAATAGGTCCAGCTATTGATTAAAAATATAATGAAGCTGATTAGTAAAATAGCCATTGATTTCAATTTACTGATAAACAACAACTTGTTTCAATATTTTTTCTGCGCTTCTGTGTAGAAGCTGGAAATAATAAATTTTATTTTCTAGTAACTGACCTTCACCCATATAACCATATCCAGTAACAGTGCATCTTTTGCCTGCAGCATGACTAACTCCTCGAGCAGGAAGACACACTAGACAAACACCATCTCTTAATTCAGCTTGTCCATGCAATTTCAACAGAGCTACATCATTATCTAATGTCTGACTATTGTGGTTATGATGTATGTAAGTAGTAGCTACTCGTAGTGTTTGTGCACCAGGGCTACCATATTTCTTTGTTAAATCGTGGTCACCTACTCGCACATATATTGCGTCACCGGATCGGACAATGCTAAAAAAAAAAAAATGTTAGAGATCTATGAAAATATTAAAGTTTAAAGTGATGATTGCCTCATAAACTTACTTTGTAACACAATGAGCTGCAGTCAATACCCACTGTGTACCAATTAGCGCAGCTCCGCACAAATACTGATTCAAGGAGTTTATAAGAGCAACCTGCCAACACCATTCGCCCTGAGCGCCATCTTCTCCTCCGACCACTCGTCCTGTCCTGGAAGGAGCACCTTTAACTCCGCAAACATATTTGCTATAAGCTGTCGGAGCTCGATGTGTACTTGTGGCTATTAGTTGACTTGCACCATTTATACTACTTGAAGCGCCGGGCATTTGACTCAAACCAGGTTCATAAACTGCACATTGATTGAATTCATTATATACATACTTGTAAATAGCAAATATATTTTAAGTTAAGGAATTGTAAATTTAAATCTATCATTATCGCTATCTAAATATGAATACAATAAGCCACTTAAATCTGCAAATCAATTTAATTTAGTCGAATAAATTTTAGCATAAACAATATTACACTATAAATGACAAGTGCTTCACTATATAAAAAATATTGTATAATTAACTTAATTCTTTTAATTACCAGATGGCAACGTCGCCTGGGGCATTAATGAAGCTGGTGTATAACCCATATGTGCAACTATGGTTTCATTTCGAGATTGGGCAGCTGGCTGAGAGGTAGCCGACTGAGCTTCTTGAATTTTACTTTTGGGAGCACAACATTGCAGACCAGATTTTTTACATTTGAAAACATCTGTTAATTCAGCATTTCCTGAAATAGAAGGTTAGAATATCATATAATTTTGACGAAATTTTTACAAAACACATGTTCGATTAATATTTCTAAATAATTATAGTGTTATCAATGTATGCAAATTATTTGAAATTTTCTATTGTAATATAATTCTACTGTATATAAGTTTAAATAACTTACTGAAACAAGTGAAACTAAGGTAACTAACGATACAAGATCCTGGACAATCCGGTCGCGGATCTTGCGTTGTTGTTGGAGCAGGCGTGGTTGTAGTCTCGGGAGGGGATGCTTGCGCACCTGGTGGTTTACCTCCACCTCCTCCGCCACCTGCCAAGGTCGATGGGTTTCGGGAATTGTCACAGCAGACCGAACCTGATTTGCAATTTGAGGTACGAGATATAACTACTGAAGGTCGTTCGCATAACGGCGCCATGATACTCAGCAGGCAAAATCCTGGACATCTCCGTAATGGTGGTGGTTGCGGTTGTGGCTGAAGACGTGTCATCAAATATTGTAAATAATCGATCTGGATAAATAAATATACGACATCTATATATTGACGTGCACAAGCCATAAGCAGTTGAGTGTTTCCGTGGAAAGTCAGTTACCCTGAATTATTTTGCTGTTTTATTGCAACTGTGCTTAACTCGCAAAATGTGTTTCTTATGTTTAAACTAATCAAAATTTTGAGTGCTTTGAAAGGAAATTTGATAAGTGGATTATAATGTGTTTTTAGTATCATTAAAAGATTTTGGCGATATAGCTTTAGACCTCATCCAAATATGATTGTAATATAAAGCAGTTCTTGCTTTGCAGCTGTAATTAATACTCACAGGAGTTGTGACTGGTTTAGGTTTTTCCGTTGTTTTTTTCATAGGCGGCGGTGGTGGTCTCTGTGGTGGCGGTTGTCTAGGCGGAGGTGGTGGACGCTTTAATTCTTCCTCTTCTGGTGGTGAATTAATGCAGCAAGAACCTTCATTTGGACAATATGCATCGGAGTCGATGTCATCGCAAAATAATGCAAATAAACCACCAACACATTCTCCTTTGCATGGCGGACCAGTTGGCCCTGGTGTACTTGGTTCATAAGTTATTGTAGTTGTTGAGGGTGGTGGCGGTGGCGGCGATCGATATGCAGATGTTGTTGATTTGGGTGTCGTATAATATGCCTAAAAGTAATAAACGTATCATTTTGAATTATATGCAAGGGTAAAAGCATAATGCTGATAAACTAGGTCAACCTGGTTCAGCATGATTACAAAAGATAATCAATTTTCCGTACATGCGGATGGTTTTGGTCTATGGAAAAGTATATTACCCTTTTTACCTGTGGTGTAGTTTTGGGATTATGATGTTGCCAATATTGTTGCTCTTTTTCTGCTACTACTGCTGTGGAATTTCCTCGAATTCCATTTGCACCAGTTGGCACAATAATATCTGAAGCATTGTACGAGTCCCTTGGGACGCAGCATTTATGACCTTGTGCACATAATGCTGGACCAGACAGCGGACTGGGCAGGTATGCTTCGCAATATTCGGCTATGCGATTTGCGACGCATACTCCTGGACAAGGATCTGGTGAAGAAAAATTATAAAATTCATATTTTTATATGTTGTCTAGTGGTCATTTTAATTCTTTAAACGTACTTGAATCTTTATCTTTGGTTTGTTTATCTGATTCTGTGGTTGTTACTGCTGTCGTAGTTGCTTGGGTAGTGGTAGTTGCTGGTGTTGCTGGCCTAACGGCTAAAAAATATAATATTGTTGATTATTTATTTATATTTATTTTTTATATAAACATTTCATTTATGTTTTGATCAATTATTCATTGTGGGTGTCAAATCTAGATATAACTACCACGATATTGGTCAGACATTTAAGATACTTGCTGCCTTGATATTCGGCTCATTCCATTCAATTATATCGATTCCCAGAATTAGTTTTTAAAATTCTATTTATGGAAGCATTATTCAATAAAGATAATGGTATGTTGATACATATATGGCTACGGAATGATATATATTTAACGGGTATTGTGCGTTTTGCTCTAATACGTTCCGTATTTGTTAAAACATCAATAATAATTTATGCACCAGTAGCGTCGCATCATGATATATCTCTTACTCAAATATTTAAATCTTTATTTTAAGACATATATAGACAATTAACAAAATTAATCATACTTTTAAAGTAAAGATGTGTAAGGGACGCCAATGCATAAATGTTTCTTCTGTAAATCAAAATGACACTAATATTCATTAAGAAAAATATAGCATTATCGATTAAATTTATTTTGTTGAAGATGTTTTGATATATCAATAGTTGGAGAATGTTTGTCATTTTTTCTTCCCGTTTATGAATATACAGGGTTGCTGTAGGACTTTGTGTTGTTATACAGTATTATAGATCAGGCAATTTTGCCCTAATTTGTCTCATTTATATTAATTGAATGGTTCAAAATATATTCATGAGTAATGCATCACTATAAGAAACAGGAGTAAGATATTTGTTTGCGCTAAACGCTAAATTCATTTTTATTGCGATTTTAGAATATGCCGAGTTGCTTTAGGGTTTTGTTGTTAGTAAACTTCGAAGAGTATTTATTTTTAAACAAATACCTTTAATACATTATTTATATTAATCGAATAGTTTTAAATATATTAAAGATTCTGTAAATAAATACGCAAACACTTGCAAGTCATGGTCTGAGCGCGATAATTTATTTGCAGATGTGATTTTAAGGGATATCGAATTGCTGGAGCCTTTTGTTGTTTATAAATGCTGTAGATTGTTTAATTTTAGACAAATTTCTCTAACACGCTATTTATAATAATCGAATGGTTGAAAAGTTTAGTAATCAATTTTGCAAATGAATTTATAAGTCCACATCTGAACTACCGCGTTCATCAAACGTTTGAAAATTAATATAAGATGAGAAACTTATAGGCACGCTAAACTAAACTATTTACTTACTATAAGTATCTACTAATTCCTGTTGTGGTTCACTTGGTGGAGGTGGTCTCTCATCAGGTTGGTCCACACAGCATCTCATCTCTGGTGATGGGCATGGTACATCCTCTCGAACTTCGTAGCATATTAATGTCGCTAGGGCGTGTACACAGGAACCTGGACAATCTTTTGCTGGTACACTGGTACCAATACTGTCCAGTAAACCTGAATAATAATAGCGAGTTGCAATTTGCAAAACTATATATTTGATATTATTAAATTAGAAAGATATGATAATTTATATATATATATATATATATATATATATATATATATATATTGTATTTCTAATTACCGACGCTTCGCTTTTTTAAGTAAGTTGAAAATTAAATCTAATTATCGTATATCCCCAAAATAAATCAATATTTCGATATTATATATATATATATATATATATATATATATATATATTATACTTTAAATAAATTTGCTTTACTTTTATTTTCTTCGTTTCGAACTGTAAAATTCAGTTCGAGTTTAAAGACCGGTTTCAGATAATTAAACTTACTTTTAATTTTATTCAAATGTATTTATCATGCGGGAATTTTTTAATTTCAAATTAAAACTGTATCTACGAATACCGATAACCGAAAAACTCGTATAATTTTTAAATATTATTTTAATTTTCAAATGAGTGCATCAAAACCTAATGTCCTAAAAGCCCAATTTTACATAGAAAATAGTTTTTTAAATTGTAATTGTTCTAAAAAATAATTATTTCGCATTTAACCCTTTTACTCGCCAGTTGAGGATTCATAATATTAAATTGTTAAAATTAAGGGTGCGCAATATTTTTGTTAAAAACCGGGGGATGTGGGCGTGGTACTAAAAGGTTGCCATCCACTGGATTAAGTTTTTTCGGAATAAAAGTAGTGAAAATGAGACTTAAACGTGGTACATAGAAATGTAACATGCAGTTTGAGAGCATTTCTTCATTATTGGAGAAAGTGCTGATTCAGCGAAATGAAAATCATCTATTTGTCATAAATCGTATTGGTATTTTTTTTCTTCATAAGCGTAACATTTCATTGATGACTCTATTATTCGTGGAATTTCAAAGATGTTAAATGCATCATAAATATATTTTAATTTTTGTTGTCACATCTTTTATTATATAAATTTAATTTAATATTTATTGCTATACTCGTAAAAATGATATTGAAAGATGGTGATCTTTAAATTAAAATATTTATCATAGTCATATTGGAAGACTATTAGTATATTTAAATTAGAAACATCGCATCAAACCTAAATCGAACAAATTACAACGGAATGTACTAAAGTTATATCTCTCTCAAGAATATAAATGAAAATCGAATAATTTTTACTTTAAAATATTGTGGGGAGGAGGGTTTAATTTTGAATATCACCAAAAATCGATCACGTGATTAATGGACCTCCCTTATTACAACTAAATATATATTTCAAAAGTCAATAACGAAATTTCAGCACAGGCTGCTTAAAAAATAGCTTACATATGCCTGATTCTGTTTTCTTAGCATTTAAAACGGATTTCCATTATGGAATATGAAATTCTGAACAGATCGTTTGGTAACAAAGTAGATTCTAGTAAAACGATGTGTATCAGCATATTTCTAATGAATATATAGGTAATCATTTAATTCTGTCTAATCAATTACATAAATTTTCACGGTATTAGATTAAATTAGCGCTGTACGCCCGTGGTCTTACAGTTATTCGAATCTCGTACGCGACGTAGTGTAAGAAACTCAACGAAGAATCTGTTAGTATTACATTCCAAAGAAACCAATAGCCGGCCGATAGCTTATTACATTTACGCAATTATATAACATTTATACAAAAAAAAATAAACATTTTTTTAAAAAAAAATCTGAAAAATGCACGTGTTTTCTCGGTACTAAAAATACACGTGATGGAGAGATTATTTTAAATATTACCACGTATCACCAAGGGAGAATCCAAAAATTCTTAAAAATTGATCACGTGATTAATGGACACCCCCTTAACTGTTCTTGACACAATGCAATCGTTTTATAAAATTTTAGCTTAATGCATCACAGTAGCATCGATTTATATCATCCCTCTATTTATCTCTAAAAGGGCTAATTATTTGCAACTTGTTTCCAATTCAAATTATAGATTAATAATACATTTCCACGTGAAAATAGATGTTATCCTTCATTGTTGCATCGAACATAGATAGGACAGCCGTTTTGTACCTCCACATTGATATTAGGAACGTAGTCCATGCATGTCGGACTTTGTCTGATTTTTTACTAAATTATTCAATGGTATTATTTATCTGCTTTTTACAGTATTTTGATTAATAAACATACTGATGATAATCTCTACATCAAGATGTTTGTATTTACAATCAGCGGCTTAATCATGTATCTCTAATTGGCTCTGAGTCAAAACACAATACATACATTATTTACGGTATAGCCGTGCCCATATTTGTTATGAAAAATATGTTTTATAGAAAAAACGGTACTCGAATTCATATAATCATCTGATATTTGTATTGTATAGTGATTCAGATTTCATCTAGTGGTGATCAAAGTTTGTCAGATTAAATAATAATTTAGCTGGTTAACGAAGAAATAAATTGCTCTCGCACTCAGATTACCGATGTATATTTTGTATATTATAAAATGAAATGGTTTCGGAGCATTAAAAATTTACATATTCATATTATATTTTCAGGTGCACGATTCTCACAGGACTAAAGTATTTTCTTTGCAATTTGATGCAACTAAAAGAAGAGGTATGTTTAGATGGATATTTTATTTACTTCATTATTCAATATGCCATATAATACTATTTTCATTTTTCTAGAGTTGAAAACAAATATCATTATTGTCATTTGTTGACTGTATCTACCACTGCACTCTGATTGAGCTGATAGCTGATCCTCGAGGTTTGGTGATACGGAAAAAAAGGTATGTAAAAAGTTTGCTAAATTAAATTTCGGAGATAGAAATACGTTTTGAGATTTTGGGAGTGTACTTTCTACTTATCGTAGACCTGTAATGTTTTAAGATGTTTGTTAAAACCATGATCATTAAGACTTTATCATCGTACAAAATTTAATCAGAATAGTCAAAAAAAAAACTTTGTAACAATTGTTTATGAAGAAAGGCTTGACCGATGTATACCAGAAGCTGAGCTGAGTCAACTGATATTATTTGAACACTTTATAAACTTTCAAACTCGGTTTAGGGTCTTTTGCGCAATCGTGAACGGAAAACTAATCAACTCCTCTTCGAATGGTTTTCTAAGTTTTGAAATCGGTGTAACTGCTTTCGAGGAAACGCTTTGGAAAGTTTAAATTTTGGCTGATATACACATTATTTCATGAATACTGACGCCAAACGATTGAGAATGACTTGAAACGACTAGTGAACAAAGTTAGCAAATAGGATTTTCTGGCGGAAACAAACTTTTTCTTAGGGATGTTAATAAGAACTTTAGATAAAAATATTATATAATTCATGAAGACGCATTTTTTATTATTTTTTAACTATGTGTTCTTTGAGCTGTTTTTGTTGTATATTTAACCCATTAACTTTTATCGAGAGGGCAACCCAGCGGTTTACCACTCTTCTTTTGTGTATAGATTGTATTAGATATGTTTATCTCATAATGCTGGCCAATGTGTGTTGCAGCAATGCCCACGAAAAGAGACAATCTCAATATGATCATACTGTTTGATATCAAGTTGGTGTCGAATCCATGACTATCACTTCTTCATAGAGACCCACGTTCTGCTTAGAGATGCGTTATATGAAAAATACCATTTATAATATGATGTTTCCAAAATAATGCTTGTAGCTTGTAGGCTAAAAGTTAGAAGTCGCTTCCGGTGAACGCAATGGATATTTGTCCTAGTAAGTCAATAAAGTGTAATTTACCATGTTTACGGTTGTTGACATTCTATGTAGATAGTTTATGTATACACCTATGTTTCTAATGAACATTCCTACCTGAAATTCCTGAGCTTCTTAATAATTAACGGAACTCATCGGAAAGAGAAATGTCGGGAGAGGCGTCGGAATATTAAAAATTCTTCGGTGCGGTTACAATGTTGCTGTTGCTTTTGTGGACGCGAGCAAATTTGCAAATGATTAACGATCATGAAAGCTACCGTTGTTAAACGAGACTTCTATTGTGATCACTTGTGACCGAGTTACACATTTTTATAACATAAAAAATGTAATAAAATAGATTGTTCATTGTACATAGGATAATTTATCTTTATTTGAAATCAACAAGGAATGGTAAATGACATATGAATATGAGTCCAACTTGGTTGTCTATACTTAATAATCATTGCGCTTGTCCAGCAATTTTGTATGAACAGGGTGTCCCAGAACTCAACGTGTAGTAAAGCTTTTGAACTGATTATGAGTAAAATGGGTTAACAAAAATCTGGTTACTATAAGTTTTTTATTTTTTTACTCGTTTTTGTAGTATGAATCTAACAGTTTTGTAGTATTTTTAAATTCAGATTAAATGCTCGAACTATTAATGGCATATTGATACGTTTTTAACAACACTAACCAAATACTTGAATAAGCATAAATTGAAAAAAACTGATTGGGATAGATATCTTTGGCTTTTCACCTTGACCTTAAATTTCAATATTTTCTATATTTTCTGGCCCATATAAAAATTGTTCTGCATTGTCAGTTTGTCACCAAATATATTATCAGCTTTTTACTTAAAAAAAGTGGATTATTATTAAGTTTACAAGCATATAAATAAGTCAATTATTTGATCAGTTATTACAATTTATAATGTTTAGTATTAAAATTTCGTTTTGATGAAAATCACTGAGCTTTTATATTTATTTCTATACCATTCCACTGTATTTGAAATTCACAACGTTGTATGCAAAATTTATATGGAGGGGTTGATGTAAATACAAATAGAAGGTCATTTAACACAAATATCCTTTTAAAATGAGTTTGCATAGGAATAAACATATTGAATAGGGTTCAATGCAACAAATTAATCAGTAGGCATTAACAGTGCTATTTGTCGAATGATTTTAGAATTTTTTTAATTATTGAGTTATGCAATAATTTAAAAGCGTTTTCTATATTAAAGACTGGAACGCAGTCTTCCGGGTCCGATACCCCCCTTGTTCATCTTGTTATCAAGCTGTAGCGATATCAGACTTTTGCTTTAGATTATAGAATCAAATATAATATCAGGTGAAAATAGTCTTTTGGGGCTTTGCTGCAATAAATATTCACATCAATTAAATAGCCATTTATCTCCTGATAGCGACATCTTAAGAATTAGGGTATGGCTGGTTACATTTCTTTTGCCTTTTACTTTAAAATAAATTAAAATCATTAAAAAATACTCTAACATTGCTTATGTTTTGAGATAATGATGGTGGTCCTTTTAATCCGAGGACCTTTAAGCTTTAAATGTTGATATGTACAACAAATGTAACAATTTTATGTTGTTGTAAGTGGTCCACTGTAGCACAGCATTTATAAATTTCTCATTTTCATATAAAAATATCTCGTATAAAATGGTGAATGTATCACCTGAAATGCCTCGTGTAAATGTATTTACACGAGTTGTAATATAAAACCGTTGGCTATCGGTCTATATATTATTCCCTAGAGCATTTCATGCATTTGATAATGTTAAAGTTAGTGCATGAGATTACCCAAGTGATATGGTAAAGAACCCGTTTTTACCCTTTAGTGGTACTGATAACCGCGGAACTGGTTTCGGTTCGAGATCGAAGTGTAAATTGATTACGTGTAGCGGTAAAGTAATATATGATGCATTTTGGCCCACTTTTGCCTTCTATAACGGAATTTAATATTCATACATATAATAACCAGCAAACGCACAATGTGCGAGATATATTCGATTCGATTCGAGCGATTTTTATAATCGTTTAATGGCTGGATTTCGGTATTTGAAGACGCAGGAAATAGTTTATAACCTGCAGTAAAAGGTTTGGGTCAAAATACCTGTGCGCAATAGATATTTTTGATTTATTACTCTATTTGCATTGGGCTAGGTTTACAGGATCTCTGTACACTTCCTCAATGGAAGGCGAAACAAGGATATACTATAAACTCTACGTTTTCACTCATTTGTAAATTTAAAATAAATACAGTAGACATTCACTAATCTAATATCTAATTTAAGTTTTTCTGGATATCCAATATTATTTATTGTTTTATTTTTCTGGTGAAATAGTTTTTTTTTAAAAGGATATTAATCAAATTTTTTATATATAATTATTTCTACGTTTTGTAGATATTGGATCTACGTTTCTTAAGGAACTTTGAAGTACTGAAATTTGAAAACAACTTAGAAATTGAATTTTAAATTCATTAAGAATTATTATATATTCAGTGTTTATGGTTGAATATATTTGTATACGAGGTGTGTTCAAAAAGTACCCGGAATTACTAATAATTAAATTTCGCGGGTCTGGAGTGTCTGATTGTCAAAATTTTTTTTTTATTGTGTTGGTATACATGCCCCTAAAGTATGATGAAATTTTCAGCTATATTCACTGTTTACTTTGTCTGTGGTAGTCGCTAAGGTTCGACGTGTTTTTCTGAGCTCGGCGATTTTTACAATGGAAGAATTGAAAAGTCAAAGAATTTGTATTAAATTTTGCGTAAAAAATGAAATAAAGTGTTGCAAAGTGCAAAAATTCACCAGATATGGCTCCGTGTGACTTTTTCCTATTCCCAAAGTTGAAGAGACCCATGAAAGGACGGCGGTTTTCCTCGATTGAAGAAAATCGCTGAGAGTGCTCAAGGACATATCAAAAAGTGAATATCAAGGGTGCTTCGAAAATTGGAAAAAACGCTGGCATAAGTGTATTATATCTGGGGGGGACTACTTTGAAGGGGACCACATTAATGTAGACGAATAAATATTTTTTTGAAAAAACGAAAATTCCGGGTACTTTTTGAACAGACCTCGTATATGTTCAATTTATATATTCAAAGTTATTATAAATTTTTATGTCTAAATATGTGTATGAGGCAGTTTGGCAGTTCACCAAATAAGATTCAAAGAATTCATAAAAATCTTTATTGTCATACATTTTGACATATTTTTTTTATCTTCAGTGAAAACGTGTATATATACACACATATTTATAATTTATAATTAGCAGGCCCAAATATCGCATCTACATTTTACTAAACTTCCATCTAGAGTGTTTATTGTATACGTTTCGCCACATTGTTTTAATTAAAACTTCAATAATTCAGAATAAAAAAAAATCTGAAAAATATGATCAATTTATGTTGTTTGTCTCAGAACTCTCAACTGGCTAGGATATTTAGGATAGATTAGAAGTCTTTTAGAACTTTCAAAACGATTTATAACAAAAGATATCAAATAAGTAAATAGTACCTGCTTATAATACATATTAGCAGTCATTGCATTAGTTAGATCCCGAGTTAGTTTAATAATAATAAAGACATTTAATTTTAGAAGGTTTTCTACAATTTTAAAACAAACAGGCTCTAATGTCGCAACCCCAAAAATCAACAATGAGCACTGTTTGTTCAACACTTGAAAACCAATTTAGCGTTTAAAGCTCTTACTACAATGGGTGAAATGTAAATGCCTGATATCTCTCAGTTATTTTATGGCGCCTGCCTTTGCAAACATATTATTCTCGAAAGTTTGTGTTTTATTATTTGCATTACGAAATTCAAAAATTAATTGTTTTTGCTAAAAATATAACATATATAAAATGCATAATGGGAAATTTTAGCGTATAATAGTTTAATCGTGTGGAGTAACGTCGATGATGCAATTGCCTTTGAAATATTTTTAATCTACCTTACTTTTAAAAAAGTACAAATCTTCTTTAGATACTATCTGTATCTATATAGATAGCAGGTTATAATTAAATATGAATAGAAATTTCATACTTCACTAGATAGTTTAAAACATTTCATAAATTACAGACCACCGATTGACAACAAACGCTTTGTTCCAAGTATCAACAACTGGTGAAAGCATGTAATCGATCTATGCTATTATTTAGCATGCTTTTAGCTTGTTTAAAGCTTCCATTTCTGTGTATTTTGTCTAACATGACAATGAATTTTCTTATAAAAAAATTTATCTCCAAGGAAAAGGTTCCTTTGAAATAAAATTAATTTAGTCCTTTATAAATTTTTTTATGACCGCAAATTTGCTATATAAGCGATTATTTTACGATTTAATTCAATAGCGCGATGTTTTTGTTAAGTCAAATAAACATAATTTGATTTAGCACCATTTAGAATAAAGATTGCTTGTCCATCAACTTTTGAAATTCAGCAATATTATTATTCCAAAGTTTAGCGAATTTACTTATTGTTTATCTTATAAATCGGTATTATTTAACTACAACGTCTGAATTCTAATATAACAGCCTTATTTTAAGCCTAGTTCTTTTTTCTTTTTTTTGAGTATGCTATAAAATATGCTAAAAATTTAGGAATCAGTATAAGTTAACTCGTGAAAGTGATTTCCCAGTATAAATACAGAAAATATTTATAATTACTTGAATTACATAAGATAATATACCTGATTATTTATCTGATTTTGTTGTGGAAAAAGTAGGGTTATAATTAAAGCTATACAAAATAATTATTCAATGCAATTTATTCTAATATTTTTATGAGAGAGATTTTTGAGGTAATATTTTAATTATAACAAAGTAAACATTTCCTACTTGTTTTTAATAAGTTTTGACAAGATTTTGATACAAATTCATAAATTTATCTAACTTGGCATTCAAAAATTCAGATCATTAAAGTACATTATTTTATTATTCATTCAAGACGTTAATTCATTTATACATTAATTATAAAAATGACTTTATATGTTAATTTAAATAAAGTAACAGAAGCAAGATGTTTACAAATATGTATATATAAAGTTTCTTCAATAGATTAATTTTCATGTGCCCTTTTCTTATCATTATCCACTATGTCAAGCGGGTTTTTTCACTAAAGTTGATGTGCAGATCTTAAAAAGCATTGTTCATTATACCGAATTTTTGTTTTTTTAAACCACTCCTAAGCGATGTATACAAAAATATCAATAATAAGTACAAAATATTAATTACCAGACAAGAAACTCCCCGCAAGATCATCTTGACCTGTAACAACACTTACACCAGCACTGTACAAACAGATAAACGTTAAACTAATACACAGTTTCATTATAGTAAGATATAACTTTTAAAAATCTCTATCAGTCACTAAAAATTGTTCACTGTTCTTGGTAAAAAATCGTATTTTGGTAGGTTTTGAACTGTTTGCAACTACATATCCTGCGTCGATCGGAAACGTCGTCGCACTGGTTATTTTTTAGTTAGTAGTTTATAAAGTCGTGTGCAGATGTAACGGTTAGATGGTCTAGATTCTTTCTGTCATTCGCCGATGGCCTTAGCAGACTCTCGAACGTTCGTTTGTATGCGTTATTATGTTTTAACACTGCGGAGGTCGATCGAAGACTAAACAAGTGGATACAACATCAACAAGCATTTGACCAAGCCAAGCCAATAAGGCGATGAATGAAGAAGAACCATCCAGCCAGCCAGCCAAGTTCACGGCGCCCGAGACAATCGGGTGACATTGACCGCGAACGTCTTAGGAAAACCCTGAGACGTGCAGGGAGACTGAAGATGGAATAGAGTTGATGTTTGCTCTTTGGCACTTGTGATCTTGTCTGAGGCTCTCTATTTTGGCATTGCATTTGTCATTAGTATACTCGTACACATAGTTATATTACTCAATATCTTCAATGTTTTAACAAATTAACAAATAAGGTAACTGTACTCCAACAAAAGTGTAATATTACATTATTTAATTCTGTCCACTTGTTCTATTATTGAGGACTTCTGTAAAGTTGTCATCAGTTATTAACATCCCGACGGTATGTTTGTTTGTTCCAGAATATCCGATTTGCTAACTTGATGTTCTCACGTCGTTATTATATTATTATTATTTGACGCCAAAATTAAGAAATGTATGTGCGTATTTCTAAAATTTGACCATTCACCGACATTTCTGAAAAACGGCTGCACCGATTTTATAAGTTAAAAACCATTCGATAAAACTCGATAAGGATTTGTAAGGCGATTTCGTCCTGATCGGTTTTGGTAATCATTGGCTGGGCCTATTTCGTAATTAATTGTTTAAAATTTATGATGATACAGGCCCTGGCTATGTCACAACCTGACATCGGGCAGTTAAAATGTTCATTTTCACTTGAAAATATAGATCTAAAATATGTTCCCAATTGAAAATAGTCCAATTTGAACACTGCTGTGTGAAATGGAAAATCTTTCACACTATTCTTCCCTGAGTCGAGTTGGAATTTAACTCAGCTCACGGATCTGCCCTAGGGTAGTACTACCCATTATTATAGGTCATAATCTTAACGAACATTCTTAAATATTGTAGGTCTACAAAAAGTGTTTTAATTATAAAAAATCATTATAGTTTGGAAAAATGGGCATTTTAAAGTTGTCAAATCTCGTTTCTTATATTGATTATATCGATTATTTACATATAGGTAAAATTTAACGTACAACTTAACTTAAAATTATAAGATAAAAAAATATTAAAATGTGGGTCGATTTCGTTTCAACGGGAATGATTAATATTGGGGTTCTTTGTTAAAGAAAACATTAGTGGTTGACTTCTGTAAAATTCTCTCATATATTGCATTTAATCGAAATAATATAGTATACTATATTATTAGTAATTACTATTACTATATTATTAGTTTCATATAGTAATGTAATTATACAACTTGGCTTAAGGCAAAATGCTACTTACAAATTAAGATGTAACAAACTAGGCAAAGATTCAAAAAAACTTCTAAAGTTAAATAAAATTTTATAAAGTATGGGTCAAATTCGTTTCTAGTACAGGATTTAGTGAGTAATATTGTGTTAATTTTTTTTTTTTGATTGCTCATATGTTCTTATTGACGATATTGAACTATCTTACACATGACTATACATACAACTAAATTAAAAAATATTTCACCAAACGGTTACATTTTGACTATGACTTGTGACTCAAATATGTATCCACTACATTTATATTTACTATATTTTTTTTTCTAAATAGTAATAGCATTTTAAGAAATATTATTGATCGAATTACTAATATTTCTTACTTCTCTTTCACTGTGTGAAAGCACAAGCTTCATCTAGTAAAAAAACAGTTTTGATTTGCATGTATGAATTAATGAATAGATAATATTACATAACAACAAACTGGTTAACAGTTTCCGTTATTTAATACTGTATTTGAAAAAATTCTTTTAACATCTCATTCATATTCATTCCATCTTCATGTGGTATATCATGAATTCTGATTCGTCAAAAAATATTATGTAAAATTTTTGCATAATTATTACACTTATATAGAAAAATACGGTGGTCATTTACACCTGCCGATTATCAAAATTTACTGAAATAAGATAATTATAAGAAATATTCAACTTTGCGAAGGTGAAGTCTAGTTATCGCTAGAAAATCTGATTTGTTCAGGACTTCTTCATTAGTTAATTATTCGTAATTAATTGTTCATTTTTTTGCGATTTCAATGTATGATGTTAGAGAGCATAGTCCTGTTGAATATCCTAGGTGTTATAGGCCTACGATAAGCGCTTTAATTATAAAAATTCGTTAAAATTTATCGCCACAATTGTAAAAGTTGATAAATCTCTATTCTTATCATGTCGATTAATATACACGCTTATTGGACTTTTTTGGGCTTAAATGCCACTTACACCTAATTGAATTTTAATCGTTAGAAATAAATTGTTAAATATAAGTATATTGGCACAATGCTGGTAGTAATTTGTTTTTACACATCACAAACATGATATGTAAATTGGGTCAATAGGTAGAGAACAATGCGTTGAATGGGTCTATTTTCAAATTCTTTATGAAAACAAGATCTATTTGATTAGGTCTTGTATGGTAATAGAATCTAGTTTCCAAATATCTAATACAGTCATGAATAGATAGAATAGTCGAAATGATTGACTTCCTAAAAAAGAAGTTTGTTTTTGCCAAAGAAACTGATATGCTAATTTTATATTTTATTGGCATTATAACATAGGTCAAGTCATTCTGAATCGTGTGATACCCAAATTGAAAAATAGTATGAAAAAATTAAAAGCTATTTATTGTAACTCACATTAAGCGGTTTATTTGGAAGTCTTTAGTCGAAAATCTTGAACCTATTTCAAAAATTCAAATACTGTTCCAAAGATATTAGTTAGGAATCGTGCTGATTATTGTTTGATAATGATCGTTACTTCGAAAGTTGAAAAAAATAGTTAAAAAAGTTTTTTATTGACTACTTTGACTCCTCGTATTACTCATACTATTACTCTACAATTTTAAAACTTTATAAAAAAAAGATAGAAAAATTCTGTTACTCACTCTTCCTATGATTCTCACCAAGACACCAATAATTTTTATTAGTACTGATGCATATACTAAATAAATTTAAGTATCATAACTAATCGAATTGGGTGGCGTTTAATATTAAAGTATCACTTAATCTGAACCTGTCAGTATCCATATTTCTAATGTATTCTTAAATCGAAACGGTACCTGAAACCTGTTTCTCAGCAAATGGATTGAAGTACACTAATCTTAGCCAATTCTAATCCAAAATATCAATATTGCAGAGTAGTTAATCGGTGAAGAAAATTCATGTAGCGAATCGAAAAATAAAATCTTTCTGTGAGCTTTCTTATAATTCTTTTATAAGTAAAATGGAACAATTTCTTTTAGTAATATGAGAGATAAATACGGCTATCTTGTAGAGTATTATTACGCCTGAACAATCGCAAATAATGATTCGTGTTGTTCATTAGTTCTCTATATTTCTCAAAGATGATTAAATATAATTATTTGATCTATTTTTAGAAAAAATAATTGTGAAAATACAAAACAAATAATTGAAAATAATAATTAGATTAGAGAAAATGTACATTCACGGTTTCTTTTTAAATAAAGTTCAAATCATCCCTTATTGCTAGTGGTATTACATTTGAAATATAATAGTATATATTATTGTGATTATCATTTATAATTAATTACTTTGCATAAATCCTAATATGCACATTCACGGTTTGTTTTTATAAAATAGATCTATATTATCCCCTTTTAATGAACATAACTCTGGTGGTCTTATATTAAAATATTATAATATATAATGTTGCTTATATTCTTGTTATTAATATTTATAATTAATTGAAAATGAGTTACTTTGGAATTAGGCATAAATCCTAATATTTACATTCGTGGTTTATTTTTTTTACAATAGAGTCCATAAAATGCCCTTCCATGGACGCTGGCGATTTATATTTGAAATATATTTTTATATATTATCATTATTATTTATAATTAATTAAAAGTATATTATTTTGATACTATGCATAAATACAAATATAAATATCCAAATATTGCACATATAATATACAAATATTCATATTCACGGTTACTGTTTTTAAAATGGAGTCCATATAAGCCCATTTTTAATGAACCTATCGATAATTTGCTCATATTTGAATATTATTATCTACAATGATTTTAAAATAAATTACTTTTAAACAAATCTAATTATAAATATTCGGTAATTTGTATTCGCGACTGTTATTGTTATTATATAGAGTCCATAAAATGCCCTTTTAATGAACATAAAAGTCCATAAAATGCCCTGATTGTCTTATATTAGTAATATTATTATATATTTTATTATTATTTTTAATATGATTAATTAAAAATTATTTTCTTTGAAACTATGCATAAACATAAAAATAAATATCCAGAAAATCGCATTCAGGACGGTTGTTGTTTTTTCATAGAGTCCATAAAGTGCTCTTTTAATGTCCATTATGATAGACCTTTATGATATCCCATTATGATATATTTTGTTATTATTTTTATTATAATTAATTAAAAATGATTTTCTTTGAAACTATGCATAAATATAAAAATAAATATCCAAAAAATCGCATTCAGGGGGGTTGTTGTCCATAAATAGAGTCCATAAAGTGCTCTTTTAATGTCCATTATGATAGACATATCCCATTATGATATATTTTATTATTATTTCTATTATAATTAATTAAAAATGATTTTCTTTGAAACTATGCATAAATATAAAAATAAATTGCACTCAGAACGGTTGTTGCATTTTATATAGAGTCCATAAAATGCCCTTTTAATGGACATATCGCCGGTGGTGTCTTTACGGCGCAAAGTTTACGCTTTTTATTCACACGCAATTTCCCGATTAATATATGCACATTTTTATGACTCATTTCAAACCCTCTTTATTCCTAAGTAAAAACACACCCCATTGCAAATTATATCTTTATCGCAATATGTAATGTAACAACAAAACAAGCCTCGTTGGTTGCGAGCTTTAAGGCGATTAAGCACAAAATTCGAACGGTTACGAAAATGTGTGATTTAGTTATTAATTCGTTTGGAATATTCGTGTTTATATTGTACTAATGCCTCTGTATTATATTAAAATGAAACTAATACCAGTTAGCAGGTACAAACGAACGGGCTCATATATTTGTAGAAATTATGTCTACTTTTTTACGTAATGGCCTTGCGTTTTGTACACGGAGCTAGATTCTGTATGGCGTTTTGTATTGTCGATCAGTATAGGGGTTCTCTACATAAGGGTCGCGAGAAAAACAACATTTATTATTTATTAAAAATTTATTATCTTATCTGGAAATGGTTTTGTTAAAAGTTATTATTTAAATTTAAAAAGAATTTATTGAAAATAATTTGACAATCATTTTTTAGCATTTTAAAGCTTAATGTTTAATTATTATAATTTTTTAGTTCATTATATTTAAAGAAATTGGAATTGAAATATTATAACTAAAGATTTTTTTTTAACTTCAATAATTATTACAACTGTTAAATAATTAACATCTAGTAATATTGATAAATAATAACATACAATACTAAAGATAAAATAATAAATTCTCATCTGAATATATGATACTCTTCTTTTATCTATGGATGCACAGTTATATTTTTTATAAATTTTATATATTCTATTCTAAATTTATATTTAAGATTCAAAATATGTCAACGTTTTAAGTTTATGTCTCTATTAAATAATTGCAATTATCCAACGAAGCTTTATTTTTGTAAATGTTTTTCAAAAGTTTAAAATAACAAAATAATAAATTCTGATCTAAATTCACGATGCATAGTTACGCTTTTTTAAATTTTACATATTCCAATATAATTATACATTTAAGATTTACTAATATGAACTTATCAAGTTTATGCCTTTTTATTTTATTTTAATGAATTACAATAACTATTTTATTTTTTTTAACTACATAAGTGCCTTCTTTGTTTCAAAAACATTATTAATATAATTTTACAATTATAAATATTTTCTGACTTTTGAGAATATGGGATGACTCCTTTTTCATGATATGTTGAAAACAAAATAATACATTTATACATATTTTGTTATTTAAAATTAAAAAGAATTCACTAAAAATTTTAATTAATAATAATACTTTGAGTTATAGGTGTGTATGGTTGTATATTTATCGTCAAAAAATTCTGAATTTGTTTTACCGGCTAATTTTTTGTGTTTTTTGTGTTTAAGTAGTTGAATATTTTTTGTATTTTTTACTTTGTTAATGTGTTTTTGTTAAATTTATGGAATGAAAGACGGTGTTTGTAAAATCATCTCTATAAATATCGATTTTGCAAATAATCTTATTTTTTGTAAAAATAATTATAAATTAAAATATTATATTAAATAAAAGAACTTTCATGGAAAAACAATAATAATATTAATAATAATTAAAACACAGTTTTGTATCCTAATATATCATATAAAAACATTAATAATCCATGGTATGAGTATGTGCACAATGTATATAATGTTTTCATATTAGGATGCTAAATTGTAAGTGTATTTATTATTATTGTTGTTGTTTTTTCCATGAACATTCTTACATGTTATTTATTTAGTTCTAATTTTTATAGTTATATTGATTGCCAGTGAATGAAGGCTAAGATGCTAGCCGAAACGTATGGATTTTTATTGATGTAACGCCTGACTTTTAAACTCAAATGATATATATTCTATCAACATCAAATTCAAGACTACTCAAATAATATAATATTTATAATATTTATAATATAATATTTCGTATATATATATATATATATGTATATATATATACGAAATATTATATTATATAATAAAATGTTATATATACCGGTATAAAATATTATATTTACCGGTTACAATTTTCAATTTGTAATTATTTTAAATTATTCGATTATTATATTCAAAAAAAAAATCCGAATTGTAATATATTATAATTATAGATTAAAATTGTAGAGCCATTTGGCGGTCACCAAACATTCCTCGGAGTTTGCAGCCATTTAGAATCTGGTCCTTCGCGACTCGCGCGCTTGTTTTGCAGCCGGCAGTCAGCGAACGGACCCGAAACGGAACGTTCATGAAGTACGCACCGATCAGTGATCACCCATAAACTAATACTATTAATCCAATGGAAAGATCAAGCACAACATTTCTGTTTAATATCATTACAATTCTAACAAAATGGGCAAATCGAAATTTCCTGGAAAACCATCGAAATCTCAGAATAAGAAATATATCAGTGTATTGACCGGTGAAGTGATTTGTGAAGGAGATGTGTCCATTACAAACGACAAACTTTCTGTTTTGCACAAAACATTTAGCGATCAGGTAAAGTTCATTGTGTTTGTGTACTTGGTAGAGATTCAACGGTTGTTGATATACTTTCATAATAATATTAAAAATCGATATTAAATGATGTACATATGCAAATTTCAATTTTTCATATAAATATTGAGAGAATGGGGATAATGGAAATATTTGTAAACACTTTGACACTTCATGACATACAAATCATTTTTAAGCGTTTCTCTATATATTTGTAAAGTTGAAAGCTTTACTATTATTGCTAAATATTACTTTTAATCTATTAAATTCGATCATATTCTGGTTTTAAATTTTACTTTATATGAACTTCTTGTTTATTTACATACAATTCAAAAAATGAATAGTATGTATTTATATATGAACATTTTAAAATAAGATAATCATAGTTTATTTGATATTATTAATAAGATTCAACATTTTTCTCTATTTTTATCGTATTTAGATACATTTAACATATATAAGTAAGGCCTTGTGTAATTTACAGTCTGATATAAAGTTTGATAATGCAGAAAAGTCAAAAATCTAACTACAATTCAAAAAGTTCATTGGTTCATTGTTTATCTAAATGGTTCGATTTATAATATTTTGAAAAGAACATTTTTATTGCCACAATTAATTTAATTATCATTTTATAGGCATATATTTTGTACACACCTGCAAAAAATGTTTTGAAACTTTATAACAATTTATGTAATATAGTTGATTTCGTTTCAAAGTTGACTACTGCTTTGACAAAATATTCGATTCTTATATTTGCATATAATAAGTTATGTATTGATTTATGTTATTGATATTAATGTTATTTTTTAGGATGTTCATTCAATCGATCCAGAATCTCCTCTACATGTAAATTCTCCTACACCTGAATGTAATGATGAAATTAAAACACAAAATATGCAGAAGGAAAGTAGACAGGAATCAAAATCCAGTATTAGAATAAAAAACCAACAAACAAAAGACGACAAAGATGAAAATACTTTGAATAAAAAAATTAAAAAGTCTGTTACTTTTCGCAGAGTGCTTGAATCATATAGTGATAGTGTTGGTAATAAGAAGAAAAAACCTTTTAATAATCATAACGCTCCTTTGATTTCTATAATCAAAAAGAGTTCTTCAATCTATAAAAGTGAAGGAATCGTAAAGCCATCGAAATTAAGTGACATCAGTAGTAAATTTGGTTTGAACAGCAATCCATTATTCAATCAGAAAAAACAGTTTGAAGATACAAAAGATAAAGAATTTTGTGGAGCAGTTGGTGGCTTTGCACTGCCTATCCGAAGTGCACATTCATCTCGTGTTATTAAACCAAATAAGAGATTTATAGAGACTGAAGATGTAGAAGATAGTGATACTAAAATTTTTATAAAAAAGCCACGCTTGCCGCTACTGAATGATGAAGCTGGTGACGACTGTGATAATCCATCATCTAATGATTCTATTGAAGAATTTGCAATTAACAATAATTCAGAAATTTCTAGTAGTAGGTTTTTGTGGCATTCGTTGCGGCCTAATGTTGATAAATTGATGTTCTCAAAGAAATTGGTGAGTTAATAAAAATATGTTACTTTCTTTCCACAATTGTTTCAAGAGTTGTTAAATGAGAAAGTTTTTTTGAAGTGATTTTCATTATTCTCAGCTAGAAATTAGATCTTGCTTTAATAAAATTTTATAAATAAGATGATCTAAATTACGTTCAATTCATTACAGCCTGTATTAGAATCAGCTGAAAATGACAATACATCTGACCAGGGAAGTAGTTCTGATTCTCAAGTGGAATCATCCGATGATGAAGATGCATATTCTAATGGTGAATTGGAGCCTAAAACTGTCTTGAATCAGGCACCCCTAAAAGCTGTCACCTCACTTGGAAAAAATATTTTGAGAAAAGCTCGGCTGCAACTACAAGACACGATTCCTGTAGGAAATGATGGTCCATTTTCATCAAGCATATCATTAAATAATACAGGTAAAATGGACTTTAGTTAGTAACAATAAGATAAACTGTAGTGATTTAAAATTACTTATTTTATAGTTGTAAATTCTATTGCTAAGCATTTATCGTTTTAGTAAGTCCACCTGCAACAATAACATGTGGTGTTTGTGGAGCCGTTCGCTATTATCGTTTTGCAAAGCAAGCTCGAAAATTTGGTATTTACTCTTGTGAATCATGTAGAAAGTTTATATCAAAAATGGTGAGAAAACAAACAGTTACTTTTTTAAAAACAGATCCAGTGATACTTCAATGTCACAAAGGAGATGGTAAGATTTTATTTGATCGTAATCTTTTGTAATTTTTCAAAGTGCTTTTTTAAAATTTAATTCCTTTTTCCCAATTAGGTCTCTGCCATGTACCCCCAATAGTGAGAAGTCCACAATGGAAATTACTTACAAGATGTGCTTACAAAGCCCGATGTCCGGCTTGCTGGTTAAAAATGTGTCTTCGATGTTTTGAAATACAACCAACAATTCAATCAAAATTAATAACTTGTTTACCTCAAAATATGAGAGATGCAGCTATGCAAAATTTGCCTAAATTAGAAATAGAAAACAATCCTCCAACCTCTAAATTATTTCCTCCAAAGTTGTGCTTGCCAAATTTGGAACAAGAAAACAATAATCAGAAAATATTTGATTCTACGAATAAAAGTGCACCAAAGTGGTCACAAGAACTTGTAGAACAAAAAGATTCTGATATTTTTCCTCCTGTGATAAAAGATATTAACGACACAACCAAATTGCCAGATCCTGAGAAAACTGAAAACAGTTCTGAAATTTGTGAAGAAGAAAAAACTATAGAAAATAAGAGAAGAAATATTAATGTGAGGGTGCGTAAAAAAACAGAGGTTATAACAGAAGTAAAACCTGCAGCTTCTACTACCATTGATACTGCAAAACGGCAAAGAATAGATTTGAAAGGTTTATATAATTTTATTTATTTAAGGTCTAAGTATCTGATGGATTATATCGCATTTATTGATAACAAATCTTTTATGTTTATTACAGGTCCACGGGTCAAACATGTTTGTAGGTCTGCATCAATTGTTTTGGGTCAACCTTTAGCCACATTCTCAAATGATGGTGAACCAGAAACACCTGATACACCTGAAACAATTATTGGCATATCAGATGAGAAGATATCAGAACCTAATAAAGCACCTGAAATATTAACACCTATTGATATATTACCAGAAAAAACTATTGATAAAGGTGGCACTGGGTTGGAAAATGCAGAATTGAAAACTGATGATAAATTGCAGTCATCTCCTTTGCCAAGTGTTGATAAAAATAAAATAGTGGATATTCCTGAAGAAAGTAATTTTGCAGAACAAATAACTGATTCTGCTAATGATAGTCAAAGTATTGTCAGTGCAGACAGTGAAGCTGTGTGCAGCACAATTGATAAAATTGTTACAGAGAAGAAAATAGTTGATAAAAAATCTATAGAACCAGACATCACTACTATTTCTAGAAAGGCCATAAGAAATATAAATTCAGTATCTTACTATAATGTAAGGATTTATTTTTTATTTAATTTTGATACTTACAGTGTTTTGTGAAATATTAATTTATATGCATACAATTCTGAAATATTTTTTTATAATTATTCAATCATTTATTTATTAACTTAAATATTTGCAAAACTGCATTTTATAAATTATATATATTTTATTGTATTGTATTTTCCTTTCCAGTCTGCAAAGAAAATAGCCAGCCAACTACTGAATCCAATATCTGTTGATTTTTGGGAAAATTATGATCCTGTAGAAGTGAATCGTGCTGGTTTCGGGCTCATTGGATCAGATTTTCTCAGTGTCATGTCAATTTGTTTTCTGTGTGGTGCTTCAGGTACTGGAGATGACAAAATGATTTACTGTGTATGCTGTTGTCAGCCTTATCATCGATATTGCGTTGAAGACAATATTGTTAATTTTTATTATGGAAGTTCCAATGGCACTGAATTGATGGAGACAAGTATGTTAGATTGCAGTATCAACAGTTTATCACCACACCAAAGTAAGATAATATATTTATGATAGATAATAAATTATTAGTATAATTTTTTCTTATGAATTAAAGTTAAAATTAAATTTGCAGACAATGTTTGGCGTTTCAATTGGTTGTGCCCACGTTGTACAGTGTGTCAAGTATGCAGTCAAGTCTCTGGAAGTAAATTAAATTGTCGCAAGTGCCATCGATCATATCATTCAAAATGTGTCAAATCTAAAAGTAACAAACAGTCTTATAGTTCAGACAGACCATGGATTTGTCCACCATGTTTGAAATGCAAAAGTTGTGGTAGTGCATCAGTTGCCAAGTATGTTGGTAATATGCCATTATGTTCTGGCTGCTTCAAATTGCGACAAAAAGGCAGTTTTTGTCCTTTGTGTCAGAAGTGTTATGAAGACAATGATTTTAATACAAAGGTCAGTTAAAAATATAAATAATTTCCGTTTTAAATTGCTTAATAATTAATTTTATAAAATCTAAGTAAACATTGGAATTGACTTTTTCACAGATGATGGAATGTGGAGAGTGTAAACGATGGATTCATGCACACTGTGAGGGTCTGAGCGATGAAAAATATCAGCTGCTTAGCATTTTACCTGAATCTATAGAATTTGTTTGCAGGAAATGTTTTGTGGGCACAAATTCTTGTTGGAGAGATGCTATTGATATGGAATTAAAAAATGGTTTTCAAACAATTCTTCGTGCTCTGAGTAAAAACCGTGATGCTTGTGCTTTGCTAAAATGGAGTCCTCGCAAAAAAAGCATATGCTCATGTCAACCCATAATATCTGCAAAAAATATAAAGTTCCATTCAATAAAACATTCTGAATCTTCTAATGAAGATTTAATCAAATGCAATGAGAAATTGTCTGAATATTCTATATCCACCATTGGAAACAATTCACCAGATGCTGATAAAGAAAATGAATGTAAAAGCAATGAAGCGCCAAGTGCTATGGATTTGGAATTACAAAATGCTATTTCAAGTATTGAGTTTACTGAAACTTATAAACAAGATAATGCAGAATGTGAAATTACAAAAGGTGAACTGAATAAATCATATTCAACAAATGCTTGTTGTTGTGGATTTGATTTAAAAAATCAAGCTCCATCACTTTTAGATATAAAAAGAAAAGTTTTATGCAGTGAATATTCATCTTTACTAGATTTTAATAAGGATATGATTAAAGCAATTGAATTTACAAACTGTGAGAATTTATATGATATTTATAACAATATCGTCCATGATAGTTTCCCATGGTTCACTAGTGATTCAAAATTAAGTTCAGAAAATAAATCAGATGAAGAATTTGAACAAAATAAGGAAATAATTATAAATGAAAAATCTAATGAACTCAATGATCAAGAAGTACCCTATGATACTATAACCTTTGATGGAGAAAGTTATTTTTATGATGATCATGTACCTCAGTTAGACTTACGATTGTGTTTACTTTGTAAAGGAGCTGGAGATGGATTACCTTCAAATGAGTCCAGATTACTCTATTGTGGACTCAATGAATGGGTTCATGCAAATTGTGCTTTATGGTCTGCTGAAGTTTTTGAAGAAATAGATGGTTCTCTACAAAATGTACACAGTGCCATTTCTAGAGGAAAGTTAATACGCTGTACGCATTGTCATATGAAAGGTGCGAGTGTTGGATGTTGTGCTAGAAACTGCAGTGACACTTTTCATTACCCATGTGCTCGAAACTTTGGTTGTGCCTTTATGGATGATAAAACAGTGTATTGTCCTCAACACATTTCAGAAAATGTCAATAAAAAATCCCAGCAGCATGACAAGGATTTTGAGATAAATAGACCTGTTTATGTTGAATTAGATAGAAAGAAGAAAAAGATATTAGAAGCTAATCGGGTGCAGTTAAGGGTTGGTTCATTGCATGTAAAAAATTTGGGAAAGTTTGTGCCTCATCTTTCTGATACGTCAGATGCTATAGTACCTATAAATTTTGTTTGCTCACGCATGTTTTGGTCAACTAAGGAACCATGGAAAATTGTAGAGTATTCGATCAAAACTTCAGTTTTTATCAAAAAAACAAATATGTCTAATACTCTAGAAAGAAATTTTACTGTTGATCATTCTCAAGAAGTTGCTGTTGTCCAGTGCAACTTGAATGAAATCAAAAACTTTCATAGATGTATTGAAGACTCTGACCTATCAAATGAATCATCACCTGTTAAAAGTTCCATGAAGAATAAAAATTTGAATGTTGCTGATGAAAGATCTGTTAAAATTGTTTTGGATCAACTCATTGATACAGCCAGTAGATATGAGGAAGAAATTTGTGATGAAGAACCTCAAAATACAGCTGATCTTTTATCGCCTGAGCTTGAAGATGAGATTTATGAAGATCTCCAAGATGATTTGTTAGATGGTATATCAATGCTGGATTTGTTTCCAAAATTAATGAACTATGAAGATTTTGTATCAATGGATGGAAGAGATGGAATGAGAGACAGGGAAGATAATACTGAAAATAGGTTTGACGCTTTTGGTCGAGTTAGAAAAGATGTTGATAGTAATCAGAATGATTCATGGTTTGACTATAAAACATCTGACTTGATTGATGATTTATTTTCTGCATCGAAGAGCTCAAAGTTATGTAGGGAACTAAAAAGAAGTAAATCCGAAGTTTTACCGCATACAAAGAAAGGAACTTCACTCAATAATAGAGTCCATCAGAGGTCTTGTAGTTTATCATGGAATTATAAATTGGATGGTAATCCAAATTTGAAACGCAGAAAACCCACTCAGAATCGCAATCCTTTTTCTCTGTCTGTAGATAGTTCACAATCATGTCAGGAAACGAAAAAGCTTGAAATTACTATTAAACCAAATAATGAAAACAAATTCATTAGTGAAAACGTTGATTTTGTCAAAGATGATCCAATTAATAAGATAAAATTTAATAATGAGCAAAGCAATGAAACATTTCCTTCAAATACTAATAATATCAAAGCAGCCGCTCTAGAAAAGATTAAAATTTCTCAACTGGATGGAACAGATGATACCTTAGATGGAAGTGATTATGGATCGCCTGCACATCAAATGGAATTTAATTCAAATTCTCACATTTTTCAGAATAATTTCATTACAAATGAAATTCCAGTAAAGTGCAATAGATGCCAGTGTACTTATCGTAACCAGGATTCATTTCAAAGGCACTTACCTTCTTGTGAGTCACTTACTAGCGAAAGTGAGTCAGAGCCATCTCATTCACCAGATCAGGGACAGGAAACCGTAACCATAAATCAAAATGGTGTTGTCATAATGCAAAATTTATCCTCATCAAATGCTCAATTCATGTCTGATCATCAGCAGCAAAATATTTCAAATGTGTCAATGCAAATGCCTAATGTTCAAAATCAAACACCCATATCAATTCTACCAAATTTTAGCAATCAGATTAGTTTCAACGGTGCCATGATACAGAATACCAGCAATAATAATTCTGTAGTTTCTTTTGATTGTGGAAGTAATCTACAAAATGTTGTGTTAACACCTGCACAAGCAAATATACAGTTTGGACAAGGACCAAAACAATTGTTTTCTCATCCACAAACCATTCAAATTGATCCTAATCAACGACAACAGCAAAATGTTATACAGGATCAAAATATCACTCAATTTCAACAAAATCCAACAAATATGTATCCTATGAATTTAAATCAAATTCAAAATCAAATACAAAATAACTCACAAATTATTCATGCATTGCCGAATAACATATCTATAAACCAATTACAAAATCATCCAACGATTGTGAAAACTCAAAATACTGTGAATTATCAATTGCCACAACAAGCTCAAAATACAGCTCAGCCTAAAATCATAACATTTTCTAATTCGCAACCAATTTTAACGCAAAATACGCCACAAATACAACCATTCACCATAGGACAGAGTGCGCCGATGCTGAATTTTACAGTGAATCAACCAATGTTATCATCACCACAGAAAAAACAGTTAATTTTACCTCACACAACAAAAACATCTCCAAAACGTCAAGCTATAGTTAGAATGCCTATTCCTAATAACAGAGGTCGTACGAAAACTGCACCTAAGGTAAACAACATCAAGCGGCCACTTCGACCAGATAAGCCCATTATAACTAATCAAGGAATACAGTTAAATAGGCCTTTGGTAATTCAACAAATGCAAAATCAGAATCCTATAATTGTTCAGCAGTTGCCTAATTCTTCAAATGTTATGTCTTATGTTGAAGCTGTACAACAGCAGAATAGCAATGTACAATTTATAACAGTGAATCCAGATAATGAATTTAAACAGTCTACTCAATACCTTACTGCTAATCCATTAGTTCCTGGGACATTTCAGTTACACACTGATCAAAGTAATTTATTAACATTAGCTCCGAACGGTAGTCTGTCTGTGCTTCCTAATATGCAATTAACCCAAACACAACCAACAGTTCTTGGCACGATAATACAGCCTCAGACTAATGGTTTACAATGTGGCATGCTTTCTGAATCATTGTTATTACAACCTGCACCTTTGGAGATGGTCACAGATGCAAATGGATGCATGTATCTAACAAGTCAACCTATGTATTATGGATTAGAAACAATTGTGCAAAATACAGTTATGCAGTCCCAGCAATTTGTATCAACAGCAATGCAAGGTATGCTATCTTCTAACAGTAGTTTTTCAGCAACAACTACACAAGTCTTTCAGGCAAGCAAGATTGAACCAATCGTTGAAGTTCCTAGTGGTTATGTAGTAGTCAATAATATGCAACCTGATGGTATCATACAGCAGTCCCAACAGAACTTGATTCAGGCAATTCAGCCTCAAAATATTCAACAAAATAGAAATGAATGCATTAATAACTTAGCTGGACCAAGTGGCATTCAAACAAATAATCTTCCTATACAGTTAAATGCTTATGAGTCAATTCAACTCGAACAAAAACCGATGCAGGTCAACACTAATAATGCAAAGAGCAATATGAATTTACAAGTACCTGCCATTTTACTACCAAAAACACAAAATCAAGCAGTTAGTAAAGTATTACCAGGAAATAACATTCAACAACCTATAAAAATTAGTATTGATAATGAAAATAAGCTGCAAAAAACGAACACTAAAGATTTGATACAACAGATTCATTTTGGCAACAAAAATATTATTTCAGACACGTCGCATTTGGTGCCGTGTTCACAAAATAATATGCAATTCTCTCAAATTCATTTTAATAAGCAAAATATACCGGTTGTTTCTCAAAATCAAGTGGCTGTAGAGCAACCAAGATTAGTGCAAAAATCTCAAGTAGTAAACCCTGTTGTGGAACCAAGAATTGTTACAATTAAGAAAAAAGAAGTTACAGTTCCAGTGAATAAAATCATCAAAAGCAATATTAATAATGTAACCACAAAAGCCAACACTCACTTGGTTCAGCCCATTCAAAATAAATCTATGCCCTTGTTAAATAATGATTGCAATGCGCCGCTGAGACAGCCACTAGTATGCAGTTCACCCTCTATTCGCAGTACTCAAAATGAAGCAAAGAATCAAATTCAACAAATAGTTCAACCTATTATAAAGAGCAGCAGCGCCCAATGTGCACCTAAAGTCCTGAGTTCGAATCAGATTCAATTACCTAATACAATGTTTGTACAGTCTAGTCATGCAGGTATTCCTACAAACATTGTAAATCCAATTCAGCAGGTGTCAAGTTGTGTCTCCAATGTCACCCCAGCAAGGCCTATGAATAGAGTTTTACCAATGCAAACGTGTTTGCAAAAAGACAATGCCAGTAACAATAAGCCAGTATCCTCGTGTATTGAGGCCCAGCAGACACCACGAACGGAATCCAAAATTAATAACGTGGAACCTACAATTGAAAAACCAATTTTAGAACCCAAAATTACAGAAATTAATGTAGATGTCATAAAACCACAGATAGAGCATACAGAAAAAGAAGCACCTTCTACTTGTGATCTTCAAAAGAACATATCTCCATTAGAAGTTTTGCAAGTTGATACATCAAAACCCGCTACAAACCCTCTTAAGGTTTTGAATGGAAATATAAAACCCAAACCACTTTTGGAGAAGTCTGTGACCTATAAAATGAATAACAGTAATATTTTTATTCCGCCGAATACAAACACACTTCCTCCTAAACGTAATAGGAAACCCAAAATATCGAGGTCAAAGGAAAACGATCCCAAAATGATATTCGAAATTCATTCTCAAGATGGTTTTACATATACGTCGCATTCTATTTCTGATTTGTGGTTGAAGGTTTTAGAAGCAGTACAGAAGGCAAGAAAATCGTATGGTTTGGCACCATTACCCCAAGAATCAGTTAAAGCGCAATTGGGCTACCAAATTCTAGGATTAGACAACAATGCTCTAAGATATTTAGTAGAACAATTACCTGATACAAATAAATGTTCGAAATATAAACATCGTTATCACAAACCTCAAAGTTCTGATCTCGATTACGAAAGTTCTTTAGACATTTTAAAGGAAAATGCTAGTGGTGCAATTCGTTGTGAAGCTTTCAAAAAAAGATCTGATTATGATATGTTTAGTTGGTTGGCATCGAAGCACCGACAAAGGCCGCTACCTACATCACAGTTTGATAATGAAATTACTTCCGTTAGGTAAATATTCGTAAAATAAAATTCAAATTCATCTTTTTAAGAGATAAAATTGATTAATGTTTTGATATTTTTAGGCGAGTCTCGAGTACTAATCTGCCAATTGCAATGAGATACAGATATTTGAAGGAAACATCAAAGGAATCTGTGGGTGTATTTAGATCACTTATTCATGGCAGGGGCTTATTCTGTAGGCGCGATATTGAATTAGGTATGCAATTTAAATTTATATTTAATATTATTGATTAATTATTGAAGTAAAAATAAAACTAGGCCTTAAGGCAAGTTTCCGATATGTATAAATAATGTATTTTAGTAGCGAATTTAGTAGTGAATATAAAACAATTGTAATTTATTTATTTGGATACAAGGTTAGACTCATTGCAGTAATAAATTAACACAAGTACACACTAAAACTAAAACGACATTAAGTCTAACAATTACTTATCATGTTACTAACCCTACATTACTGTCATTTTTTAGGTGAAATGGTAATAGAATATGCAGGAGAAGTCATTAGGGCAACTTTAACTGATAAGCGTGAGAAATATTATGATGGCAAAGGAATTGGCTGCTACATGTTTCGCATTGATGACCAGTTTGTTGTTGATGCTACCATGAGAGGAAATGCAGCCCGTTTTATTAACCATTCTTGTGAAGTAAGTTGTAAAGATATAATATTTTGTCTTTATTGCAAACTCCATAAATACATTTTTTACTTTTCACATACTTTTCTTTGTAACATTGTTTATGGTCTAGTATCGCTTATTTTACAAAATTAAAATTTAGATCACTTCAAAGTAATTTTCTCTTGTTCTTCAATTTATTTTATAATTTTTTTCAGCCTAATTGCTATTCAAAAGTAATTGATGTGCTAGGACATAAGCACATTGTGATATTTGCTTTGCGTCGCATATTGCAAGGCGAGGAACTTACTTACGATTATAAATTTCCTTTTGAGGACGTCAAAATACCATGCTCTTGTGGTTCCAGGAAATGTCGCAAATATTTAAATTAGTACCACGATATTGAGGAATGGAAATGGACATAGATATGTCCTGTTGCAAAGGTACATAGTTGTTATGTATTACTTTATGTATAAAAATATGTATTGAATATGTGTGAATGCAAGTTGTTTGATTGATTTGATTTTAAACTTATTTTATTCATGGAGTGTTAAATGAATGAATCGTTTGATGACTAGTTTGCTATTTTATGTACATACAAAATAATTTTACATTTAAGGATAAGTTGAGTGATTTTATTTTTTTAATATTGTTAATGAATTTGGCCATAAGACTATGAGGAGAGATTTGTATGTAAACTCATATATATATATATATATATATATATATATATACATATATACATATATGTATATGTATATACATCTACAAGAGTGTGTTGTGATATGCTAATCGACTAAGATAATCTAGCTTATAGTTTTGTAAAGTTACTTCTGTAAAATAGAACTTTTTGGTGTTAATGTATAATGACGAGGATATATATATATATATATATATATATATATATATATATATATATATATATATATATATATATATATATATTATGAATGTGTGAGTATGGAAAGGAATATGAAATCAGAACCCGTCCGTAAATATGAATTTATTTATTTTGACCAGTATTTTATTTCTGCGAGCTTTTTTCAAATGCAAATACAAATTTTAATACTCAAGATGCAAACTGTATTTCACATTTTGATTTAAATAAGTGTTTTTCGAATTATTCATTAAAATTTATTTTTAGTATATGGTATGGTTGTTGCGCTTATATGAATTATAAGAAAATCTCGTACATTTGGAGAATGTTATGGTATTGTGCGATTTAATTGTTTCTGAGTCTAGTCTAATATTGATATTTTACAATTTCTTGCCGTTGATAAAAATAAATAATTTTCAATATTGGGCGTTGATAAATATCATAAATTGCGTATGTATAGCAAATATTATATGTTAAAACATGTATTATTTTTTTATTAAAATATGTTGCATCACATTGAAGGTCATATTCAAATTTTAACTTGAATTGAATGCAAGGGAATTCTTAAGACTTAACAAGACTATATAAATTGTGTTACAAATAAATAAGTATTTGTCTTCTTGTCTGATTCCTTTTTATATCAAACAGTTGGTTCCAATTTAGTCAAATTCTGCATGATATTTTCAATAAAACAAATGCTTTAAATGCATTTGAATTCTAGTCTTTTGAGGCCATATATTTTGTCCATGCTATTATTTAATTTGCACTTAAAATATGATATTTATCATTGCTCATCTTTGTTACTATACTTTATAATACGTAAAAGGACAAAATCTGAAATTACGCTTAGAGAATTTTCGAATTTTAATTATTTAATTTATTTAATCAAATCACGTATTTTAATATTAAATAGTGATTCTATAAGAAGAAAATTGAAATTTTTATTGAGAAGCGTCATGAAATCAATATTTGAAAAATATTTTTAAATATTTGAAATGGTATGAAATTTGGTTTAACAATTGTTATTGTAACAATAAAATATATAATTTTAGATAGAGCAAACATCTCTATAACTGTTAATTATTTTAAATATGGTGGATGTGAAATGTTAAATCATAGTTAAACCTTTTATAATATTTGTAAGCACTTGTATTACATTTTATAAGAGATATTATATTATTATAAGAATATTGAATCTATATATCACAGAAATTAATTATGTATAAAATATTTTATATGACGTCATAGTTCTATAATAAGATTACAAATATATATGTTTATAACTATATATATATATATATATATATATATATATATATAATAAATGAAGTATTTTTGATAATATGAAATTACTAATAAGCTTTATATACTCTTTGTCCCAGTTACTACAATTTAATTTGATTATTGTAAATTTAGAAGTTTTACTAATCTCTCAAAAGTAACAATTGTGTTCATAGCTTAATAACTTTATATATCATAAGAATTTTCATTTCGGTATTTCATCATTTTAAGTATTGAACAAATATTTTGCTCAAAATCTTCTACCCTACTTAAAGAAAAATATGGTGCTTTGAATTGCCTATTATGTGTACTTAAATTTAAGATCGTTTAAATTTAAATGCCACCCAGTTTATTATTTATGCTAATGTAATAATTATTATTTATAATTAACCATCAGGTCACATTCAATAATACATAATTCATATTTTTATTTATAGATTCAGATATAAACAAATAATAACTAATAGCATAAAAATATTAACACGGTGTCGGTAAATCGATTTAATCTTATTTGCCATATGTTGTATTTTTTATTAAACTCATTACTAAATATTTTATAGCTTATATCGTTATTATAAATCTTGTTCCTTTAAAATTCCTTCAATAGATTAATATGCGTATAGGTTATTTTAGATTACAAAAATTTGTACATAATTAAGCAAATTTGTAATATATTTCACTGCTTTAATTGTATTGCATAGTTTCAAAAAATAAAAACATCACAAATATAAAATTAAATTTTTCGTTAATTATTAATAAATAACAATTTACTTAGATTATTTTTTGATGACGTTATAGAAATTTTAATTATTATTATTTTTAATTATTGCTTATCAGGAATATCATTAAATGGTTGATTTTATTCTGAATATGGGAAATTAGGATTGCAAATCTAATCTTTGCAAATATATTAAAAATAAAATTATTATCGAGGATAAATTATTTAACATTAATTAAAATTTGTACTTAATCATATCAACTAGTTAACAATTGGATTTTTTTCATCAGGTTACTTGTATGTTTATTTGGTGAAACTTATTAAATAAATAATAAAACTTTCATATTTGTATGAAATTTTTAATTATACTATTTACTTCAAAGTTTCGCTGAAACGAGTATAGCAAATATGTAAACTTGAGTAAGACATTTTCTGATGAAAAAATCTTAAGTAGGAGAAATTTAGTATATTTACGTACATATCTATATTTAATACAGTTAATTTTTTAAATTGTCTCGAATATGGTGCAAAACAAACGTGTTTCTATTACTATATTTTCTTGTGAGTATAGTTTTAAAAAAATTGAAACGGAACTGGTTCGCCTCTGGTTATCTCTATTGTACTAGAAAGAATATTTGCCTTCATTCAGGGGTACTCATAAAATGAAAATTGAACGCCTACATCGTCTAAAATGAAATTTAAACGTAATCAGCAATAAATCATGATGTATTTAATGCAAAATTCGCAATATATGTATTAAACTGTTCATCGTATTCGTATAAGATATACGAATGTATCTATAGTACTATGCTTGCGTTCATTATAGTACAAAATAAATATCATGTTACGCGGTACTAGGTAGCAACACGGGACGGCCAATGCGCAGAGTCAACAGATATTCTGGAGACACGTGACCTCAATCGATCCAATGGCAGAGTGCGTCTTTCAGGTCCATTCAACTAAACATTGAGGATTTATACAATGGTTCACAGCTGGGGGTCCGCGGGGAAGTGAGAGGCCCGAGAGGCCCGAGAGCATCGCTTTAACATTTCACTATGCTTCACGCTGTACGCAAGCCTGGGGTCCTAGGACCCTTGATAACAAGAAACAGGTAAATACTTCTTCACTATCAATTTTTACACAATTTACATTAAATTCATAAAAATCAATCTAATACGAATATTAATCCATTTATTATATGTTTATTTTTAATTAATTTATTTTAAACAATAAGTCTACTAATTTTTTCAAAACATTAATTAAAGGTAGAATATTAATTATATTAGTTATAGGTAAAATATTTTTTTTTAGATATTATCTTCTATATATACAAAAATAAGTCGGGTTTTCCTTCCTGACGAAATAACTCCAGAATGCACGAACCGATTTCGACAATTTTGCATTCGTTGGAAAGGTCTCGGGCAAGTGAAATTAGTGGTGCATGGCATAGTGCCCTAATACAAATTGCTGGAACTTCACGCACCGTAATTAAAAAATCGAGTAATGACATTAGTGAGAATTATCAGGTTAAGTCAACGGGCAATTCTTGACGCAAAGAATAATGATGTACACGCACTGAATTTCACCATTCAATCAAAAATTGCTGGTGATTTGGTGACATACCAATGATTCCGACTGGTCTTCCGTTTGACTTCAAACGATTGCAATTTCCAGTTCGCAATAACAAGACTCAAGGCCAATCGCTTAGTGTTTGCGGGATAAATTTCAAATAGATTTTTTAGAAAATCATTGTTTTTCACATAGGCAGTTATACGTTGCCTGTTCACGAGTTGGAAAACCATCCGCTTTGTTTGTGTTAACGTCAGACCAAAAAACAAAAAATGTGGTTTACCAAAGAGCACTACAATGAAACGGATAATTTGCGGATTCACTTACATTTACTTAGAGAAGTTCAACTAAAAAACACTTCATTTTTGTAATAGAAATAAATTCATCACTGTTGTAAATTTCTTCATCTTTCTCACGAAACCATCTGCTGGCGAAACGGAGTTTGTCGGGTTTGCTAGTTATTTATATAATTTACATAAAATATTACTTTAATAATTAAGTATGTAAGTATGTAAAAAAAGTACAATCATCACATAATTTTTATTAAAAATAAACCTAATGCTTAATTATGATATATTAGTTAGAAGCGATAAATCTAAGATTTTAACAATAAACATTATTGCTAATATATATGAAAACAAACAGTATTTTCTTTTAAATAAATGGTGAAATTAAAATTATTATTTTTACAAAATTAATAATGCCATAATCATATAGAAGATTTTTATATTTATCAGTTTGTTGTGTCATTATTTTATTTTATTTTATTCATTAAAATCACTCTCAGATGAATATAATGAATATCTTTAATTTTATTTAAAAAAAATATTCTATTTTTAAAAATACTATTTATTTCCTAAAAATATTGTTTATTTAATTAATTTTTTTAAATATTCCACATTTGGGTTCTATTCTTTAGACCTAAGAGTTTTGAATGGTTCGACTAAAATTAAAAAATGTAACAAAAATTAATTAATGAACAGCAGAAATATTATATATAATTAAACTAATTTGTTTACTACATAATGATTACATTATTTTTACTATTATATACCATTTTCCATTCAAAACAGCCCATGAATCGCAGATCTACGATCATCAATGGATTACCAAGCACCGATACTGCGTTGAATATCCATCTCTATCCGTCTCGCTCTTATCACTATGATCAAGTATAAAGTTAGAAGGGTGCAGATGATATCATCTCTAGTTCGTCTCTGTACGAGACAAGGTAGCTGATTTCGAAGTGATGGAGTTGGTGTTGTGAGTTGTGCGGTAGATGTCAACAATTAAAATATGAATCTGTTATAGGTATTAATGAAAGTATTATTTTAAAATTAATAAGTAATGTCGACGAACTAGGATATGTGATGAATCAAGTGCACGATCGTTAAAATTTCGTTTAAAGTTCGTTTTAACCGTCGAGATCGAGTCAATTTGCTACTGTCATCGGGAACGATGATATAATTTAACGCGGGGGGAGGGGACAAAAATACTACTAGAATCCCGAATAGTAGTGATATGTTACTGTGACATTTCATGTAGGATTAATGGTTACTTTGACGTTTAACACTAAATTCAATCCAAATGCAATTACGAGGTGCAGATGTGATAATGATTATTTTTGATACAGATGGCTATTTGTAAGAACTAAAATATGTTAATTATATATGAGATAATTAATTAAAATCGTGCTTGCATTTTCGATGTGTCAAAATTATGTTAATTTGTGTTCGTTTGCTGATATATGTTCGAAAACTCCAAATGAATTTATTACAATTTGACCTTGATTGCTTTTTATGCAGTTGTAAAAATTCGGATCGTTATTCAAAAATCGTATCTGTTCGTATAAATATAAATTTGAATTTATATGTGTTGAAATTGATATCAATAATAAAATTTACTTTTTTTAATATATACCTTTCAAGTTACTTTCAAAGATTAAATATTTGTTACCGTGGACAAAATTCACATAAATTAGTGTTTACTGCATCAAGAGATTCCTTTATCACTTTCATTTATTAATGAGTCAATTTTCTAGGTTATAGCTGCATTGATAGTGTAATGCAGTGTGGCCAGCTGCATGGGGGCTTCCTCTCATTGTGTCCTGCAATTGTGGACAAATGGTGTCTAGAGGATGCATCGTACTCTGAGAACAAGAAATACGGTGAGACCGAACTCCTCGGTCTCTCCGTCAGGGGAAGGACAAAGAATGGCAGAGGACACACATCCTTACACGGACACCGAAGACCAAATTCCAGCTTCTGTTATCAGCAGTGTCGGAGCTGTAAAGCTGCCTTACTCTTGCACACAAGCTAAGTCGACTCTGTCACAATCCACTGTCAACTCAGGACTTTCCAATGTCAGTTCAATAATTTCAACACCGGTATCTACCAATGATGACAGGAATAGGAGTAGTGGTATTGTGACAACCAGTCAACAAAATGCAGATCAGGACAAGAATAAAATAGAGGCTAAGAAGTTGCCGAAGAAAAGGAAGTTTGATCCAGCAGAATTTCAAGAATGCACTCCATCACAAACTAATGCAATATCTGTTGTGCATTCTCTAGCTGATAAAGTTTCTTCGGAAAATCCTGTAATTGTTATACCTCCCCAATCTACAGCTGTAGATTATTCCTATGTAGCTAAACATTCTAATGTAATAAGTGGTTATCAACATAATTACAATGAGGCAACGGATACCATGACAGAACACAGTCTGATCGAAACCAGATCAGAAATAGATTTGAGTGAATGGAAAGATCATAGGGTCTTAGCTAAACATGAAGGGGTCTATAGGCCTGGTGTTATAAAAAGTGCGGGGGGTTACGGTGAAGTGATTGTAGAACTGGATAACAGGGAAAATAATCCTTTATGTTATCAAGATGTCCTCGGTCTGGGCAAATACAATGTGATAAGCGATGCTTGTCCTCCGACAGAGCAGGTTTCTATCGGTTCTCAAGTTTGCGTTCGGTTTGATGGTACCTTAGTATATCATGAAGGAGTAGTTGTGAAAGTGGTTAGTGGACCTACTAGATTTTTTGTTAGTTTGTTGCATTCACAAGATGAAATTTCTGTGAAGCGTGCCGATATTAGATTGCTCTTGCCTCCTTGGTGGGACGAGTTAAAAGATCTCAGTGTGATATCTAGTGGTGCTGTGATTGAAAATGGTTATAACAGTGATGTTTATGAACAGCAAAGATCCCAGATGGGATTATCGCCTATGCATCCAACGATACAAGTGCATCAACTGGTGCCTCTGATACAAGTAAGTCAATTCAATTTATTGCATTTTAGGGATATTCTCATTTGTAGAAGAAACATATACATCTTCAAAATGTTGTAAGTGGTTATTTAACCATTAACCCATTAATCATATCATGTATCTTGTTTTTGATCTTCCTGTTTTTTTTTATTAGCTGTTAACTTTGTCGGATGAGTCTGAAAAATATTTGATTGAATTATTTGTCTAAAGTTTCCTTGTATTAGCAGTAGTTTAGTATTTCTCTCAAAAAAAAAAATATCTGACTGGTATTAAATGAACGCCATATATTATTAGAATTTTGTATTATAAGTGGAACAAATATTTAATTTACTATTAAATGTAGATAAGAACACACTGCATTCTATATTTTTGCACATACTTTATTTCTTTGTCTAAGTAACACTTTTTGAAATATATAACTTTATAAAATACAGCTAGTGCAATAATGTAAAAAAGAACATACTAAACTCTCTATTTTTGTACTAACTTTATTTTATAAAGTTATATGTTACAATATATGAAATAAACTTTATGAAACGAAGTTGGTGCAAGCTATAAGTTGTATTCAGGAAGTAAACTGTCTTATAACTTTTTGAAATAAAGTTGGCATAAGTTATAAGTTATACTATATGATGAAACTAACTTATAACTTTATGAAAAGAAGTTGGTGCAAGCTATAAGTTGTATTCAGGAAATAAACTACCTTATAACTTTATGAAATGAAGTTGGCATAAGTTATAAGTTATACTATATGATGAAACTAACTTATAACTTTATGAAATGAAGTTGGTGCAACTTATAACTTTATGAAATGAAGTTAGTGCAACTTATAACTTCATGAAATGAAGTTAGTGCAAAAATATAGTGTATATAAGAACACACTACTACTATTATTTTTGCATTAACTTCATTTCATAAAATTATAAGCTACACTTTGTGAAAATCAATTCATTTATACCTTCATGAAGCAAAGTTAGTGCATATATATAGATTGTAGTGATTTATTTTTATTTATTTAATAAATGTATTTATGTTTTTCAAATGTTTTGGCTCTGTGGTAAAAAACCGATCCATTTATAAGGCTAGTTAATTTCATTGCCTGATTAAGAATACCGCAATCAAGTTTGACAGAGGAAATAGCTACATGTGATATATAAAATAAATACCATAGGTCACAAAAATCCATGCCAGTCTTGTATTTATTCAGTATGATATATTATAATACGTGGATCACATGAACAGATCAGGGATGAGAAACTTTGTAATGGAATCTATAAGTTAATAAGAAGTTGAGATTTAATAAAAAATGATACTAAAGGAAAAAGGATAGTCATATTTCTTGTCTAAAAACTCAATATTATTTCTGGGCAAATAGTTACTTACTAGTTTTATCGAAACCAAACCGTAGGCCGATACTCTAATTGTCCTAAAATTGTAGGAGGGATGTTGAATATCTGTAAAATACATTGAAAATTTTTTGAGAAATATTTTTTTTGTGATCCGAAACTTTATAATGGAAAATCTAAAATAATAAAAAATCTATAAAAATCGATAGTTCAATATATTAGGAGTTATATTCTTAAGATAATGGTTCAATGATTGATAGTCATTAGTTTTTTTGTCTACTAACTCAAATTTCAACCCTTTCGACTCGGATGGCTGCTCTCCGGCGGCAAAATTCATATAAATCTGGGAAGGGCAAAATGTCTTAAAATTGTTGGAGGAATATCTGTAGAAATGCTCTTTTCTTATTAACTCTAAACAGCTTTAATATTTGTTAACTCATGTTTTTTTTGTTGAATTACATATCTTTTTTATCTTCAAATCAGGGATGAAAATCTTTAGAATAGGGATAGGGATTAGAATGGGATCTCCGTTATTCATTTTTTGAAAGTTAATAAAAATGATCATTAGGTACATATTTGATCATTTGATCTTTCATCTAAAACTGTTACTTTTATCGTAATATCCTTGTTGGAAAAATAGTTATGAATTCTATCGATTTTTTTAGATTCAAAGTTAAAATACCCTAAATGCCTCGAGGTCGTTATAGGAATAGCTAGAGTTTTATTTTTTTATATCTTGGCTAAAGAAGTATTTTTGTTGTTTCGATTGTTTCACGTTATTTTCTCTATTTTATTTAAAAATACTTTGATTATTGATACGAAATCTTTAGTTTTCGAGAAATACGAGTTCTATTTATAATATTTATTTCATCTACTTGCCCGCATGATTTACATATTCAAATGAAACAAAAGTCGGCTTGTGATGGCAAAAAATGTTAAACATTTAATCTTAGTCAACTTAAAATAATTTTAATGATTGAATATCCATTAATAAATGATTGATTATAAATTGTTTATATTTGTCCATAAAGAACTATTCTAAATTTTCACTTTTTCCAACTAAGCAATTGTTTTCAAAAATTAATAGGATATCTGAACGTTTCGAGTCTCAATTTGAACCTTCTTCAGTGGATAAAGCATCCAAATTATTTAGAAAAGTCCATCTATAGTTTTTTAGGAATCTTTCAAAAAATCAAATGTCTATTTGCTGTTGACTTTAGGTCCAAACCAGCATGTTAAGATGTATATAATTATATACTTGCTAAAATTTTTATTTATCCAGCCTTCTGAGCAGCATTTATATTACAACTGGTTCGTTTATTTTTAATACATATTAATTTTTCTAACGAACACTGGCAGCATTTGTTCGTTGCATTGAAAAGTCCGATAAATGCAATCAATATGATAGATGCATGCGCATTATCAGAATAATATATGCAATATATGTAGGAATATCGATAAAAACCTCATTGCAAATATCTAACAGATACTTCTTTGTACGTTATAATAAAATGACTGATTATCTACGGAATTGGGACTAATAGCAGTATAGTACCTATATAAATGCAAGCTGCTGAGATTTGTATCAATATTTTAAAAATGTAGCAAAAATAATATAAATATAACATGGCAATTCAATACACTACAATTGAAATATTGAATGGGACTATAGGACTAAAGATCCTGTTTTTTTGTTGCAAAGGGTTGATTTGAAAAAGTTTCAGTTTCCTAAATAACTTTGTTCTCAAGCAACCTGTATATTTCATATATGAGAATATCAGATACACTTGTGAAAATACAATTATTCCAAAAGAGAAAAAGTTAGTATGAAGAAGATATGAGTAGGAGGAGTGATCTTCAATACTTAATGTTAATGTATGAAAACCCTGGACATATTATTATATAAATCTATAGACAATCTGTTGTGATATAATGCTTTATAACTTAGAATTAATGGAAGACAACCCAATGGCTGTCCATTTTCTTTATGATGGGATTAGTATTAGATATTCTATTAGAGATGTACTACATATATGCAGCGATGTCCTCAGAAGCTTTTCATTTGAAATCATACTTTATCACTACTGCTTGATATCAAGCTGCCCGAGACCAGTATAAAAACTGGATTTTGTGGTTCAAGACTAATGCTGCTACTACAGAGTCACAGTTAAATATTGATCTAAAATACTAATTTATTCTGCTTGCAGTTTTTATTTTAATTTTTGTTGCAAAGATATTTTGCTTGTCATGACTCCAATAGCCCGAAGGAATTGTAATAAAATAAAATTAAATCGCGTATTTCAAATGCGCAAATCCGCGAATCTTTTATTCATTTTTTTTTAAGTTTGTGTTCATCGATATCAAACGCCGTGCAGTAAAAAATACTGAATATTTTTGTTAATTTTTTTTTATAAAATCTTAATTTTATAGTGGATATAAAACGTTTATATACTACTAGTTTGCAAAAATCATCGTTATATATGCATCTTTTATGTTTAAAAAAAATCTTTGTCAATGGTGCCTTCATTCTACTTGTTTAATATCATTATCTTATAATTCGATTTTCATGTAGACTCTTGTTTCAAAATATACATTTTCCACAATTTTCCTCCATTTAATTCTAAATGCTAAGCAATCGTAAAGGCGATTCCAATTTCAGTGTATCGTATTTCAGAATTAAAATATTATAAATATATTATCCAGTAGCTTTGTTCCAAGGGCGCTTTGTCATTCGATCTTATCATAATAATTAACATAATTTTATTTAATTTCTATGTAGTCTCTTAAACCCATCATGGTGTGATGGTTAAGGACGTGGACAAGCACAAACTAATTTCGGGTTCGATCTCAATTTCGGGCAGCTCGGTATCAAAAAGAATGATATAAAATGTGCAAATCTCAAATATAACCTCAAGCGAAAATTGCCTTTTATGTGCATTGCTAGTAAGATAGTATTTTAAAAAGTAGAAACTATAATGATGCATTCTATTACTAAAACCATTTTTGTCCATCTCGGATAAAATGGCAGATAGGGCAGGAACATGCTGAGATACTAATTTTTAAGAAAGCAATTTACAAATAAATTGTTTTTTCCTCATTTGGACATTGGCGCATGAAGCAACAACTAATCTTCGTCGGGCTCAAAAGGGGAAAAAAAGGTTTTGTAAAAAATGCAAATCTTTTCTTTTTACTGATGGATCTTTTAGTCTGTTTTTGGCAATTATTCCTTGCACACTTGTAATATTTATCGGTAAATAAGAAGGGACTTATATTTGTTGCAAAACCCTTTTTTTCTGTTTTGATTTTAAGATAAAAGCCAATCATCCTTGACAGGTTTTAATTATTTTTTTTAGACCTGTAATGCTTGCGAAATAATACTATACCATTTTATCCATTGTGTAGTATTCCACTTTGTTCGAAAGTGAACAAAAATGAATAAATATTGATCGAAGTCAGTCGTACTGGCATAAGTTCATTGATTTTAATAGAAAATAATTACAAATAATAATAAGTTAGATCCAAAAACTATGAGAAAACCGTCCTCAAAATAACGCACCTTTTGCTGGTGCGATACGCTTTGGAAATTGCTACAGGACTGTGGCAATGACGCTCAACATCTGGCAGGATGAGGATTTTTCACAAGGATTCCAAAACTAC